ATTAGGCTTATAATTCACAATCTATTAATCCACAATCTACTAATCCACACTCTAATAGTTTACAATAATCCCAGAAAATCCATCACAAATTCTAGTCTTGATTATTTCATTGAACTTAACGGTCACGCTCCATTACCCCGTAATTCATCCAACCGTCACTAACTCGATTAATTTATAAAATCTTTAATTAGACAGTTCCGATTTTAATCAGTAAGCGGAAAGTTTTCTTTGATCAACGAACTGGGGTTTTTTTTTGTCCTTTAATGCATTTCACCCCCCCCCCCCCGCCCCCAAATAGGCCCCCTTCCTCCCCCTATTAATTCACGCTACGAGCCCCTTTCCCCCCCCCCCCCCCCCCACCCCTTCCACCCCCTCCTGCAATATGACCGTCAAACGACCCCCCAAGGATTCAAGGCGACCAAAAAATTTTCCATACTGCCCGTCATGGTCTATTGAGTTGTAACCCGCTTACCTATCACAAACAGTGACGCCAAGAAAAACCTACACACGGGAGGACCAGAAAATGGCAGTAGATGTTCTTCCTGGCAGTCTAGTGGAGCGTGACTGCTTAGTCAGGCATGAAGGTGCTAACGCTACGGGCTACAGGCAGATCACAGCTCTGGTCTGGAGTATGAAGACCGGCGACGATAGTTTGTTTACATTAGCCGTGTTGTAATGATGTGTATTGAACTAGTATTGGTGGTCTGCGTTGACGGGACTGTTGGTGTGTTGTCATATGATGAGGATTAGTTTTCTTGGACATTCTTGAGAGTTCGGATAGCGGAGGAAATAGTGAGGTAAGAGGCGGGATAAGTTGGGGGCGTGGTGTGAAAGGATGGTTTGGGGGCGTGGTGTTGTAGGATGGTCTTGGGGCGTAGTGTGGTAGTGTGGTCTGGGGGCGTGGTGTGGTACAATAATTTGGGGGCGTGGTGTGGTAGAATAGTTTGGGGGCGTGGTGTGGTAGAATAATTTGGGGGCGTGGTGTGGTAGAATAATTTGGGGGCGTGGTGTGGTAGAACAGTTTGGGGGCGTGGTGTGGTAGAATAATTTGGGGGCGTGGTGTGGTAGAATAGTTTGGGGGCGTGGTGTGGTAGAACAGTTTGGGGGCGTGGTGTGGTAGAATAATTTGGGGGCGTGGGTGTGGTAGAATAGTTTGGGGGCGTGGTGTGGTAGAACAGTTTGGGGGCGTGGTGTGGTAGAATAATTTGGGGGCGTGGTGTGGTAGAATAGTTTGGGGGCGTGGTGTGGTAGAACAGTTTGGAGGCGTGGTGTGGTAGAATAGTTTTGGGGGCGTGGTGTGGTAGAATAGTTTGGGGGCGTGGTGTGGTAGGGTGATTTGGGGGCGTGGTGTGGTAGAATAATTTGGGGGCGTGGTGTGATAGGATGGTTTGGGGGCGTGGTGTGGTAGAATAGTTTGGGGGCGTGGTGTGGTAGAATAGTTTGGGGGCGTGGTGTGATAGGGTGGTTTGGGGGCGTGGTGTGGTGTGATCAGTGTTTCTTCCAGACTTTTTTCTCTGAAGGGGGAGGGGGACTTGAAATTTTCGGAGGCGAGGGGGGGGGGCGGACACTGTTATAGGTATATATTTTCTATATAAATTCCATTTCGTTCGGGGGCGGTAAACATTTATTCGGGGGAGGGGGAGGGCGAAGACACCCCTCCCCCCTCCCTCCCCCCCCCCCTTCCAAAGAGATGCCAGGAAGAAACTCTGGATGTGGTAGGATGGTTTGGGGGCGTGGTGTGGTAGAATTGCTTAGGACGTGGTTTATGAGATTGGAAAAGACGACTGATGTTGTATTATGGCTTAGGGGCGTGGCTTATGTGACTCAGACAACCAATGATGGGGCGTGGCGTATGAGACTGGATAAGACAACTAATGTAGTAGAATTACTGTTGTCACGTGACACGGCCCACTCTACTGTTGTCACGTGTCAGGTATATTCCATGTCGTAAAATTTGTGTTTTTGTAGCACCATTTGAAATTGTGACCATATAGCGACAAAAACGTACTGTGCCCAGCAGCAGAGGCGTCGCCAGGTGGGGGCGGGGACCGCGCCGGGTGACACAATTTACGGGGGGGGGGTGACACCAAGACAAAAAAAAGCAAGATATATAGAATAAATATGTTTTTTTTCTTTTGGCAGTTCAATGAATGGTTAATTAGAGTTAAAAATAATTTAAGTACATAATGGCGAGCGCGACAGGGGGGGGGGGGGGGGGGGGGCGGACACACCATGACGTAAACATGCAAACTATAGAGAAAACAATGCTACACCCAGCAGTATTAACAACATACTGTAGATAACCATCATTAGTATTAAATGCGAACACTTTAAATCTTTCACCGTGGAAGGGGGTGACACCAACTGCAAAATTTACAGAGAAAAAAAGGGTGGGGGTGGGCCCTTGAGTTGCCGCACAGAATACACCCGACTTAGCGACGCCACTGCCCAGTAAGCTATATTTAGCTACGCGTGAGAAAACATTTTGGGAATCTATATCCCCCCCCCCCCCCCCCCTCCTTTCTGCCACACTATCATAAAACTATTTTCACGGTAAAAATGTTTTGTTTTTAGTCCCACTTCTATTCGCAGGTGGTTGTTCGCGCATGCGCAGTATTTCCCAACATCATGTATGTGTTTAGAAATACATGTTTGTCTGTCAATAGCGCTGCAGGTACAGCGTATCGTCTGGTCGCTCATCCAGGTGTTCCTTTATCCACTCTACAGGTTTACCTTTATCCACTCTAAAGTTTTGCCTTTATCCACTCTAAAGGTGTGCCTTTATCCACTCTAAAGGTTTACCTTTATCCATTCTACAGGTTTACGTTTATCCACTCTAATCTAAGAAAAAAGGAAGGACAATTTCGGCTACAGTTGCTAAACCTATCACCAAATGCTCGTCGTAGAATGTGAGGTGAAAAAATCTCTTGAAATTTTAGATTTCGTTTCTATCAAAGTAAGTACTGAGAAAAAACTAATTAGTTACCCAATTAGTTAATCAAAAAACAATACAATATTTAAAATTTTCTATTTTTTTGGGTTGTAAGAATTTTATTGTAAAATTATTTTTCCCCCAATCAGATGTCGTGTGCCTCATCTGCTACACGGCCCACTCCAGTCCAGATTCTGGAACTCTTTGTTGAGTAGGACGGGGAGGTAATTCCACTAGGTCGGTCAGCCGATGGACGAGGAAACCGATATTAACGCCAACAGACGCAGTCAGTACCTGCCTTTAATCCCGAGAGCCGGGGGTCCTGAACTTGAGCCCGGGGGCCCCAGGTTTGGGCCCCTTGTCGCGTCTCGCCTTACCTTCAACGTGGGCGGCGTTGTGTTCCAGACACAGGTGGGCTCGACCAAACGTGGGGCTAACAAAAACTTGAAGGTGAGCAAAAACTTAAAGGTGAGTTACATTCAGACAGGTGGGCAAACTTAAAGGTGAGTTACATTCAGACAGGTGGGCAAATACTAAAAGGTGAGTTACATTCATGCAGGTGGGCAAATACTAAAAGGTGAGTAACATTTATGCGCATTCCCTGCCTCTTAATGGTAAAATTCAGTAATACAGAGTATACAATCTTCTGAAGCTCAAACATTGGAATATAAAACCATTTTTTTCTGTAAGAAAACCACCCACAGTTGTAGTTATTTTTAGACCAAAAATCACCACTTCCGGCCCATCATGAAATGTTGAATGAAATGTTTTTTTAGCTGAGTGACAAGCACTTCCTGTCTAGCCACTATGACGAGGCGAGGAAAGAATATTTTTTCGACCGTGACCCGGAAGTGTTCCGTTGCGTCCTTAACTACTGGAGGTCAGGCAAGCTTCACCTCCCTTCTTCAATGTGTGGCCCCCAGGTATGTTCCCTGTTGTGCCGGGGGTGGGGCATCTATGGTGGGTGTGGTCAGTGGTCACTGAAACCCAACTGTCAAATAGTTAAGCACCACCTATTTACACATAGCAATTACAGGTTGCTAATTTAAACAATTTGTGTTTGTTTGCGTTTCTTCAAGATATAAAAATAAATACAACGTACGCCCAGTAGAATGTAAGTCACATGTCACACACCACATGCCACATTCTGCATGTCATATGTCACACACCACATGCCACACTCTACATGTCATATGTCACACACCACATGCCACATTCTACATGCCATATGTCACACACCACATGCCACACTCTGCATGTCATATGTCACACACCACATGCCACACTCTGCATGTCATATGTCACACACCACATGCCAAATTCTACATGTTATATGTCACACACCACATGCCACACTCTGCATGTCATATGTCACACACCACATGCCAAATTCTACATGTCATATGTCACACACCACATGCCAAATTCTACATGCCATATGTCACACACCACATGCCACACTCTGCATGTCACACGCCACATGTCATATGTCACACGCCACACGCCACATGTCATATGTCACACCACATGCCACACTCTGCATGTCACACGCCACATGTCACACGCCACATGTCACCTGTCACACGCCACATATCATATGGCACACACCACATGTCACCACATGTCACATGTCACACGCCACATGTCACACACCACACGCCACATGTCACACACCACATGACACACGCCACATGTCACACGTCACATGTCACACGCCACATGTCACACACCACATGACACACGCCACATGTCACCCGCCACATGTCACACGCCACACGCCACATGTCACACGCCACATATCATATGTCACACACCACATGTCACCACATGTCACATGTCACACGCCACATGTCACACACCACACGCCACATGTCACACACCACATGACACACGCCACATGTCACACGTCACATGTCACACGCCACATGTCACACACCACATGACACACGCTACATGTCACACGTCACATGTCACACGCCACATGTCATGTCACATGTCACACACGCCACATGTCACACACCACATGACACACGCCACATGCCACACGCCACATGTCACACACCACACGTCACATGCCACCCCCAGATGAAGGAGGAGCTGGAGTTCTGGGGCCTGAAGGAGGTGGACATCGAGCCCTGTTGCTGGAACACCTACAACACCTGGATGCAGACCATGACGTCACTCAAACAGCTCGAGCGGGACCGACGCCCCGCCTACTACACGACGGACAGTGTCCCTGACCTAGTACCCACCACGCGCTGTCGGCGTCACATGGCCTCTGTCTGGAACATTCTGACCGACCCTTCCTATTCCAGGGCAGCTAAAGTAAGTCCTTCCTTGTGCGGAGCTGCACATTTTCATTTAAAACCTGTTCACAGGGGGGGGTGGGGGAGTGGAACGGGGGTACAATTCTTAATTTAGCCCATGCGCAGACGAGCTCCTTGTTTTGCCCCCCCCCCACACACACACCCACCCTAGATCTACCACTGATCATTTCCTAAGATTTACAGGTGAGTTAAAAAAAACCCAGGTCCCGTTACTTGATTAGTACCACAGTAGGCTACCTGGCCACAATGCAACTAATTATGTACCTTTCGTCAGGCTCTAAATAGATTCAACAAAACTAGGCCACGAAAACAACTAAATATAAACAAGTATACTTTATTACAAATAGTTTTCGTACAACGATATTTCAAAAAACAGGAACAAGATATTTTCGTCCACACGCAGGCCCTTCCTGTTATCTCCATTACTAATCTGGCTCTAAGCTTTGTTCAGGAACCAGATTTTTATCTCCCCTTTTATGACTGTTTTTGTCTCCCTTGCTAAATTGTTTGGGCTCGTCTCCCTTCACCTGATACGAAGTCTGCGTCTGTCTAAAGGTCTAATCAAGCCACAAATTAGACAATTCTAATTAGAGAACTCTAATCAAGCCATAATTATAGAAGTATAATCAAACTAAAGTTCAATTAAAATATTGACATCGTTAATGAATAAGGTCTAATGAATAATGCCAAACTTCATCAACAAAGGAAAACAGCAATTTGTTCCTTCATTATGTTAAACGTTGTAAGACTAATTTTTTTATCTTGTTTTGTTTACTTGTCATGGAGGAATAAAAAAAAGCTGGTTGAAGTTGAAATTAAAAGCTAATTCCAGTGGGTCTCGCCGGTGCGTGGGGGGGGGGGGGGGGTGTTAAGAAAATGTGACGTTTTATTTATACATTTTAAAAACCAATATTGTATTGGATTTGAGAGATTTAAATAATAGAAAACACGCTTTGCACACCTCTGTCTTAAAATAATGATGTTCATTAAAACGGCGGGCCTTCTTTAACATTTTAAGGCTACGGCGCTACTTTAAAATATTGTTCCTACTTTTAAATGGTGGCCCAACTTTAAATTGGTGGCCCAACTTTAAATTGGTGGCCCACCTTTAAATTGGTAGCCCAACTTTAAATTGGTGGCCCAACTTTAAATTGGTGGCCCAACTTTAAATTGGTGGCCCAACTTTAAATTGGTGGCCCAACTTTAAATTGGTGGCCCAACTTTAAATTGGTGGCCCAACTTTAAATTGGTGGCCCAACTTTAAATTGGTGGCCCAACTTTAAATTGGTGGCCCAACTTTAAATTGGTGGCCCAACTTTAAATTGGTGGCCCAACTTTAAATTGGTGGCCCAACTTTAAATTGGTGGCCCAACTTTAAATTGGTGGCCCAACTTTAAATTGGTGGCCCAACTTTAAATTGGTGGCCCAACTTTAAATTGGTGGCCCAACTTTAAATTGGTGGTCCTTCTTATTTCTAAATAGTTACGGGAACATCAAGACCCGCCCACTGTAACACGTCACCCGTGTACAAAAAGTTCTATATTTAGCTGACCTTGTGTTTTGACCTCCCCAGGTGTACGCGTACCTGGCCATCGTCTTCGTGGTGCTCGCCATCTTCTCGTTCTGCGCCTCCACCCACCCGTTCTTCCACGTCCACCCCAGCCGCGATCTTAACTCCTCCCACCTCGCCAACCGTGTACAAAAAGTTCTATATTTAGCTGACCTTGTGTTTTGACCTCCCCAGGTGTACGCGTACCTGGCCATCGTCTTCGTGGTGCTCGCCATCTTCTCGTTCTGCGCCTCCACCCACCCGTTCTTCCACGTCCACCCCAGCCGCGATCTTAACTCCTCCCACCTCGCCAACACCACGCCTTACGACGTCACAGACACGCCCTCGCAGCACATATCACATCTCTACAACACGTCAACCACCCCCACCACGGCGACAAGAGCGCACCAAGGCATACACTTCACCGGAAGGGCCGCGTTCATCCACCCGGCTCTTGTTGTCATTGACTACGTGTGTCTGACATTCTTCACCATCGAGTATCTCCTCCGATTAATCTGTGCTCCAAAAAGTTGGAAATTCGTCATCAGTGTCATTGCCGTCATCGATTTACTAGCCATCCTGCCGGATTACATTGAACTCGTCGTCTCTATAGTCCATCCGGAAATCGCAACACCGCATGCCATCATGGAGTTCATTCCCCTGCTTCGTTTAATGAGGGCATTCCGCATCTTCCGGTTGATCCGTCGTGTGCCCGGACTCTGGATTATGATGTACACACTAAAGGCCAGCTACAAGGAGCTGTCCCTCATGTTGATGTTTTTATTAGTCGGTACTTTGCTTTTCTCTTCCGTCATTTTTTTCGTCGACGACACGGCCGTGTTCAACAGCATTCCGCACGGGTTCTGGTGGGCCATCGTCACCATGACAACGGTGGGCTACGGCGACATGACCCCGACGACGGCCTTGGGTCAGCTGGTGGGGTCGGTGACGGCCATCTGTGGGGTGCTGATCATCGGGTTCACGATCCCCGCCCTGGTCAACAACTTCATCACCTACTACAACCACGTGGAGTTTGTCGTCCAGAAGGAGTTTCTCCTGGCCGAGCAGGCGGCGATCAAGACGTCAGAGGCTAGACAGGACGCCGCCAGTTTCACATTCGACACGGACAGGGAGAGTTCGGAGGATTAACTCATTAATTAAACTACTCGCTGGTCAATCGCCTGAGGATTAACTCATTAATTCAACTACTCGCCGGTCCATCGCCTGAGGATTAGCTCATTAATTAAACTACTCGCTGGTCAATCGCCTGAGGATTAACTCATTAATTCAACTACTCGCTGGTCAATCGCCTGAGGATTAACTCATTAATTAAACTACTCGCTGGTCAATCGCCTGAGGATTAACTCATTAATTCAACTACTCGCCGGTCAATCGCTTGAGGATTAGCTCATTAATTCAACTACTCGCTGGTCCATCGCCTGAGGATTAACTCATTAATTAAACTACTCGCTGGTCAATCGCCTGAGGATTAGCTCATTAATTCAACTACTCGCTGGTCAATCGCCTGAGGATTAACTCATTAATTCAACTACTCGCTGGTCAATCGCCTCCCCAGAACTACCAGTGATGTTCCATTTTTATGACCTGCCAACTGTTGATTGCCGCTTGCCTTACCGTCTCCTGATTTTTACTTCAACCGGAAGTTGCCAGGACTTTTACCAAATTTTTTAAAGCCTTACCCTAGCCGAATTAGATACAACCAACCCCCAATACCAAATAGTCGTGTGCACACACCATCAAATAGATACAACCAACCCTCAACACCAACTTGTCGTGTTCACACACCACCAAATAGATACAACAGTGTCTCCTGTGTAAGCAGTAGTGAGCTGGATCAGCCAAATAGTCCAACCTACACAAAACGACGCGAGGTTCCTCTCAGCTTCACTGCTACATTTTTTTTTTAATTGGACATAAAGACAATTTAGACAACGATAAATTTTAGACCAAGCAAAATTGACCAAATTTTTTGAACAAGCAAAATTGGCCAAATTTTTAGACCAAGCTTAAGTTTAAGACCAAAAAGAATTGACCAAACGACATAAAAAACGATCATTAAACAATAAAACAACCATAGCCTTAGACCAAGTGATCCAAACTTGATATACAACGTATCGCGACAACGACACTGTTACTTACCCAAGCATGGCTTTCAATAATCAATAACTGTTGATTTGAACTGTGATAATATTGGTCTCTCAGTATTCAATAAACATGTTTTGACGTTTGACAATAAAAATGTCAATCTTTTCAATCTTTTTTTTACAATATAAATGTCAATCTTTTTTATTTGTCAGTGGTGACACGACACTAGTAAAGGGTGTCACTTATTGCTCGCAAGGGTGTCACCTTTTGCAGACATCTTATATTATTTGGCCACTGAATGTACTAATCTCTGATGAGTGATTTCAGTATGTATATGTGATGTCAGTATGTATATGTGGTGACATCAATTATTACAGTGCCGTAGGTCGGATTTTGTGATGGATGGAGGTTTTTTTAATGTTATATATATATATATATATATATATATATATATATATATATATATATATATATATATATATATATATATATATATATATATATATATATGTGTGTATACATTTACCTAGAAATACATATTAACGATTTTTAAAATAATAGGGCCATTCAAAATTTTGGAACCACAAAGCGACATCAGCGCTTGCCAATGGTTGTAAATTAACGTAAGACAACTTTCATTTTGGAGAACCATGTGATGGGGAGGGGGGGGGGAGGTGGAGTCCAGAACCCTTTCCGTCCGGCCTTCGCCAGCATGTCTTAGCGCCAGTGTTACTAATAGCCTCACTATTCGCCTGGTGTATTAATAGCCATACTATTCGCCTGGTGTACTAATAGTCTCACTATCCGCCTGGTGTACTAATAGCCTCACTATTCGCCTGTTACACTAAAAGCTTCACTTTTTTCTTGCCACCATTCATGACGATTTCAGTCAGCAGAGAGTTACATTTGAAACCAACACATTTGCTTTGGTAACGATGTAATTGGTTCGTGGAGTTCACCGTTCATGTTTTGAATAAACTCAGCTTTTATTTTCAAGTTCATTTAGGTTTCAATGACTGCCCTTAAATCTTGACCTACTTACAATGGAGATCACGATCGCACGCATGCGCAGACATGCTGTCAGTCATTGACACTTATTTATATCTCAATAACTTTGGAGTGTTGTGATCCTGTCGGTAGTTAGATCTACCTGTAATTTGTAATCCTAAACCCAAGTATCAAATAACATTCAAAAGTTTTTCTCTTCAGACTCGAGGGTCGCGTCCGGACTTCGAGCATTGTGTTCTGTGAAGTTCGAAGTTTTGCACACAGCTGTAACTAGATTATAGAGTTCACATCTATCAATAGGAAATTATTCATGTACATTGCAATGCATCTAATAATAGTTGGCCTTGATCTTTAAAAAAAAAATAGTACACCACTGCACACTATAAAACTAATTCAAAACCTTTATCTACGTTATTTTCATTGTTTTTGGCTTACAAATTTTCAGCCTTTAGAAATGAAATATTCCATGAGTTTAAATTCGTGGTTGGATGTACAGCCTATAGGCAGTGGCATGTAACCTTGACCCCTGTATTTTGACAGCTGGCACCCGTGGTGTTTGGATAGCCTGACAATGTTTTAGTGGCAACTCTCCAATGTTTCATCTGATAAAAGGGGACTCTCAGAAGGTAAGGCAATGTGTGGTGGACACTAAAGCAAAGGGACTCCACACCAAGCATTATTGTAATCATCAAACAAGTATAGCTGGCTACATCACCCTGCTCAAATAGAGAGAAGCCTCACCCTTCAAACCTTACTGGATCAACTAAACACATTACCAGAACAAACAAGTGTAGTTGGCTACATCACCCTGCTCAAATAGAGAGAAGCCTCACTCTTCAAACCTTACTGGATCAACTAAACACATTACCAGAACAAACAAGTGTAGTTGGCTACATCACCCTGCTCAAATAGAGAGAAGCCTCACTCTTCAAACTTTGCTGGATCAACAAAACACATCACCCTGCTCAAATAGAGAGAAGCCTCACTCTTCAAACCTTGCTGGATAAACAAAACACATGATCAGAACTAACAAGTGGTATAAGCTTTATTAACAAAATAATGAAAATGTAAATTGAGTCAGAAAATGATGTATGCAGCAATAATTTACACAAACAAAACAAGCCTCAAGCCAAGGGAAAGATCTCTTGGTAACCTTTGACCTGTAACAATTGGGTGGGATAGAGCAATATTACACAGACCCTGAGAGGACAGACTGATGTACAAGAGAAATGCATATTACAAGTGGTTCATCTTTGTCAACAATAATGTAAACAATAGCAAAAAACTTCAGGTAGAAATAAATGTTTCACATCATTCTGTAGGCACTAATCAGGGGCAGCAACTCAGGCCAGGACCAACAACTGCATGTTATCTGATACACATACTTAAACCAGAGGTCATTTTCTTCTCTGGCTTGGCCTCAGATTTTTTACTCTGTTTCTCATAGGCAAAACATTTCCACAGCCTGATGGTCTCGTCTGCTGCGGCGCTGGCTACAGTGGCGCCATCTGGTGACATGGCCATGCACAACACGCGAGATGTGTGGCCTGGGGAAGGACAAACATACAAATTAGATGAAGGCCGCATTCAGCTGGCTATAGAATAATCAACAAAGTCCACCAATTCATCTTTTTGGACAACACAGTTTATATATTTCTACACATACAAATTTGTATATTAATAATTATACTTAATAAGTTCAAAGCTAAGATCTTACTAAAAAAATTAAAAAGTAACAATTTTATCTCATTTAAATATTTAAAGTAAAGTTTAATACAAATTTAATCTGCCCCCCAAGTACAGAAATGAACCTAGCCCAACTCACCCCCCTAGTACAGAAATGAACCTAGCCCAACTCACCCCCCAAGCACAGAAATGAACCTAGCCCAACTCACCCCCCAAGTACAGAAATGAACCTAGCCCAACTCACCCCCCCCAAGTACAGAAATGAACCTAGCCCAACTCACCCCCCAAGTACAGAAATGAACCTAGCCCAACTCGCCCCCCAAGCACAGAAATGAACCTAGCCCAACTCACCGACTAGATCAACAACTTTGTTCATGGATGGATACTTCCAGATCCTCAGGTGATTGAGTGCGTATCCATGGCCAGATATCAACTCCTTGTGCTCTTTGGACCACAAGATGGAACACACCTGGACAGATAGAACCAATGTCTAGATTAAAGGCTGTCTTTGTAGGTAGTGTAGGATTTGTTTGAAATTTAATCTGTGGGTTCAGTCAGTGGTTCATGAGAAAAACAGAAGAGAGAAGAGTCCAAGTCTTAGTTGGTCTGTAAGTTGTCCTATGGAAAATACTAAGTCTTGTACACAACATTTTGTCTCTGACAGCCCACCTCAAATTGTACACAACAGTATACAACCAACATTACACAAATTAGAACTGGGTTGCCTACCTCTTTAAAAAAAAAATTCAGTTACAAAAGCATTGCTTTTCCCAATAGTGGGATACTGTTGTTAACTTAAAGAACCCCCCCCCCCCCCACATTTTGTATATGTAAGGTAATCATAAATCACATCACAATATTATAGTGATAAGTCTTGTGATGTGTTAAAGATGCTTGAAAACATGAGATTCTAATTAGCTCAATATTTAACTCAGAACAGGAACCAAAGTTGAAACAAGAAAAATCTTTAAAAAAAAAAACATTTACACCAGCGTGGCAAAACTCTGAGAATGCAGCCTTGCAACAACCACACACAACATTTGACATGACCAACAGTTGTAGACATCTGGGCACCAACCCACCTGAGATTCTGTATCATAAGCTCCCACATTAGCCCCTGACTGCACGTTCCACATCCTGATGTGTCTGTCAGCAGTTCCACCTCCAGTGGCCAGTAGATATGGTTGCCATGGGCACCAGGACATTGCCTGCAGAGAACAAAAAACATTCAAAGTTATCATGACTATTCCTGCTGTGACAAACACTGACAGTAATCTTCTGACTAAAGCCTTCCTCTAACCATCACCTGGTGACTAAAGCCTTGCTCTAACCATCACCTGGTGACTAAAGCCTTCCTCTAACCATCACCTGACTAAAGCCTTCCTCTAACCATCACCTGACTAAAGCCTTCCTCTAACCATCACCTGGTGACTAAAGCCTTCCTCTAACCATCACCTGGTGACTAAAGCCTTCCTCTAACCATCACCTGGTGACTAAAGCCTTCCTCTAACCATCACCTGGTGACTAAAGCCTTCCTCTAACCATCACCTGGTGACTAAAGCCTTCCTCTAACCATCACCTGGTGACTAAAGCCTTGCTCTAACCATCACATGGTGACTAAAGACTTCCCCTAAGACTCCTGAACTTACCTTGACAGCTGCCTGGTGATCTGTGAATGTGTAGAGAGGAACCGTGGCATTAGCTGACCCAACCTGGTTGCTCCAGATGTTGACTAGGTTGTCATTGCCACCAGAGGCTAAGTGTCTTCCATCAGGTGACCAGCGAAGGCCACAAACTTCCTGCGTGTGATTCTCAAGTACTGCCACTTGATGGTTGGCTATTCGCACATCATGGTGGTGGATAGCTCCAGTGCGTGATCCACTGAAAGGAAAGTTTTTTAAAAAATGTATGCATTAAACAATATAAGTCAAAATACAACCATGGGAAAACTTTTGTTTTATAAAATCTAAAAATTAACAAGACAAACTAAACACCATAACACTTCTTAATAACTACTTGCAAAACTGCATTTTTGCAGTGCATTATAAAATTAACCAAAGTTAAAGCGGAAAAATGAGTAAGCATGCATGAAAATAATTGTTATTTATTTTCCCTACAAGCATATTTTTCCTCAAAAAAAAAAAAGCCACTCTTTTTCCTTCTCAGAGCATGGAGCATTCAATACCAATTACTTTATATCAGTAATGTATGTGTTTCAAGTATATAGGTTAAAAATGTGATGCTCTTTTCTGCACAAATACTAAAAAAACTGGTGAACTGTGAATATAATCAAGGTGCTAAAGGGTTAAGACTGGTCTATAAATAACTGCTAGCACAAAGGAGACCCACCTGGACAAAATGTGAGCATTCCATGACATGCTCCCAACACGGGCAGTGTGGCCTGTCATTGAACGTATCAGTTTCTGTTGATCTGTGTCCCAAATCTGAGGACAGTTTTCAACATATACTTTCAGAGTCAACAACTAGGTACTAGTTCATTAGTGTATGTACAGCTAGTGCAGGGCTGCCTACCCCAAAAAATTTTTCCCCGTAACAAGAGCATAGGTTTTCCGTAACTTTCCGTAACTTTCCGTATTTTTACACATTTTTTAAATACAATGTAAATAAGACCCATGGGGTCATCCATAAATGACGTCACACTCGTAGGGGGGAGGGGGGGTCCGTAATTTTGTGACGAAGTGTGACGAGGGGGAGGGGGGGGGGGGTCAGATGTTGCGACGTCACATTTTTGCATTATAAAAAAGCAATGTTAGAAAACGAATTTTAGACGTTATTTCGCGTTTTAGATAACTGTTTTAATAAATTGTAATAGTTTAGACAAGATTTTGGAAAAATATCAATGTTTTAAAAAAATTCAACTGCAATTTTGAGGGGGGTTGTAGGTTGAGGTGTGACGTCATTTTAGGGGGGGTCTGGCTTTTTGTGACGAAGTGTGACGGAGGGGAGGGGGGGGGAGGTAAAAATCGTCCAAAAAAGCGTGACGTCATTTATGGATGACCCCCATATTATATGATCGTAAAGCTCATCAGCGTAATGATGACAGTCGGCGACTCGTGCTACTTTTTATTTTATGGACTAATAATTAGTTTTTTTAAAAAAAAGCCGTTAAATTCAGAATGTAAGGCGACAATGGAAAATTTCAAATAGGAATTGTTCTTGCAATGAGTAGTATGACGTATGTTATAGGCCAACACTACGGATATCTAAACCAATGTGAACTCAGTGACCCCTCGACTGTGTGTGTGTCAGGATTTTTTCTCCCGCGAACAAGAAAACGTAAGCGGCCGACGGGTGACGATGTTTAGAATTAGCATATTTCTTGAATATTTTTTTTTCAATCTACATTTTATCAATGTAATATCTAGAAGAAAAGAACAATTTTAAAAATATGATCCGTAATTGATCTCGGTGAGCCTAGATCTCGTTGTTTAGTAAAATCTTGTCTTCTCGCACATCTCAAACAAAATGCCTCGATGTCTCAGCAAATATGTCTCGCCAGACTGCGCGATGAGACTTTCAATGATTTAGGCCACGCCCTTTTTTTTCTCTACGGACAACACCGACTCATAATCGCGGGGTCAATAGTTCACAATATAAACATGACTGCCGCCAGCCATGACAAGAGCGGGAAGGGAAGGGGGAGGGAGGATTGTTACGGAAGAGGCTGAGAACCTTAGAACCGAATAACACACTGATATTAGTGATATATAACTAGCTAAATTAAAATATAAAACTCAGACCGGGAACATAAAGTTAAGTTACCACCAGAAATTTTTTTTTTACACTAAAGTCGATTTTGATCTCTACTGAAATCAAAACCGTAATTTTGCAGCAAAATCGTAATTCCGTAACCTGGGTGTCAAAATCGTAAAGTTACGGGCAAAACCGTACAAGTAGGCAGCCCTGCTAGTGCCACGCATAATACTTCAATATATAAGTTATCATAAAAGAATCTCAGTCATTTATGCCTCAGAAAACCCACTGATGCTTTTAATTTTAGAATTACAATGTATAATAGCTGACTACTACTGATAAAACCTACTTCACCTACCTGCACAACGCCAGTACTTAAGCCAACAGCCAATACTGCCCCCTCTTGAGCCCAGGATACAGAGGAAATGTAATCATCAGGGGTAGACAACTCCATCAACTGAATAATTGTTCCATTGTCAGCATTCCAGAGAAAAACTTCATTGCCTAGAGCTACAGTGAGGATGTTGAGGTGGGACCAGTCTAGCAGGTTCAGATCTGAAGAAACATAAGCATTGATGTAAAGGTGTAAGCTAGCAGATTTGGATCTGATGTGAAGGTTTTCCATGACACTCACTATTGCCAGATGGTATACTTGAAGGACATTGTACATGAGGAAAATAAAATGCTGACACAGATTAAAGTAACCATTTGTAGACATCAAGGGAAAACGTACAACTTTTTGGCTTACAGCTAATGCACACCAGCAAATATACACTCATTACCACTCTTCTCACAAATTGTTTTCTTTCACTAAGCACACAGTGTACCATCACCAGATTTTGTAGAAAAAAACAGAATCCAAGGAGGATAATGTGCACAAAATCAATTTATTTTTCCCAAATCTCTGCTTCCAAGTGTTAAACATCTTTAATAATAGGTTACGCTTTAAGTTACCTAAAACATCACCTATATCCCTGAGGTTACTAGCTAAAACATCACCTATACCCCTGAGGTTAACTAGCTAAAACATCACCTATATCCCTGAGGTTAACTAGCTAAAACATCACCTATTTCCCTGAGGTTAACAAGCTAAAACATCACCTATATCCCTGAGGTTAACTAGCTAAAACATCACCTATATCCCTGAGGTTAACTAGCTAAAACATCACCTATATCCCTGAGGTTAACTAGCTAAAACATCACCTATACCCCTGAGGTTAACTAGCTAAAACATCACCTATACCCCTGAGGTTAACTAGCTAAAACATCACCTATATCCCTGAGGTTAACTAGCTAAAACATCACCTATATCCCTGAGGTTAACTAGCTAAAACATCACCTATATCCCTGAGGTTACTAGCTAAAACATCACCTATACCCCTGAGGTTAACTAGCTAAAACATCGCCTATATCCCTGAGGTTAACTAGCTAAAACATCACCTATATCCCTGAGGTTAACTAGCTAAAACATCACCTATATCCCTGAGGTTAACTAGCTAAAACATCACCTATATCCCTGAGGTTACTAGCTAAAACATCGCCTATATCCCTGAGGTTAACTAGCTAAAACATCACCTATATCCCTGAGGTTACTAGCTAAAACATCACCTATACCCCTGAGGTTAACTAGCTAAAACATCACCTATATCCCTGAGGTTAACAAGCTAAAACATCACCTATATCCCTGAGGTTAACTAGCTAAAACATCACCTATATCCCTGAGGTTAACAAAGCTACCAACCAATAAAAACACCCACAAGGACTTACAGTAATCGTCCAGTAGATTAGGAGCATCCAGTATCCGTTCAGGCTCCTTAGGGATGTGTCTGGTGCTGGCTGACTGTTTGATGTTGGACTTGCCACAACTGTATAAGACGTGTAGACTGTTGATGTCTGGACCTGCAAACACAACATGAATAACATCAGTACAACTCACTTGCACAAGCTTGCCATCTACAACAAGTGGTGACTGACTACAATAATGGTGTAAATCAGAGTCACTGATGGAAAGTAACGTTATAAATTGAAGTCACCAATGGTAAACGAAGTAAACTGACCACCGGACACTACTGGTGTAAACACATCATACCATTGGCCTGCGGAGCCTTAGTCCTAAAATTTAAAATCTTGCAGTCTTTCATCTCCATGGCCTCCCTCAACTGTTCCTGGTAGTCTGTGTTTGGGTTGTCATTTTGGTTATTCTCAGACTCCTCCTCCCCACGTTTCATAATGGCATAGTGACCAAACTCCATGTCTGTTGTTGAACGACTTGGTATAAATCTAAATATGAAATTTACACAACATTGTAGAAACAGCAAAACGAACGGATATCTCAAATGGGAAAATGGATTTAGAGTTATTTTCACTAAACTCCCCGCTACACAAACAGCTTTATAATCTAAGATAAAACTAATTTTCTCATAAACTACTATTTTTAAAACTGTTTCTATTTATTTTTAGCACAGATTATTTTATGAAAACAGAAATAAAGATGCATGTAAATATGTAAAAAGTATTGCCTGTAGCACTACCTGTCCTGCAACCTTCCTGGTGTTTTGTTTCCTGGTGTCTTAGTTTTTTTACCGCTGCGACAGCCTGCTACCTCTCCTCCTTTGCCTGAAGGTGTCTTCGCTCCAGGAGTTTTAGGTGTCTTGCTGCCTGTAGTTGGCGCTGCACCATTTACAGTCTTACCTGGAGTTCTTGACCTTGATTTGAAAGGTGAAGAAACTCCTGCAAGAAAGTTACTGCACATTTATATCAACAAAATCTAATGAAATTATTTTGGGAATGCAACAATGTTGTATTAACATAGTTAAATTTCTAAGACTAGATATAAAGATCTAACAAGCAGAATATTATAACTGAATTCACTTTATCCACTCTAGAACTATGATAAGGAATCAGTGAAAGACAAACCATTATAATTAAGTGAATGAGGACATGGTCTAAGAAGGATAAAACAACCAACCATTGTCATTTGGGTGAACCCTGATAAGTGTCTCCTGTGCTTTTCTCTGCCACCTCATCATTGGCCCACCCAGCATGGGACCATCAAGCTTGACTATCTCATTGATGTCTTTGTTGAAGTTGAAGTGGGCCATGATACCCCTGTCAACAGTCACACTGTAAATGTAAAGAGAAAGACATTCAACGCCAATAAATTACAAGCTCAAATGGTTATCTAAAATTCTTGTGGCTTCTAAAGTTAAATGCTGGGATGTTTTGGACTAGAGACATATTATGAAAACATAGGCCTATATCAACCACATAACATATATAATAATGATATGGGACTAACATTTATTCTTAATACGGCAGGAAAATATTCTATTAACTAATAATTTTATGGGGGCATTTTTTTCAAGTGGCATAAAAATAGTAACAATTTTTTTCCAAAACATATTTATTTTATTAGCATTCAGTTTAGAAATAGAGTTAATTATATTTAGTGGGTAAGATATTTCACGTATACTATGATTTTCAAGATTATTTATATCCGCATTTTGAACACAGAACAGTGAAATCATTTAAAAAAAAAAAAAAAACAACTCTTGAGAGAAGGATTGTAGTCAAGAAACCATTACAAAAAAAAATTTCTCCGCATAGTTCGCCTTTATTTTTCATTCTTCAAAATGGCCCCTAAAAAATTGGACTTAGCTATTTCTTCAAATATTTTTTTCAAAAGAAAAAGGGCTGTTTTGTGTGATGTTTCATGTAAACAAATGCCCATGTCAACATGTGTCGAACCAGGTGAAGGCACCCGATTGACAATTGCAGTCACGCATGAGTGGTTTTCTTACGTTCTTGTGAATTCAATACCAGTTACTTGACAACAACACTGGAAGACAACGAATTTGGGAAAATAATGACCCTAGCGTAATGGCTTTTGAAGATTGTTAAATAAAATGAGTGCAGTGGGTTCATTTGTTGATTCTATAGTTGTCTTAAGTAATTTACCTAATAAGGGAATGTTGAAACAATCCCAAAGAAAGAACAATATAAAATCTTTGATAAATGCATCACCATGAAATTTGAAAACCATGTTTGTCAAAAAGGCCATCTTTGGCTAGAGGTCATAAGCCAACATATGTCTTGAGAATGATGCTATATTATAAATTTAGTTTCTGATGGTACAAGGCATTTACATAATATTACACAAATAACTAAGGAATACATCCTACTCTATGCAAGTTTTGAGTCTTTAATCCATGATACAACTGTACAAGGTACAACACCTGATGTTGTGTGTATGGCACAAAAGTTAAAATGCTGCGAGTAGGGAAGGGGAATTTAACACCAGAATTGTTTTTTAAAATAATGAGGTCATCATAATGTGGTATTGAAGCAACGAAGCTGTTTCTACTTCTTTAATAGTAGAAATATGTAGGGCCTATATACAAAGAAAATGATAGACCTACTGCTACAGCATCATACAGGAAATGTGTAATCTCAGTTCCTAATAAATTAATTTATTAGGCTAGGCCTAATTAATTAAATATCACTAATGATAATGAAGGGAGATGGTTTGTTTTGGTTAAGGCACGACACACAACACTGTGTGTGTGGTATGTGGCCAACCAAATGAAAGTGGGTGTATTTTGTTTTTGCAATGATGGATGGTGGGAATGGGTAAACATCTATTACTGAACAAATCAAAAACTGATGAAAGCAGTAAAAACAGAAAGAAAAAAAAACAATGTGGTATTCAAATGTAATTAATACCAAATTTTCATAAACACAATCTTAATTCAGAAAAAATGTAGGCCCAAGACTAATGTCTACAGAAAAAAGTAAACGACTAGGCTTAAGGGGTCATCCATAAATGACGTCATGCTTTTTGGACGATTTTTACCCCCCCCCCCCGCCACATGTCGTCAAAAAAAGCCAGACTCCCCCACCCCCCTAAAATGACGTCACACATCTGCCTACAAACCCCCTCAAAATTGCTGTTGAATTTTTCTTAAAACATCGATATTTTTCCAAAATCTTGTCAGAACTCTGTCAACATTCCTATTAATTCAATTCCTATTACAATTTATTAAACTCGTTTTCTACAACGCGAAATAACGGCTAAAACCCCTAAATGGATCACCCATAAATGCTGTCATATTTTTCCCGATGAATTCCCTTTCCCCCTATCGTCACTAAAAGCAAGATGATGATTTAATATCATATCCCAGTTCTACTATACCCGAACCCTTAATCACAATTTCTAACGAAAACGAATGAGTTCATCATTTTTTTCTATAAAAATATGTTTTAAAAATATTTTACCTCGTCCCATATTTTGAGTCGAACGTCAATTATGAGGAACGAGCCGACCCGCAGCGTATCATACGCCGCTATTTAGTTGTTTTATTTTCTACTTTTCAGTAAGTGATATGGTTTGTAATGATATATGATAAGTGACAGAAAATTTTAATTGAAGAATTTAATAAGAAAATCTAAAAATTAAAAATAAGAAGATGGCCCTCTGTCCTACTTATATTAAACAAGACAGCTAAGTATATTAAACAACAAAGTCAACAGAATATACATACGAATAGACATTTTTATCAAGGGAAACTACTCTAAATTTTATTTGGAATGATGACCGCTGTTTTTATCAACTAATATTTATCTCAAACACTCCTGATATTTTAACTTGTTTTGGTCACTTAGGCCTATTGTTCTTTTAAATCAATTATCTGTTATATTTTGTAAAATTTGACTGAAATACACTTATTTAAACAAATATATTCATCAGTTACCTCTCCCGCACATTACTACTGCAGCCGAATTGATTACGCTAAAACGATAGATTACCGATTAAAAATTAATCTGTGTAGCCTAGAATCTACATTTTATTTTTATTATTCTATGATCATTAGGAAAAATATCCCAACATTCCTAAACTAAGGTTTTACCAGATCTACTTATGGCACTAGAGGTAAAATCTTAGTTTAGCGTCGTAAATTCCAACGTAGCTAGTAATGTGCGATGAAGGTAACTAATGAATATTTCTTTCATTTGGCCATATTTATGTCATATTTTACATCATATAACAGATAATGGAATAACAAATCACAATCCAAGACCAAACCAGTCATAAATATCCCGGAATTAACTTTAAACTACCCCGTTCGAGACAACAATGAGTAAATACAAGCAGCAGCCATGTTTCAAAAACAATAAATTGTCTATTCGCATGTCTTTTGTGTTGATTTTATGGTTTAATATGATTGTTTTGTATTGTTTTAATATATGCCTGGGGGTCGTCCATAAATGACGTCACACCCTTAGGGGGGAGGGAGGTCCGTAATTTTGTGACGTTGTGTGATGAGGGGGAGGGGGGTTCAGATGGTGCGACTTCACACTTTTGCATTTTAAAAAAGCAATGTTAGAAAACGAATTTTAGACGTTATTTTGCGCTTTAGAAAACTGTTTTAATACATTGTAATAACAATTGATTAAAATACTCTATTTTGACAGAGTTCAGACAAGATTTTGGAAAAATACAGCTGTTTAAAAACAAATTCAACTGCAATTTTGAGGGGGGTTGTAGGCTGAGGTGTGACGTCATTTTAGGGGGGGTCTGGCTTTTTGTGACGACGTGTGACGGAGGGGTGGTGGTAAAAATCGTCAAAAAAAAGCGTGATGTCATTTATGGATGACCCCCTGTATAGTAATTTATCTTTTTTTTTTAATATAGTTGACATGCATGACTAATAAACCTTTTCAGACTTAATAGTGTGCATCCAAGACCATAACAATTGTTGGGAGGTCGAACTTTGAACACTTTATTTGCAGTAAGCAAATCAATATTAGATCGCTTATAAATGACGTCGCTCTTAAGATAGTAATGACAGCGTGCATTATTACAGAGCAAACATATGAACATATTGTTTTAGATAGAAATTGTGATTTGTGGTGGGGAGAGGTTGAGTAGAACTCAGCGATGTGATTTTAGAGACGGGTCAGGTTGTTTTTTTTCGTGAAAACGGGATGGTTGCGGGAGAAAGACCAGCTGTAGAAGTATGACGCGTCTTTCATTGGTGATCCATTTTCTCAGTGGGGACGATAGAACTATTAAGAAGGGTCAAGAAATGTAAAAAGCATGCTGAGTCGCATTTCTCGAACCCCACCTTTTCATTCCCCTACTTAGCACATCGTCACCGCTCACATGTGACGTCATGTACCGGTACCCGCCGACCGTTAGGCTAATTGTATAGAAAAAAAAACAACAAGCACTGCCTTTCTGACGCTTTTGCAACGTTTAATATGATTACATAAGTTGGTGTTCATTAAACAGCCCCTAACATACAGAGTTTCTTCTAGGCATCTCTTCGAAATGAAATTTATATAATTTATATAGAAAATATATACTTTTAACAGTGTCCCCCCCCCCCCCCCGAAGAAAGTCTACCGTCCGTCCGTTCCGTCCCCCCCCGAAAATTTCAAGTGCCCCCCCCCCCCCGGAGAAAAAAAGTCTGGAAGAAACACTGCTAACACATCTATCACTCGTTAAATTAAACGTACGTTATTTCTGCAAGCTTGCTGTCTTGAGACTTTCGGCCCTTTAAAAATGTATTAAGCTCTCACCGTATAAAACTAGACTACCTATATTAAGCTCCAAAAGAAGCTTGGTGAAAACAGGATGGCCGTCCGATTTTGAAGCTGCTCTGCGCTTTATAAAAAGCACAATAAACGATAAGATGACACTTATATTAAAGTAAATTATAGTTCTGAATCTTGATACATTAAAAGTGATATTCCGAAATTAAGAGCCAGACAGTCAACATGATATTTCAATTTAAATCCAAGACAAATTTCCTCAAACCTTGGAACATTACCAAATTTTCGCGCAGGTTAGCGAAATTGAATTTAAGTATTTACGTCATCTTACAAAGAGTGATAGCCTACTGGTGCTCTAACGCGGCCCATGCCAATGGCCGCATTCCTAACTCCCCGCATTAGACGCGGCTTATTCGTCGACAGGCATTTGGTGGCAAGCCTTTTTGACGGGGATAATGTGTTAAGTTAAGGCCGTTTTGCCAAATGTCTTAAACTAGCAGGCTTGCAACATTTGTGATGATTCGTTTTAAGCAAGGTATACGTATACTAATGCTTATTTATCGTTATTTTGATTGAACAAAGCATTATAGAGGTTCTCCATCAATCTCCTAGGTATTTTTCCCCGTTCACCTCCTTTCATGAGACCGAAACGTCATAAATTGCGGAGCCGTCAGAGTTGACGTCACAAATCTTCACTCACTCCCGTAGCAAATCATATGTGACATCATTTATGGACAACCCCATATCACTCACTTGGGTACTTGATATTGACATTTTGTTTGGCAGGTGGAGACTTGCGATCGACCATAATGACAACACGCACTTAAGGGGTGGAGTGGCTGATTATTTTAGATGATGTTTTACGAGGGAAGCGGGTGGATAATACATTTTGTCTCTCTGTATATATAAATGATGACAAACATTTATTGTTGTCAAAATTATGGCTAGAGATCTTAGATAAGGCAGAGCGAAGCGTAATTTTTTACATTAGGGGTCATCCCCCCCTAAAATGATGCCACACCTCAACCTACAACCCCCCTCAAAATTGCAGTTGAATTTTTTTTAAACATCGATATTTTTCCAAAATCTTGTCTAAACTATTACAATTTATTAAAACAGTTATCTAAAACGCGAAATAACGTCTAAAATTCGTTTTCTAACATTGCTTTTTTATAATGCAAAAATGTGACGTCGCAACATCTGAACCTCTCCCCCTCATCACACATCGTCACAAAATTACGGACCCCCACTACGAGTGTGACGTCATTTATGGATAACCCCTTATGACTGGTTGTGACATTGACAACAAAAATATGACGGAGGTTGGGGTTTAATTAAGGTAAAGAGAAGTAAAAAAAAATGTCATAAGTTACGATAGAATCACTAAAAAAAAAAACCTGCAATGAAAATGGTGAACATTCAAACAATAAGAAAAAACTATATAATATAGTAATAGTAAGATCAAATAAACATTAGTAAAAAAAAAAACGTGATTTAAAACATGGATACAAGTTGCATCTCACAATGCTTCTAGAATTAATAAAGTTGTTTGTTAGGAGATTCAGTTTTTAAAGAGCAGAATTTTTAAAAAAAATGCTTTATTATACGGACTATACAAAAAGACAATCATATTTAAATACATTTTCATACGAATAGAAATGAAAGGGAAGCTACTCTAAATAACATTTTCTTAAGATGGCTGCTGTTTTTAATAGCAAATTTACTATCTCGAACAGGGTTGATAAAAATTAATTTCAGGATATTTAAATTGATTTAACCATAAATGGTGATCTATTATTCAATTATTTATAATATTTTATCAAAATATACGAAAATATACCCATATTTAATAATATTTATTATTTATATTTAGACTAGGCCGTTCGATTCAACACTTCCGGGTTTGTCATTTTCGTGGCATCTCACGGCTCATGCGCTTACTAAAATGGCGACCAGTTTCGCTTTCTCTAAACGGTAGAGGGATAAACTATTGATTGCGATGCCATCGTTAATTTTAGAAAACGGAACTATCCGTTTCTATTTCAGTCTGTTATTTAAGAATTCCCAGATGTACTTTTGACCTAATTTCTTTGTCTCGCAAGCGGCGCGTAAGTGAAAATAGCTCTATGTATTCTTGTCTTTTAAATCAAATAACTCTGAAATATCGCATTCCTTGGAACCCAGCCTATGTTACTACTTGAAAACTTTAAACTATTAATTTAACACACATTACAATTAACTGGTAATAATTTCTTGGGTTTATGAGATGTGTTCGTGGGAAAACGATCACCCCCAATAATGCCATTTTTTTATTATAATCTTGTTTGGTGAAAACGAGGCGCGGGAAAATGTGTGCCGCGCAAGAATCCAATCATTTGGCTAGATTTATGACTGTTTTTTTATGTCACACCTAAAAATAGAATGTTTACGCTTTCTTCGTTGATGATCGTTTTTATTATTTTTTAAACTGAAACTAAAAAGTATGAATTATTAGTTTGCAGATTTTGTAACTTGGTGTACTTACCCTTTATCAATTTTAAAAGCATAGCATGCTAATTGTAAACAAATATAGTCATAAAACACAGAAATATAAAGTTCCAATTGCGATGTGCCACACCCGGGTCACACCCCCTCAAGAAAACACGTGTTTATTAAGCTGTTTATCTCACTTTACAACAGTAATTAAAATTAATTTTCAAATTTTTTTCACTTATTGGGTAAGATAAAGCACATGTTTACTAAAAATAAAAAATAAAACAAAAGCAAATTCTGTTTTAATGAGGGTCACGGGTCAAGTTTTTTTTCCTTCTGTCAAGTTCAGTGGAGGGTGCCACAGGCTGACCTGACTTTGGAATTTTTTTCAGTAATAATGACTTTGCACAGAAAGTTTAAATATGCTAAATTAGCTTAGTTTACTAGTGTTCTAGCTATTATTGATACATTTTTAATAAAAAAAATCATTCTGTAATTCTAGGTTAAATTATGGATTTTTTAAAATAAAATATTCTGTTATTTCAAATACACCATTAAGTTCCTTACCCCTTAAGAGAACATTTGACACCACATTTAAATATCTAGCTTACTCGGTTGACGAGAAAAGAGAGAATTTGAAAATTAATCAAAATTGAAAATGAATGACAAAACAGCGTTCTAGGCATAACATGACGTCGTCGACTTGTGTACACGAGCTTTTAATTCCCGCCATGGTAATTGCGTCAGCTTAGGTAATTTACTCACCGGAAAATAACAAAAAGCAACTGGTTGATAATAAAACTAGATCTAGTTATTTTATTATTTATTAAATTCTACTCTACATGTTATTCATACCATTTTATGAAGTAATGAACACCTGCATAAATCAAATGACCATAATAAATATTTTTATTTCAAATTCTAATTTTAAATAATAAATATGCTTAAAATAATATGATAGTAACAGTTATGATCGTTTATAAATACAAATACATTTTACACTCAATTCACATTATATTGAGTCAACAGTGTGGCAGCTGAGGTTCATACATGGTATTTTTTTTTTTTACATTACATTTTTTTTCATCTTGAAAACATGACGTATGTGATTTTTTTTTTTTTAAATCTCCAAACATCGTCACTCGCGTGATTGCTTGCTTACGTTTACTATCCTGTGGATGAAAAATCCCACCACGGTCGCGGGTCACCGTGAGTTCAGCAGGCCTATAGTACACGTCATAGCATGAACACGCGTACACGAGATGGTCGGTGTCTTCACTTCTCTCTCTCTTCCCCCCCCATCCCTCTAGCCAATTGAAAAACAGACCTACTTCCCTACTTCTGGTCATTTTTTTTTAATGTTCGGTCATTTTTTTTAAGTTCACATATCAGGCATGCAAGACAGCCAGCCAGTGGCGTAGCGAGGTCGGGTGTCACCCGGTGCGGCACTTAATGGTGTCAGCCCCCCCCCCCCCAAAGGCGTAGCGACCCTTCCCGGGGATAAACTTTCTTTCAAATTTTCGATTTGCACCCCCCCTCAAGTTTTCGATTTGCACCCCCCCCCCCTCAAACTTTCGATTTGCACCCACCCCCTCAAACTTTCGATTTGCACCCCCCCCCTGCAGCCAGCTGTATTAAAAAATATTTTTTAAACTAGATCTACGTCTAGCTTAAAAAAATAAATAAACGCTTAAAATGCCCGTAAACTGATTATTTAGCGCCAAAAAAAAAAGAGGCCGCTGAACGAGCATTTTTTAAAATACGCAGCAATGAAAAAGGCTTACGGCCAATCAATTAAGTCTAAAAATCGCCCGTAATTAGGCCTAGCGCTGAAAAAGGCCACTGAACGAGCATCACTGATTATATAAACGAATAGGCCACGCGGCGTTGACGAGGTTAACCACCGGTCACGAATGCAGCAACGGTCGGCCCACAGTGAAGAAAAAATCAATATACTAATAAAATTACTAATACAATAATAATGTCCATAATTTTACTTTTTCCGCACATGCTACAATTGAATAATATTTAATAATAATTAAAATACTAAACTTAACAGTTCATTCCGTAAAAAACAAAAACTAGTTGTTTCAGTCTGGCAACTAGCGTAGCAATGACGTCACGATACTAAAAATAGCGGATAGAAATGTCAGGGTGGGTACCTCATTTTGGAATTAGATTTTGGAAAGTAGAATCGATAATACTGTAAATATACATGGTAATTATCTCAATTATATATTAATTTAGTGTTATCGGAGCCGTTTTCCCCGTTATTGGGTCGTTTTTGGCCGCGGTTCAGTTTTTACGGAGAGTGCTCCACTAGAAATCCTCTCATTATTTACAAACACAATTCTCGCGATTTTTTCTGGCATTCTAAGGCATATTATCCATTTTATTAGCATTTTGTGTTAAAATAATGATCAGAGTTGGCGAGATAAACAGTTCTTTAATTTGTCGTGGATAGGACCCCTAAAATAAACGTAGAAACCGTCAGAAAACGATGCGTGACGTTTCAGGGTCAGAGGTCAATCCAGCCATCTAAGTGACGAACCGGCCTAGTAATTCTCATCAAAAAGCCTACGACATTAAACTTAAAGTTGACATTATCATAATATTCATTAATTCACTCACTCTCTCCTACATTACTAGTTTTGGCCGAATTTACGACGCTAAACTAAGATTTTACCGCACTAGAATATCTAGATCTAATTACCTTGTAAACAACGTGTGATATAGACTAGGTCCTAGATCTCTCTAGATCTAGATCAAGAATATAAGTTGGGTCAGTGATTTAACTTTAGGCCTAATTCTTTGAATTTACCACTGTTGTTAGAAGATTGTCACGTGACCTTGGGCATCCGTTTCCGGTGAAAGCAGAGTTATTTTATCCTAGATAGACCTACCATAATTTTAAATTTATTTCATTTAGATCTAGATCTACTTGTCATTGTAGATATACAGACAAATCTATGTTTAAAGAGCATTGAATATTAGCCTATATAAATATAACAGCTGGCCTTCATGATCTTTTGCAGTAGGATTTTACGCTATATAATATAGGTTTAAACAAGGGGGTGGGGGTGACAACATGACGTTAACGCGCTAGCCACAGTTAAAACAATGCCACATCCTACTGTATTATTAACAGACTAAAGATAAACATCGTTACTATTAGGCAGATTTAATGAAACGTCTTTTATGTTATAAGAATTATTTTTATCGGTAACTGAACTCTAAAAATAGCCATTCTGTTTACAATCGAATGCAAACCAGGTTATATACAAGAAAGCTTCGCGGATCATGCCGCGGACGAAAAAACGAAAACAGTATGGATTTCATGGCTTCGCGGAGAAGTGAGATCCGCGAAGTAAACTAGGTCTTGCTATAAATTCGTATACTTTTCAAACTTCGTTCAGACAGCAGCGTTGAATGATAATAAAACATCAACCGCTAAGAGAGACAAAATAGTTTTGAATTTTACAGTTACTTGCTAGATCTAAATACAAGATATAAAACAATGCCAACATTAAATGTTCCAGTCCCTCAGTGTTTAGAAGTTGTGTTTTCCTTCGACACCACAGGCTCTATGTACACGTGGCTAGAGGAGGTCAGTGACAGGAGCCAGGACATGATACAACGTCTGCAGGCCGACATCCCCGGCATCAGGTTGGCCGTGTTCGCCTACGGGGACTACTGTGACGATGGCACTTACGTCACCAAGTGGATTGACTTCACGACTGACGTGGCCCAACTTTGTGAATTCGTAAAGAATGCTGAGAAAACGAGTGGGGGCGGCGCCCCTAAGTGCTACGAACTAGTTCTGAGGCAAGTGAGAACAAAGCTATCGTGGACGCCAGGCTCAAGGCGTGTCCTCGTCTTGATTGGCGAGAACAACCCGCACGAGCCAACGGAAGTTTGCATCAAATGCCAGAAAAACAGGGCCAACTGGCGGGACGAGACGAAAAATCTGGCAGCCAATGACGTGACGATCTACGGCGTGCAGTGTGGCTATAAGAACGCGGACGCTTTCTACTTCTACAAGACGATCTCTATCGCCACAAACGGTAAACACCTACATCTGGTGTACTTTAAAAGTATCTTCGACACTCTGATGGCCGTGTGTTACAAAGAGAGCAACGACACGGCCATGCTGACGAATTACGAAAAAGAAGTGCGAGCCCGACATCCCGCTGGTATACTTGACATGGACATGGAGGCCATTTTCGCTTCTCTACTACGTGACGGGGTCAAGAATACCCCCAACTTGGGCAAGAAAAAGCCAAACAATTCAATACTTAACAAATATAAATTAAAAAATCTTCCCCTGCTCAAGCGTGAGAACGTTCCAGAAATTAACTTTAACCTCCGAACTTTGAACTGGAAGCCTTGGTTTCTGGCATTGGCCAGTGACGAGCCAAACGAAAACAAAACCCACTGGCAGAGAAGAAACAGTAAACCAGGATACACGTTAAAAACATTACCAGCCACTCAACGAATGCGTCCTTCTAGCTGTTTGCTTGAGGTGTCCTTACAATACGGCGGGGCCAAGAGTAAAAAGTACACAGTCTTCAGCAAGTTCTCCGGTCGTTGTTTTGGAACAGTCCACTGGGAGAAACGTCTGTTCGGGTCTGACAGCGCACAGATAGACCATGCACTGCTAACTGGATGCAAAATTTACCTCAGATATTGTGTCGTGGGATCGAGGGAAAAGAAAGACGTAGCTAAAAGTTTGAAAAGATATGATTATGCTTGGAAGAATTATAAAAACATCAGATCTGGTGCCAGAAATGTTGTTAAAGGGGGAATCAAGATTTCCATGCCGTGAATAGACAGCTTTAAAAGAATCTGAACAAATGTGTAGGGTCTACAATTTTTATAAACACATTTTATATTGTTAAAAACATTAAATTTAAATGTTATTTGTCGTATTGCATTGTGTTGACCTATTGCCCTAAGATGACTCATATAGAACTTTATAAACTGCATAGATCTAAAGTGTGATAAAATATTTAAGATACTTTGTCATATGTGCACTTACGTTCCTTAACACTTAGATCTGTTGATATTCATATCCCATGTATTGTAACTTTGTAAATAGATGTCAAAATATAATTGTACATATCACATAGATGTATAGTAGCCTATTTATTTAATATGCCATATAATGTAACTGTATAAATAAATGTCAAAATATAATTGTACACATCACATAAATGTGTAGTATCCTATTTATTTAATGTGCATGAGGATTTAATAATCTGTATGTTATAAAAATTTAATTTTAAAATTGTGTTATAATTTTAAAACTTTAAACAATACATACTATTCTTAAAGATATTCTTTAAGATAAAATATAATTAAGATAAAAATAAAAAGTAAAATAAAAAGTATTGGAAGTTAATTTACTTACATAAAATTTAACATATGTATTTAAAACTGTCAAATGAAATAGGCAGACTTATTCTGACCAAAGGTGCTTGCTTTGACCAAAAGAGGTTTACCACATTGGGACTTTGTCCACAGTGGGACTTTGTCCACAGTGGGACTTTGTCCACAGTGGGACTTTGACCACAGGTGTTTTGTCCATGGTAAAGATTAACTTTACAAGTGATAAAAAGTTGCGTGATTTTATTTGAAAGTGCGGTCAGCGTGGTCGAGTCGGTAAAGCTCATGGTTGCTAAACCGAAAAGTCTCGAGTTCTAACCCCCAGGCAGATGAGGCTCATTAGCTGGGGACAGCCACTCTATAGGAGATACAACTCCAAAATCAAACAACTGCTGCCTTGTAGTTTGTTCTTGGTTTAACAAAGGCAACGGAAGCAAATCCAAAAAGAAAAGCAGGCTGAAATCGGAGTCAATGGCGCATAACCAGTTGACACGTATCCTTAATTGCTATGGAGGCGTGGTCGAGTCGGCAAAAGCTCATTTTTGATAAATTCGAAAAAGTCTCGAGTTCAATCCTCTGGGAGATAAGGCCTAACTAAATAGACTTCCTCTTATTTAAAGACATAAAGTGTTTTCTACACCGTAATATGAATGTATGTACATTATTCTCCCCACTGTTGAAAAAAGAATTCAATAATTGGTGCAATACCTGTTGATGCGACAAGCTCACCTGTTGTCGGATAATCTGTTATCGATAAAAATTGACGATGTTACCTGTTGATTAAGTAAGCCCTTGAAAGGATTATTAACAGAATCCAAACGTCGGTAGATTAAGCGATGATAAAGACGAGGTCTTAGTGCCGCTGGCTTGATACAACAAAGGCTCTGTTGTTGAGGAAAATGGCGAGCAAAGAATGGCAAGCAAAGACCTGGCGGGATGCTGGCTTGATAACAATAGAAAGGAATGTGGACATAGAATTTAGGCCGAGATGCGATGGACCAGCGTGACGCTGGACGGGTAGCCACGCACACAATTTTTAAAATGTTAAACTAAATGTTTAAAAAACGCAACATAGTTTGTAGTTAAATCTAATTTTAAACTGAAGTATTATATTTGATTTTTAAACGTATTTCATGGAACATATACTAAGTTAAACAAACCTATTTAAATAAAATTGCTGCAGTAAATACATAAATCTTTGTAATCTTGGCAAGCCAGGGTAAAAACGGTTAAATATCAAGGTATCAAGGGAAGCTATTCAAAACAAAGGGATGCAAGCACGTACAAATCTTGACCGTATCCTGGCATAAGCATGGCGGGACATTGGCCAAGATAGCGACATTGGGCCAACCTTGGAACGACCTTGGGTTAATAAATTGTGTTAGCTGGGTTGTAGTTTGTTCTTGATTGAACAAAGGCAACGGAAGCAAATTCAAAAAGAAAAGCAGGCTGAAATCGGAGTCAATGGCGCATAATCAGTTGACACGAATCCTTAATTGTGATGGAGGCGTGGTCGAGTCGGCAAAAGCTCATTTTTGATAAATTCGAAAAAGTCTCTAGTTGAACCCTCTGGCAGATAAGGCTCGATCCCTTCCAACACTAAATATTAAGAACAAAGAAGAAGAAGATTTGAAAGTGCGACATGATGTATTCATAAATACAAACGATACAAAATGCTGCACTAAAAGTACATGGTACTGTTCAGACACATGATTAAACAGCAGAGGCGTAGCGACCCTTCCCGGCGCCCGGGGAAAAACTTGTCAATTTGCACCCCCCCTTCAAACTTTCGATTTGCACCCCCCTCAACCTTTCAATTTATTTTTCCAACCCATTTTGGCGCCCCCTAAGGTCGGCGCCCGGGGACATATGTCCCCCGCGCCCCCCCCCTCGCTACGCTACTGTTAAACAGATGTACTGCCATGTTAGCGTGCTATTGAACAAATATCATTTATTTAACCATAGAAGTATATCATCGACATGCTTTTCAATAATTTATGTGCTATGTATTTAAAGAAGATTTACATTATATAGATCTATTAGTGAAACTTTTAAAAATTACTTTCATCAACTTTTAAATACATGCTAGTTTCTATTAAGGCCAACCTAAAGGAATCTTGTTTTTAAAAATTGCATTAATTTATCACGCGCACTGGTTTAGGTAGTTTAAAAATATTCAAAACATTTGGTTTGGTATATAGACGGACCTAAGTAGAAGGGGAAATTACTATAAACAAAAGTGTTCTTAACAGACATCGATATCCACTTTAAAACACCGTTTACTGATCGATTAGTTTGGTTGGTGAAGATAATATCGTTAAATAAGAAAAATGAGTTTGAAAAGTGTACACATGGGATCCGACATATATCTTGTTTGCCTCACTCATGCACTTACTACGGAAAGAGAAGAAGTAATGGGATTATTAATTGGCGAGGTAAGTTACTCAATCATGACTCAAACTTCAAAGTCAATGATGAGTAATTCCAAAGTAATTTGACTCTATTTGAGTAATGAGTAGTTGAGTACTGAGTAGGCCTAAGGCCTAAGTCCTAAGTTCGGTAAGAGAAATAAAGACTAAAGTTGTGTGTGAAGGAACAGTTTGAAGTTTGAGGTTTAATTTTTATATAGTTGGTTGAGTTTCAGTTATTAATATTAATTTATTATTGACTATTGGGTAATCTATCGTTTTAGGTACGTAAAATCGCCCGCGACTAGTAATGTGAAAGACAGGTGACTCCTTAAATTTTAATAATTATTTCACATTTTGAGGAGGATTTATGTTTTGAAAAATACAAAAATGTTTCCTTGTTTCATTTATGTACCTGTTTTCAAACAATTGAATTAAAACTTTTCAATATTAAATGAAGACTAGCGCTGTTTCCATCAGATGCAACCATGCTCATTGACTATAGCAGCCATCTTGTTTAAGTTCTTTCTTTGTTAACTTATAGCGCGAGATTCAGGGGAAGGCAACTCTATTTTACAAATGGCTGCTGTTTATATAGGAAATCCTGCTCACAAACACTGCTGTTTTAAGTTAATTTCTTGCCTATATTGATACATTTAGCTATTGATTTAGGTTTATTATTCATTTATCTATAATATTTGACACAAATATATCAAAATATACTTCTATTAAAGCCTTGACAATGAGGTAACTTTTTCGTACATTGCTAGCCGCGGGCGATTTTACGTACCCAAAACGATAGATTACCGACTATTGACATACTGAGTTAAAAGTTAAACTTAAATTTTAAATTAAACTTAATCTAGAGATCTAGATCTAGATCTAGAACCTAATTTATAAATTTATTTAGTAATTCTAGTTTCATAGTTTGAGCTAGAATCTAGAGCTCTAAATCTAGATCTAAAATAATTATTAAATAAATCTACAATCTACACTAGATGTACTTACTTGTAGTTAGTAGGCTTATAGGCCTAATACTAATTAATAATTAATACTAATTTAATACTAACTGCTTTATTTCAAGTAGACTAGATCTAAACTCTCTGGTAGTAGTATATTAGTATTAGTAGTAGTTTTAAGAAATTAAGATTATTATAATAATGATATTATTAATAAAGACAATAACGCATGTAAATAAAGTCTATAAAAAGGCCATGTAGTAATTACTACTAATTAGAACTAAGACTCAGTTCAATTTAGGAGGCCTACTACTTTTTAGTACTTTGTTCTTTATGAAGTCAAAACCCCATGACTAAACATATTTGCTTTAAACCAGGGGTTTCCAAACTTTTCAGCCCGAGGGCCGCTTTATCAAATATTAGTTCGGGGGCCAGAGCCAGAGTTTTCTTCAAGATATCTCTTCGGGGTGTTTTGAATTTTCTGGACAAAGTTCCTCAGTTAAACAATTTTTCCGTGGACACAAAGACCTTCGCGGGCCGTAGTTTGGAGACCCCTGCTTTAAACTATAAAACTCTAAGACACTAAGAAGAGTAGCTCCTTAAAAGACAATTAACTTCCCCTTGCTACAGTTCACTGTAAATTGTATTGACCAATTGCTAGTATTTAATCTATGTTCTCTGTAATTATTGAACTTAGAAATCTTTCAATTAGATTTTACTGACTAATCTTATGGTATAATTACATAAGAAAAGATTTTCTTGCCTTGTTGTCAGAGACAGACATATCTGAAAAGTTTGAAAAAAATTGCTGCATTGGTCAAATTTAGAGTTACAAGATTTGCCACAAAAAACTAAAAAGCAAACAAACAGACATAATAAACTCAACACTAGGACCATTTTCATATAACTATCATTTAACAGGTTGATGAGGATAGAGTCCTTCATTTGTTTTCTGTCATCATTCTGAGGAGATCAGACAAGCAGGCAGACAGAGTGGAGATCTCACCTGAGCAACAGTCTGATGCATCTATAAAAGCTGAGGTCAGGGCCTTTTCCTTTGTTGTTCTTTTGTTATCACCTGAGCAACAGTCTGATGCATCTATAAAAGCTGAGGTCAGAGCCTTTTCCTTTGCTCTTCTTTTGTTGTGAGGCTTACAATTCTAAACACTTTTCTATTTAGCTGAAAGTTTTAGGAAAACAAAGCTCTTTCAATTGCTTTTTTTTATTGCAGAAACTGGCTAAAGAACTTAACAGACCTTTGCGGGTGGTTGGATGGTACCACTCACACCCTCACATCACAGTTTGGCCATCCCACGTTGGTAAATAAAATAATTATTCACTCAGTAATTAATCATTGTTACATATTTTTATGCTGAAAAGGTTTTATAAAAAAAAAACTTGTTTTCATCTTTGCCCACTTTAGATGTGAGGACTCAGGCAAACTATCAGCTGATGGATGACGGCTTTGTTGGGATTATATTCTCTGTTTTCAGTGAAGACAAGACAACAAAGGTCTGTCATATTTTAAATAGAACTGTAGAAAACTTTTTTTAATACATTTTTTAAACTTAAGCTTTCACTATTACATTATTCCACTATTTAATCTCAAGAAGAATATTGTTGTATTAGCTTTTTCATAGGTTACAATATCTCATTATTATATAAATCACATATATCTGATTATTACTAAATCTTATAATTCCATTTCTTTAGAAACTTAACATATAATTGCATCTCCAATGATAATAAAAGGATATCTCTGTTCCATTCTAATACAACATTACATGAATTAATACATCTAGTCTCTACTGTTTGGTGATGTAGAAAATACCCTTGTCTCCTCAGTGTAACAAGATTGAGGTCACATGTTTCCAGTCTAAAGAAATCAAGTCTGAGTAGGTTGTGTTAGCTTGTAGTTTGCTTTAATGATTGTAATTTAGTCTCCCATTCCACCAAGCCCCTGTAACAATATTCTACAACTCCAGTAAGCCCCTGTAAAGACTATTCAGGTTTAAACAAGTCCCTATAATGACTGTTCAAGTTCCCCCAAGCCCCTGTAAGACTGTTCAGGTTCCCCCAAGCCCCTATAACCACAGGTTTCACCAAGCCCATATAAGTTACTGTTCAGGTTTCCCCAAACCCATATAAGTTACTGTTCAGGTTTCACCAAGAATATATAAGTTACTGTTCAGATTTCACCAAGCCCATATAAGTTACTGTTCAGGTTTCCCCAAGCCCCTATAACACTGTTCAGGTTTCACCAAGCCCCTATAACACTGTTCAGGTTTCACCAAGCCCCTATAACACTGTTCAGGTTTCACCAAGCCCCTATATGACTGTTCAGGTTTCACTAAGCCCCTGTCATGACCACAGGTTTCCCCAAGCTCCCATAACACTGTTCAGGTTTCACCAAGCCCCTATAAGACTGTTCAGGTTTCACCAAGCCCCTATAACACTGTTCAGGTTTCACCAAGCCCCTATAACACTGTTCAGGTTTCCCCAAGCCCCTATAAGACTGTTCAGGTTTCACCAAGCCCCTATAAAACTGTTCAGGTTTCCCCAAGCCCCTATAACACTGTTCAGGTTTCACCAAGCCCATATAAGTTACTGTTCAGGTTTCACCAAGCCCATATAAGTTACTGTTCAGGTTTCACCAAGCCCCTATAACACTGTTCAGGTTTCCCCAAGCCCCTATAAGACTGTTCAGGTTTCACCAAGCCCATATAAGACTGTTCAGTTTTCACCAAGCCCCTATAACACTGTTCAGGTTTCACCAAGCCCATATAAGTTACTGTTCAGGTTTCACCAAGCCCCTATAACACTGTTCAGTTTTCACCAAGCCCCTATAACACTGTTCAGGTTTCACCAAGCCCATATAAGTTACTGTTCAGGTTTCACCAAGCCCCTATAAGACTGTTCAGGTTTCACCAAGCCCCTATAAAACTGTTCAGGTTTCCCCAAGCCCCTATAACACTGTTCAGGTTTCACCAAGCCCCTATAAGACTGTTCAGGTTTCACCAAGCCCCTATAAAACTGTTCAGGTTTCCCCAAGCCCCTATAACACTGTTCAGGTTTCACCAAGCCCATATAAGTTACTGTTCAGGTTTCACCAAGCCCCTATAACACTGTTCAGCTTTCACCAAGCCCCTATAAGACTGTTCAGGTTTCCCCAAGCCCCTATAAGACTGTTCAGGTTTCCCCAAGCCCCTATAAGACTGTTCAGGTTTCACCAAGCCCCTATAAAACTGTTTAGGTTTCCCCAAGCCCCTATAAGACTGTTCAGGTTTCACCAAGCCCCTATAAAACTGTTCAGGTTTCCCCAAGCCCCTATAAGACTGTTCAGGTTTCACCAAGCCCCTATAAAACTGTTCAGGTTTCCCCAAGCCCCTATAACACTGTTCAGGTTTCACCAAGCCCATATAAGTTACTGTTCAGGTTTCACCAAGCCCCTATAAGTTACTGTTCAGGTTTCACCAAGCCCATATAAGTTACTGTTCAGGTTTCACCAAGCCCATATAAGTTACTGTTCAGGTTTCACCAAGCCCCTATAACACTGTTCAGGTTTCACCAAGCCCCTATAAGACTGTTCAGGTTTCCCCAAGCCCCTATAAGACTGTTCAGGTTTCCCCAAGCCCCTATAGCACTGTTCAGGTTTCCCCAAGCCCCTATAACACTGTTCAGGTTTCACCAAGCCCATATAAGTTACTGTTCAGGTTTCCCCAAGCCCCTATAACACTGTTCAGGTTTCCCCAAGCCCCTATAAGACTGTTCAGGTTTCACCAAGCCCCTGTCATGACCACAGGTTTCACCAAGCCCCTATATGACTGTTCAGGTTTCACCAAGCCCCTATATGACTGTTCAGGTTTCACCAAGCCCCCATAAGACTGTTCAGGTTTCACCAAGCCCCTATAATACTGTTCAGGTTTCACCAAGCCCCTATAAGACTGTTCAGGTTTCACCAAGCCCCTATAACACTGTTCAGGTTTCACCAAGCCCCTGTCATGACCACAGGTTCCAGAGACTAGAAGTCCCGCTGTTCATCAGCCCCCGCTACAGCATCAGTGCACACTGTCTGAAGACCATGCTGGACCTGCCCCAGATTTTGCTGCAAGAGGAGGACGAGGCGTATGAGCAGGTCACCTCCGAGGAACAAGACTTGCTCACCCGCATTCACAACACCTCAGGTAAGTTACCTCAGAGGAACAAGATCTGCTCACCCGCATACACAACACCTCAGGTAAGTTACCTCAGAGGAACAAGATCTGCTCACCCGCATACACAACACCTCAGGTAAGTTACCTCAGAGGAACAAGATCTGCTCACCCGCATACACAACACCTCAGGTAAGTTACCTCAGAGGAACAAGACTTGCTCACCCGCATACACAACACCTCAGGTAAGTTACCTCAGAGGAACAAGACTTGCTCACCCGCATACACAACACCTCAGGTAAGTTACCTCAGAGGAACAAGACTTGCTCACCCGCATACACAACACCTCAGGTAAGTTACCTCAGAGGAACAAGACTTGCTCACCCGCATACACAACACCTCAGGTAAGTTACCTCAGAGGAACAAGACTTGCTCACCCGCATACACAACACCTCAGGTAAGTTACCTCAGAGGAACAAGACTTGCTCACCCGCATACACAACACCTCAGGTAAGTTACCTCAGAGGAACAAGACCTGCTCACCTGCATACACAATACTTCAAGTCAGATTCTCCATTTGGTTTGATCAGGGAATTACTGCTCACCCGCATACACAATACCTCAGGTCAGATTCTCCATTTGGTTTGATCAGGAAATTAACATAAAAATAATAATATCTCTGATTCAGCTTGTCTGCATTGTAAAAACTATGCAATGCTTTTAAATATATTTGTAGTACTAGTAGTAAAATAACATATTAAGTATGTTCATGTTCAACAGATGTACTTTAAAGAGGTTATTTGCATGGTTGTGTTGGGTGTAAACTGCAACATGCATGAGTGGGTGTGGAGGTGAAAAGTGGCTGTGTAGTATGCATGTTTCAATCCATCCTATTTCAAGCTTTAAGAATAGGTTCACTTATCTACCCTTAGTTCAAGACTTTTTTTTCTTTAGTTTAGATACATCTATAGTAGTTGAATCTAGAGTAATCTTCATTTAAAAATACTGATTAAGTAAAATGAGAACACAACAAATTTAAAGTGATTTAAGCTAATCTGTAAAAAAATAAAAATTCTATTTTTTTCTAGTATACCGCAAGGCAGAGTACACATTTACAGTTACTTAATCTGAAAAAAAAATGCACAATCTTTTTTTAAATCCCAATTTCCCAGTGTACACCAAGTCAGTGTGCCACGTTCTAGAGGTTGTCAGCGGCCCACTTCTACACACCCTGGAGAGTCGACTCAAAGCTAACAAAATTCGAATCCAACAACTGACACAACTCAAAGATGAGCTCAAACAAAAAATTAGAGAAGCTCAGGAAAAGAAAAATCTCCTCTTGTAGATGGCACAACAAACAAAAAATTAGGGAAGCTCAGGAAAAGAAAAATCTCCTCTTGTAGATGGGACAACAAACAAAAAATTAGGGAAGCTCAGGAAAAGAAAAATCTCCTCTTGTAGATGGCACAACAAACAAAAAATTAGAGAAGCTCAGGAAAAGAAAAATCTTCTCTTGTAGATGGCACAACAAACAAAAAATTAGAGAAGCTCAGGAGAAGAAAAATCTTCTCTTGTAGATGGAACAACAAACAAAAAATTAGAGAAGCTCAGGAGAAGAAAAATCTTCTCTTGTAGATGGGACAATTATGTCAGTTTGATCTCTCTCTGTGATGTTTAGTACAATGATTGATGCCAAAGATGTTAGGTACAATGATTGATGTCAGTGATGTTTGGTGCAATGATTGATGTCAATGATGTTTGGTACAATGACTGATGTCAGTGATGTTTGGTACAATGATTGATGCCAAAGATGTTTGGTACAATGATTGATGCCAAAGATGTTTGGTACAATGATTGATGCCAAAGATGTTTAGTACAATGATTGATGCCAAAGATGTTAGGTACAATGATTGATGTCATGTTTGGTGCAATGATTTATGCCAGTGATGTTAGGTTAAATGATTGATGTCAGTGATGTTTGGTACAATAATTCATGTCATGATGTTTAGTACAATGATTAATGTCTGTGATGTTTGGTACAATGATTGATGTGAGTGATGTTTGGTACAATGATTAATGTCAGTGATGTTTGGTACAATGATTGATGTCAGTGATGTTTGGTACAATGATTAATGTCTGTGATGTTTGGTACAATGATTGATGCCAGTGAAGTTTGGTACAATGATTGATGTCAGTGATGTTTGGTACAATGATTGATGTCAGTGATGTTTGGTACAATGATTGATGTCAGTGATGTTTGGTACAATGATTAATGTCTGTGATGTTTAGTACAATGATTGATGTCAGTGATGTTTGGTACAATGATTGATGTCAGTGATGTTTGGTACAATGATTAATGTCTGTGATGTTTGGTACAATGATTGACGTTAATGATTGACTGTCACACATACTGTGCAATAATGTTTTGTTTATTATTCTTTTCTAATTTTAATAAATAACAGTTCCCAAATAATAATTCTATCACTTTTAAATATGGCATCTAAATTTCTGTATGCAAGATCATGTATTTCCAGGCAATTAAAAAAGCTATCAAATTAAATAAAACTTAGAACCTAAGCTATACTTCCATTGGTTCACAGACTCACAAAATCCATGGTTTTCTCCAGTCTAAGATACCCTTTTCAGTTAAATTTCTTTTAGGATCATAGTTTTCCAATGTGTTTTTGTAACCAAAGTAAAAAAAATCTTTCTCGTAAATAGTTTGTAACTGCACCATATCGTGAATGTCAATTGTCCTATACGCTTCCTGTATAGCCTCCTGTTTCTGCAACCTCAAGTTGGATTGATTAGACCTTAATGCTGCTGACAAGCAGATCTCCTGGAACTTATGCACAGAAATTTGTTTCATCTCCGCCTCAGAAACTGGCAGGGGAAAATGTTTGTCAATGATGCCCCTGATTTGTAACTTTCTCCAGATCATTCTGCCAGCATTGTACCGGCTGACACACTTTGAGATCTTTACCATCCAGGGGCCCAGCACCTCAGTAGACGAGTCCTTAATGATGTCCTTTAAAGCTTGCAGCTTGTAATCAGAGCTGTTCATGTAGCTTGAGCTAACATTGAGTTGCTGGGAGAGGTAGTGAAGGTCCTGGTCCACGTCCTCCAGCCGGCCCACCATGTTCCACTCAAACTGACACGGCGGGCAGTGGTTGTGAACTGGCATCACGTGGGTGTCCTCTTTGTGTAACTTAATCAAGACATATTTCACAAAATATCTGAACGGGATATTTGAACCACATACATAATTTTTTGATGAAAGCTTGAATGAAGTAACAATCTTTTTGCCCCATTTAGTCCAGTAAAATGGGTTTGGGGTGAAAATTTTGTCTATGTAGGCGGAAAAGATGCGAGAAAATGGGTTTCTTGTGAAGAAAAATTTGAAAGATTCTTTGATAAAACGGGGGCGTTGTTCTCTTTTGATTGACATGAGAGATTGCAGCATAGAGCGCTTGGATTGTTTGATTGGAACATCATATGGAGTTGTGTAGCTACTGTGGTTTACTAGGGTTATGATATATCTACAGAAAAAGGATTCAGGTTTAACTTTGGTTTATCTATAAGAGACAAGGTTATATATATGTATGTATATATATACATGTATATATATGTATATATATATATATATATATATATATATATATATATATATATATATATATATATATATATATATATATATACACACACACATACATACATACATACACACACATACATACATACTTATACTTATACACACACACATATTTATATACACTCACACATACTTATACTTATATTATACACATACATATTTATATTATACACACATATATATATATATATATAGTTATATATATATATACACACATAGACATACATAGATACACACAAAATACAGAAGCATTGCTAACATCACCTGGTTAAGAAAGTCGAGGCAACCTTGCCAACTGGGCAAAATAAAATGTTTGGCTTGAAGTGTGTGGTGATGATTGCGCTGAGCAAGCGTATGCTGGTATTAAATTTCTTCCTCCAGATTTGTCTGATGGGCTTCCTGCGCGTGGTATGAATCTCGTTTTTGGATGAGTAACACCTGTATGCAATAAGCTTGTGACGTCGTTCGACATTGGAATATTCCAGATTGGTGATACTATGAGTTAGGAAAAAAAATGGACAGAATTGATGAATTTCTCTACATAGAAATATTGTAGACACTTATATGAATATAAAAGAGTCATGATTCCTACAAGATTAAAGTGACTTTTTGTCACACTACAAATAGACAGCGGTGTCAATAGGTCAGCAGTAGGTCAGGTGTTACTTGATGCGGGAACTCAGTGTGTCAACCATTTTCACAAAAATCTAACATTTAATTTTAGTGTCCCCTTCACATGTGAGTTCTTTGTGTTCTAGTAATGTGAGTTCTTTGTGTTCTAGTAATGGGAGTTCTTTGTGTTCTAGTAATGTGAGTTCTTCGTTTTCTAGTTCTAGTAATGGGTGTTCTTTGTGTTCTAGTAATGTGAGTTCTTTGTGTTCTAGTAATGTGAGTTCTTTGTGTTCTAGTAATGTGAGTTCTTTGTGTTCTAGTAATGTGAGTTCTTTGTGTTCTAGTAATGTGAGTTCTTCGTGTTCTAGTAATGTGAGTTCTTTGTGTTCTAGTAATGTGAGTTCTTCGTGTTCTAGTAATCTGAGTTCTTTGTGTTCTAGTAATGTGAGTTCTTCGTTTTCTAGTTCTAGTAATGTGAGTTCTTTGTGTTCTAGTAATGTGAGTTCTTTGTGTTCTAGTAATGGGAGTTCTTTGTGTTCTAGTAATGTGAGTTCTTTGTGTTCTAGTAATGTGAGTTCTTTGTGTTCTAGTAATGGGAGTTCTTTGTGTTCTAGTAATGTGAGTTCTTCGTTTTCTAGTTCTAGTAATGGGTGTTCTTTGTGTTCTAGTAATGTGAGTTCTTTGTGTTCTAGTAATGTGAGTTCTTTGTGTTCTAGTAATGTGAGTTCTTTGTGTTCTAGTAATGTGAGTTCTTCGTTTTCTAGTTCTAGTAATGGGAGTTCTTTGTGTTCTAGTAATGTGAGTTCTTCGTTTTCTAGTTCTAGTAATGTGAGTTCTTTGTGTTCTAGTAATGTGAGTTCTTCGTTTTCTAGTTCTAGTAATGGGTGTTCTTTGTGTTTTAGTAATGTGAGTTCTTTGTTGCAGTACTCACTTGAAAAAGGGGGAGGTCAAGGCTGCTGTCGTTGTTGTCGTTTCTGGCTCATTCGCTGAGACAAACAACATAATTTTAGCTTCAAATATTTACTTTTACAACACTACTGCTACTACCACTACTGCCACTAAGGCTACTACCATTACTGCTACTACCACTACTGCGCCATTATTAGGCCTAAAACACTGAAATTTAAATGTAACACATTCCGAAAGAAAATCCATGTGTGTATATAGATCTCTAGCACAATGTGTGTGTAGCATTCATTGTGTGTGTGTGTGCAACACGTGTAGCTGTGTAAGCGTCAACGAGTGGTCGTAGCTGTGTTGTGTACTTTGTCAGACCTCAACACACACTCTCAACAAATACACGTGCATGCTTTACAAATTACTAACATGCACAAACACATACAAACACATACATGCACACATAGGCATACGTACATGTCTTCATGCGCTCGCATACTCGCCATGCACATACACATAACCACACATACTTCCCCCACTCACACATATGCCCTCCACATATTATACCCTACTCTCATAACACACACGCACACACGCACACATAGAACATACTTCGTCTAATCAGAGAAAGCTCTGAGAACAAAACAATCAAGATGGCCGCTAGGAAAATTTTGTTGACCACTTGGCTCCTGGCGACGAATGCAAGCCAGTATAACCACCACCTCCACCTTCTCATGTCTCTTCTCTTAGTCGATGCCAGACCCTGTTCTCGTATTGGCTGCAGATCAGAATGCAACGAATATATTTATTAACACAACAAGACTAATTATTCACGAAAAAACACAAAGTTGATGAAAATTAAACTCTTCGTATGATTTCCACCATTCATATAATATTACATTTTAAGTCCAATAAGCAATGAATTCATAATCTTCTACCATATTTTGGGGTACTCAACTAAAAATTTTAAGTGTAGATCTTCAAACTAATTTCTTATGAATTTTCAAATTTTGGATCAGGTAAAAACACTAACTTTTGGGGAATTTTGGGTCATTAAATCTAGTGTTTCTGACGGTCACACGTCGTAAAAATCGTATCCCCAACGCCTGGATTCTTCTCCGGAGGTCTGCGTTGTGAGTCCATGTCTCGCATCCGTAAAGGAAGACAGACATGACCAGTGACCGCATGAGCTTAACCTAAAGCAGTGGCGTCGCTAGGTCGGGTGTCAACCAGTAGGGCACTTCGCGGTGTCACCCCCCTCCCCTCCAAGAAACAAACTATATATATATATATATATATATATATATATATATATATATATATATATATATATATATATATATATAGTGTGTATCGGCATAATTTAAATATATGCCACATACATACGAGTACTCAACAGATTTAATAGTAACGATGTTTATCTATAGTCTGTACATTTTGCAATTTTTTGCCTTGGTGTCACCCCCGTAAATAGTGTCACCCAGTGCGGTCCGCACCCCCTGCCCCACCCTCGTATACCACTGCCCAAGTGCTAATAGAAGTGTTGTTGTCACGCCAAATGCTGCTTAATTTACTGAGTGCTGTTGTTGTTAGTGCACATCTTGCAAGTATTTCTTGCCTTGTTCCCGCATCACATCGTATGGCGCCCGGGTACTTGATTGAGCCAACTTCCTTTATTTTTACCCATACTTACCCGTATGATTCGTTCTTAGCAAACCGTCACCCCACCGGGTACTTGACATTGTATTGAAAAATACATATAACACATATCAACTGGTTATGCGCTATTGAGGCTATTGTCTCAGATTTCAGCCTGCTTTTCTTTTTGGGTTTGTTTCCATAGCCTTTGCCCAACCAAGAACAAACTACAAGGCAGCAGTTGTTTGATTTTGGAGTTGTCTCTCCTAGAAGAGTGGCTGTCCCCAGAAATGTCTCGAGTTCGAACCCTCGGACAGAAGAGCCTCTTGAGCTTTACCGACTCGACCACGCCGACTCCTTTCACCCACACGAATATAGACTTTACGCTTACTTCTTTAGCGTAAGAAATAGATGCTGAAGATACTTCAGCACGTGATGAAGTGGCGCCTTTAGAAGTAGGCCTACAGTAATCTTAATCTTAGCATTCATTCATACCATCTACATTGTCATCATGATCATTACTAGATCTATAGAATAGATAGACAAACTATAGTGCAGCTTATCTTCATCATTCTAGCTAATAATAAACAAGAGTAGGGTACATGCCTAACGGAAATCCACTCAATAAAAATAAAAGCCAACATATAGAAATACTACTTGGGTATGAAAATACAACTAGATATATATTCAGACTAGCGATGGACTTTTTCAACTAGATTTATCATGAATACTTAGATCTACCTCTGTGTCTTTGAATTCTGTAACTTATAGTGGAGACCAAACCCCAGAAGATTTCCTTTCAACAAAAACAAGTGCATGGTGCAATCTTCGGGAAAACCCCTGATGATTTTCGTCAGAAGCATTATCTTCTAAATAATCTATCTAAAGTTGAAGATAGTTCAATAACCAAACGACTCTGATTCAATTCGCAAACAAAAAAAAAAAAAGACTTTTATTTCACACTTTACAATTCATTTTATTGAGGCTAGCAATCAGTGTCAAGACTAATTAGGGCCTTCTTCATTAAGATAGTTTTTACGTTTCAGAAAACTGTAGGGGCAAAGTGAAAGTGCTTTCAGTCCTTCATCAAAGTCATTTAAAAAGTTGCAGCAACTATCGTTCAACGTCTGCAAATATACAGATAAAAAATCAGAATGTAGAACAAAATATAACCCCCGTTTGTGATTGTAATAATTTTAAAATATTGAACTAAAAATAAAAGATTAAAAAAGCGGAGTAGGTCTGCATCTCTAGATCTATTAATTCTTGTAACCACAGCGACAAAAACTCCAACACGTTTCCGTGTGTGTGCTGATAAAAAAAATGCGTTTGTGCTATTCCAGCATCGGAACAGTTGCCTGAAAGAAACATCGATGATCGCAAAAAGCCAGACGTCTTTATGTTCCACTTTACCCACATTCTCTTTGCAATAACCATTAAAACAATAAAGAAAATGAAAACATTTTTAACATTTACACCTTTTAACTTTCTCGTATACAGAGTATAAAGTATAATAAAGGAAGTATTGTAATCATGCTGAATAATTATCAAATATTTTTTTACGTAACACTTTCGTAACATTCCCTCCCCCACGTCACACATTGTCACAAAAAAACCTGCATGAGCCATAGAACTGTTTATTGACCTACTTACCAGCCCTATAGTCGACCCCATTGCAGTTCAATCTGCCGGCTGTTGTTTTAAATAACTCGGCGAGTAGGCCGCAATGTTCCATTCAAAACCTTGGCTAAACACTGACACCATCGCGATTAAGTGCCACCTTGGTGTCACGCGGTGTTGTTCTGATTATCTTTCTTATTAGTGGGTCACTCAATTCCCGTATGTCAAAAAAAAAAAAAAATCTTACCTTGTTTTTATTTCGTCCCGGCCCCGCAAAAACGCCATCTTTTCTGTCACCTTGGTAACCGCTGGTTCCCACGAAAAGATGTCCTTTTTCTTCGCACGTGTAGACAGTGACGTTAAGTGTCTACCCCTTAGAGTAGTTAGAGGCACGACCGTCGTCAATGACGTCATTCCATCTTGAGATGGAAGCAACTCCCAGTCTCCGGAAAACCCAGGTTCCAATCCCGCCCTAGCTGAATACCGAGCCTCATCTTGTCTGAAACTTTTCCGCACCAAGTTCAGTAAAACGGTCAATTTTACCCAATCCTCAGTCACATGACTCCCGTGCTGGCTGGAAAGCTGCGGCTCTAGACCCGAGGACGGAGCACATTCTCCACCAATAGTCACGTGACTCCCGTGATGGCTGGAAAGCTGCCGCTCTATACCCGAGGACGGAGCACATTCTTCACCAATAGTCACGTGACTCCCGTGATGGCTGGAAAGCTGCCGCTCTATACCCGAGGACGGAGCACATTCTCCACCCTCATCTGCAAGAGTTTCCGCTCCAAATGTTGAGCCCCTGACAGTGGAACCAGCCCCTATCCTGAAGTAGGCAGCACTTCCGGTCTGCAGAACACGCCGCAGAGACGTCTGTCGGATTTCTCCACGGTTTAAAGTCTCGTGAATCTGGCCTATGTTACTGTAGACAATAGGTTTGTCTGCTTGACCTATGTTACTGTAGACAATATGTTTGTCTGCTTGACCTATGTTACTGTAGACAATAGGTTTGTCTGCTTGGCCTATGTTACTGTATACAATATGTTTGTCTGCTTGGCCCATGTTACTGTAGACAATAGGTTTGTCTGCTTGGCCTATGTTACTGTAGACAATATGTTTGTCTGCTTGGCCTATGTTACTGTAGACAATAGGTTTGTCTGCTTGGCCTATGTTACTGTAGACAATAGGTTTGTCTGCTTGGCCTATGTTACTGTAGACAATAGGTTTGTCTGCTTGGCCTATGTTACTGTATACAATATGTTTGTCTGCTTGGCCCATGTTACTGTAGACAATAGGTTTGTCTGCTTGGCCTATGTTACTGTAGACAATATGTTTGTCTGCTTGGCCTATGTTACTGTAGACAATAGGTTTGTCTGCTTGGCCCATGTTACTGTAGACAATATGTTTGTCTGCTTGACCTATGTTACTGTAGACAATATGTTTGTCTGCTGGACCTATGTTACTGTAGACAATATGTTTGTCTGCTTGACCTATGTTACTGTAGACAATAGGTTTGTCTGCTTGGCCTATGTTACTGTAGACAATAGGTTTGTCTGCTTGGCCTATGTTACTGTAGACAATAGGTTTGTCTGCTTGGCCTATGTTACTGTAGACAATAGGTTTGTCTGCTTGGCCTATGTTACTGTAGACAATAGGTTTGTCTGCTTGGCCCATGTTACTGTAGACAATATGTTTGTCTGCTTGACCTATGTTACTGTAGACAATATGTTTGTCTGCTTGGCCCATGTTACTGTAGACAATATGTTTGTCTGCTTGACCTATGTTACTGTAGACAATAGGTTTGTCTGCTTGGCCTATGTTACTGTAGACAATAGGTTTGTCTGCTGGACCTATGTTACTGTAGACAATATGTTTGTCTGCTTGGCCTATGTTACTGTAGACAATAGGTTTGTCTGCTTGACCTATGTTACTGTAGACAATAGGTTTGTCTGCTGGACCTATGTTACTGTAGACAATATGTTTGTCTGCTTGGCCTATGTTACTGTAGACAATAGGTTTGTCTGCTTGGCCTATGTTACTGTAGACAATAGGTTTGTCTGCTTTCATTGGTTTGGCTTTTGTCTTTTTTATCGACATAGTCGTAGACAAGAGGTCAATGTAGTACTACACGCGTCATGGAGATCAAGAAGCGTCATGAAATTCCAACAGGCGTCATAGACATTCATCAGCAGGCGCCTTAGAAATACAACACGCTTGTGAAATACAGTTTATGTGATGGAACAAAATTTTTAGAATACTTTCCTACACAGCTGTTCATGCGAAAATTTAAAAATCTTAACTGAATGTGTGCAGGATGGGGGGGGGGGGGGGGTGGGGGTGTAGGAGGGGGGGAAAGGGTGACATGCTTGTTAAGTTTGAAAATGTCTCATTACTATTTAACGGCCAGCCGCACGTGTTGTTTGGGTGCAGTGTCGTCTGGTATCGCCTCGTCTGCGTCGCTGAATGCTTTGTTTTCGATACCTTTCAAACTCGATTCCAAAACGGGGTGCTTGTCGCCAGCTTGAAGGCACGGCTTTGTATTCGATTCTTTCTTACCATGCAGTGTGAATCTGTGCGATACCACATAGGTCACCGAGTTCTCCATCCCGTCAGAGGCGAAACACTGGCACCTTGCTGGATCTATTTATAGATTGTAATATAAATGACATATAAATAATACGTTATTCGTTAATACTAGTTAGGAAGACCGTACACACACGAGGAAATTAGATTGGAGCTACCCTGGAGCAGAATCATTTGGAAATACGCTAAGAATAGCTTAAGATTAAGTTGGGGATGTAGTTAAGGTAAGGGTTAAGTTAACATTCATTTGTACCAAACTCCTACCCCATATAACACTATATATATATATATATATATATATATATATATATATATATATATATATATATATATATATATATATATATATATATATATATATATATATATATATACATTTCATTAGATGACCCCCCCTCCCCTCTCCTCTAATCGCGACATAACTTGGTACTAAAACATTTTTGAGTTTTAAAATGTTATGTTGAGGAAATCACAGTTTTGTCACATCAAAAATAGTATGACAAAACGACAAAACGACAAAACGACAAAACGACAAAACGACAAAACGACAAAACGACAAAACGACAAACCCATCAAGCACTTGACATTGTATTGAAAAACACATAGAGTCTATAACACAAGTGTACCATTACATAATTCATCATAGAAAAATACATAGTCTATAACACAAGTGTACCATTACATAATTCATCATAGAAAAATACATAGTCTATAACACAAGTGTACCATTACATAATTCATCATAGAAAAATACACGCAACACAAACTTACCATTACATAATTCACCACTCAGAAATACATATACCACAAACTTACCATTATAAAATTCACAACTGAAAAACAAACTTAACACCAATGTCACATACCTTATAAACAGTTTATGTGTGTTATGCCACTGTGATCACACGGACTGTCGTCCGACTTAACATTTACACCACATTAACTGTCAACAACGCTTTAAAAACAAAAACATTGCGTGCATAATTTGATGACGTCATCGCCGCACCATTTAAAATTCAGCATGGCGGTGTTAGTCACGTAGCCTCTAAGCAAATTGTTTTGGCGACGTTTCAACACCAGCTGGCCAATATGCGCCAGGTGGCTTGTGGTTAGCATGGAGATCAGGTTGCCAGTTTGTATTAGCTTTAGTCGTGGATGTGTTTTAAATATTGTCAGGGCCAAATTTTATTCAGTGTCATATTGTCAGGGACCAAATTGTATTTAGTGTCAGGGAGATACATTTTCAAATTATCTCTCCTTATGCGGAGAACAATGCCCGTACCACCACTCATACCAAGGGGGTGGGGGGGGGAGTAGCAGAGCGATTGGACTTTCCCACCCTACAGGTTACAAAAACACGGGTTTCGCAGTTCAAGGTCAAGGTCAACAGCACAAATCGCTGGACCAGGACCTGGGGTACACCATGACCTGTCAAGTAGCCAGAAGTATTAGGCAGACATGTGACGTCATTGTAGTATTGTGGGGGAGACTTGTTGTGACGGTGGGGGTAGAAAGCTATTGAAAAGCGTGGTCACTTATGGATGACCCATGACCAAAGCACCTCGCCTGGGCAATAACTATCTAGATCTCTCCCCCCCCCCCCACCACAGACAAAACAACCCCAGATACATTTAATGGATACAAGAGCTAGGTCTACACATTTTGTAGAACGTTATGGGTTGTCGCTAGACAATCGTGCTGAAGCAGAACTCACAGTGGTAGATGATGGGTCCTACCAAACAAAATGCGTCATTCCACTAGAATGTTTAGGCCTAGTGTATAGCTGCTCAGTACAGTATAGAGCATGGCGGAATCTCTCAAATCTTTATTAACCTGACAACGCCTTTATTAACCTACCACAAGGTCTTTATTAGCCTACTAGAAGCAATACACGATGATAGTTCATTATGCGAGTTACACAGCACAGCATTTGCAACATTAATTCATTAGTTTATCGCATGTCTTCTGTTAATTTTTGACCGACTTGTTTAAAAACTTTTGCTGTGGGCCTGTCGGCCTTCCATCTAAAGTCCGGTTTTGATGGTTGAAATAGTCATGGCCTGGTCAGCAATAATGAGCAATCACACGTGAGCCACATGCGGTCCTCTGTTGCCTGTTGGGCGGCTGTTTTAGAATGCATTTTTCCTGTTTCTTACTTCGCGCCTGTATATTAATTAAAATTTATTTGTAGTGTATGGCTACAATCCAAAAAAACTATGCTACAGGCCAAGACTCGATATATTTTTCTCTCAATATAAGATCTATATTTCCAACCATTAATGTTTAAATCTATCTAGAATCTAGGTTCCTGCAAACTGCAGCATATTTTAGAATTTACACACGTTTTCGTTTTTAGAGAATTCACTTCTGCTATCAAGGGAAACTACTCTTAATAAAAAATGTTTTGCTGTAAATAAAAGAAATAAGTTACAAATTACAACAGTCAGTCAGCAAAACTTTGGTAAAACGTCTACAGCTGCACTAACGCTAGATCTAGTCTAGATCTAGTTCAATTTTTTTTTTGATTCACATTGCTTTTCTAATTTTTCTAATCTAGGATAAGCCTATAATTATTTTTTAAATATTATTTTCAAATATTTTCTGCTCATATTATTATTTTTGTCTAGTATTTTCAGGCTCATCGGTACTACTAACTTACCTTAACATTAACTAGATCTAGCCTAATTATTATATTAAATATTAAGTTCAACTATAACATTACATCGTTACATCTCTTGGGTAATCTATCGCTTTAGTTTTAGGTACGTAAAATCTCCCACGTAAAATCTCCCTCGGCTAGTAATGTACGAAAAAGTTACCTCATTGTCAAGGCTTTAATTAACTTTAAACTTTAAGAGAAGTAGATCTATATTGTGATATATTTGTGTCAAATATTATAGATAAATGAATAATAAACCAAAATAAATGGCTAAAAATATTAAGGCCAGAAATTAACTTTAAACAGCAGTGTTTGCAAGCAAGATTTGCTATATAAAAAAGTAAAGTTTCCCTTTCAAATCTGACGGTCTATGGGGCAAGTGAAGTAGAGTTCACTTGTTTCTGTGACCTCGGCATATGACGAGATAGTGTGGTCAGCACTATGCCCAGCCGCCTTTACTTTCCCTAATGTGAGTTAGGTACCCATCAGAGTTGGGTGGACAGGGACGGTCTACTGATTTGAACCCGGATTCGAACTCGAGACTTACAGGTTAACAATCCAGCTCTCTACCGCTAGACCACTCCATATAAACAACAGTAAAATAGAGTGGCTTCCCCTGAATCTCCCGCTATAACTTTAACAAAATAAAACTTAAACAAGATGGCTACTACATTACTAGTCGCGGGCGATTTTACGCACTCAAACGATAGATTACCAAACTCTTGAAACTTGAGAGGTTTTAGTAATTTTAGTTTTAAAAATAATAAAAAAGTTTGGCTAACGATTGCTTTCTTTGGACTAACTAACTAAAGTTATACATACTGTGTTACTGTATATGATATCCGCCATGTGATTTAAAATTACTTAGCCAATTCTATTTTCAGAGGTTGTAAGATGAATAGAATTTTAAAGGGTGTCATTCGCTACAATCAAAATGTTATGGACAAGGCAAAATTTGTTGCAGATATAGACAAAGTTACAAGACAACTAGTACAGGTTAGAGGTTGTTCTTAAATGTTACAACATTTGTATAGCAAATTACCCTTCCCCCCACTTTGTCACACAGTCACCCTTATAAAATGTCCTCATTTTTATTTTAAAATATAAATTAAGTCTTATCACAGTTAGCTATCTTGATCAGATTTTATTACTATTGACAATTTTCAATTTAGTATTAAAAAATGTCAAATAATTAATAAAATAAGTTTGAAAAGTTATTTTTAAAAATACAAAATTTTACAATGCTTAAGTCCAAACACCCCTTACTCCAAGGAGTGTCATTTTTACGCACTACCTTTGAGCATATCAGCATAAATTTTGTTACATTAAACAGAGAGCAAATATTTTATAAAACAGTTTTTATAGAAATAACGATGCAAATGAGATGAATTAATCATTCACAGTAGAGGATATAGTGGGGTTGAAGGGGGGGGGGGAAAGTGTAACTGCAATGATGGCACTTAATAGACAAAACAGCTACTGCTTTTCACATACAGTTGTCTAAATTACTGTGGCCTAAGTGTAATTAACTAATGTCTGGACATTTCCTCATTTTCAGCCTCTAACAGTATTTGTCAGCTGCATGGATTGCAGAGTCCTGCCCTCCAAGTTTATCAGCTCCACAATCGGGGAGATTTATTTCCTGAGGAATGCTGGGAACATGGTCCCACATTTTGACGCCTACAAGGCTGGTAGTATCAGCACAGAGGGCGGAGGTCTGGAACTGGGCTGTATCACCAACAAGATTCGCAATGTTGTTGTGTGTGGTCATTCAGATTGTAAGGTTGGTGGTGTTGTGTGTGGTCATTCAGATTGTAAGGTTGGTGGTGTTGTGTGTGGTCATTCAGATTGTAAGGTTGGTGGTGTTGTGTGTGGTCATTCAGATTGTAAGGTTGGTGGTGTTGTGTGTGGTCATTCAGATTGTAAGGTTGGTGCTGTTGTGTGTGGTCATTCAGATTGTAAGGTTGGTGGTGTTGTGTGTGGTCATTCAGATTGTAAGGTTGGTGCTGTGTGGTCATTCAGATTGTAAGGTTGGTGTTGTTGTGTGTGGTCATTCAGATTGTAAGGTTGGTGTCATTGTGTGTGGTCATTCAGATTGTAAGGTTGGTGTTGTTGTGTTTGGTCATTCAGATTGTAAGGTTGGTGTTGTTGCTGGTGTCATTCAGATTGTAAGGTTGGTGTTGTGTGTGGTCATTCAGATTGTAAGGTTGGTGTTGTTGTGTGTGGTCATTCAGATTGTAAGGTTGGTGTTGTTGTGTGTGGTCATTCAGATTGTAAGGTTGGTGCTGTTGTGTGTGGTCATTCAGATTGTAAGGTTGGTGTTGTGTGTGGTCATTCAGATTGTAAGGTTGGTGTTGTGTGTGGTCATTCAGATTGTAAGGTTGGTGTTGTTGCTGGTGTCATTCAGATTGTAAGGTTGGTGTTGTGTGTGGTCATTCAGATTGTAAGGTTGGTGTTGTTGTGTGTGGTCATTCAGATTGTAAGGTTGGTGTTGTTGTGTGTGGTCATTCAGATTGTAAGGTTGGTGTTGTGTGTGGTCATTCAGATTGTAAGGTTGGTGTTGTTGTGTGTGGTCATTCAGATTGTAAGGTTGGTGTTGTGTGTGGTCATTCAGATTGTAAGGTTGGTGTGGTCATTCAAATTGTAATGTTAGTCACTTTATGATAGCTGTAGATTCTGCACTTAGTGGAAGTTTTTGAGAATAAATGCTGTACTTTGCAACTTAATAATTTTTATACACATTTACAATTGTTTTTTTTTTCTTAACATCATCATCTTTTCTTATTTGTGTCCAAGAGGTGTGGCAGATGAAGTAAAGTTCGTTTTATTCTCTGATCTCATCATATGAGGAATAGTGTGGTCAGCACTATGCCTAGCTGTCTTTGTTTCTGTACTGTGAGTCAGGTACCTGTCCAGCTGGGTGAACCAAGCCCAGGACCCAATCTTGTCAGTATATTCTTTAAACTGTAATGAATGGGTCTTACACAAAGGTAATAGTTAGCCAGTCCATTTACTGAAACTTGTAGTAAGATTTGCCATGACCTTGAACTGTCCCCAGTGGTAACCCAGGTGTCATGTTATCCACAAGGCCACATTTTCATTTGCCATGGCCAATTAGCATAATGTTAATAACATTTTACTTTAATCAACTTAATTTTTTTTATATTTAGTGGACTTGCCTACCACTTTCAGTACAGATCTTTACCCACACCACTTACAGATCTTTACCCACACCACTTACAGATCTTTACCCACACCACTTACAGATCTTTACCACCCATATAACTGCATTGTACATACTTCCTTAATTATCTCTACCAGCAACTGTTGCTGTAGTTGTGTAACCTTGACCTTTCACCTCCCCAGGCAGCCCATGCACTGCCAGCAACTGTTGCTGTAGTTGTGTAACCTTGACCTTTCACCTCCGCAGACAGCCCATGCACTGCCAGCAACTGTTGCTGTAGTTGTGTAACCTTGACCTTTCACCTCCCCAGACAGCCCATGCACTGCCAGCAACTGTTGCTGTAGTTGTGTAACCTTGACCTTTCACCTCCCCAGGCAGCCCATGCACTGCCAGCAACTGTTGCTGTAGTTGTGTAACCTTGACCTTTCACCTCCCCAGGCAGCCCATGCACTGCCAGCAACTGTTGCTGTAGTTGTGTAACCTTGACCTTTCACCTCCCCAGACAGCCCATGCACTGCCAGCAACTGTTGCTGTAGTTGTGTAACCTTGACCTTTCACCTCCCCAGGCAGCCCATGCACTGTATGAGATCCGACACAAGTGTGACCACATGCACTACCTGATGGACTCACCCCTGAGGACTTGGGTCGCCCTACATGGGTCAAGGACAGTGGAGAAGTTCTTCCAGGTGTTTCCAGAGGACCGGCTGAGTCCGGCCGAGCTGAAGGAGCCGATGGTGTTTCCTGTCAACCTGGGGGGTCAGGACATCAGCGCCAGGATAGATCCGGACAACCACTTTAGTATACAGGATAAGTTTTCTCAGGTCAGTATACAGGACATCAGCGCCAGGATAGATCCGGACAACCACTTCAGTATACAGGATAAGTTTTCACAGGTCAGTAGACAGGATAGATCCAGACAACCACTTCAGTATACAGGATAAATTTTCACAGGTCAGTATACAGGATAGATCCGGACAACCACTTCAGTATACAGGATAAATTTTCACAGGTCAGTATACAGGATAGATCCGGACAACCACTTCAGTATACAGGATAAATTTTCACAGGTCAGTATACAGGATAGATCCGGACAACCACTTCAGTATACAGGATAAGTTTTCTCAGGTCAGTATACAGGATAGATCCGGACAACCACTTTAGTATACAGGATAAGTTTTCTCAGGTCAGTATACAGGACATCAGCGCCAGGATAGATCCGGACAACCACTTCAGTATACAGGATAAGTTTTCACAGGTCAGTAGACAGGATAGATCCAGACAACCACTTCAGTATACAGGATAAATTTTCACAGGTCAGTATACAGGATAGATCCGGACAACCACTTCAGTATACAGGATAAATTTTCACAGGTCAGTATACAGGATAGATCCGGACAACCACTTCAGTATACAGGATAAATTTTCACAGGTCAGTATACAGGATAGATCCGGACAACCACTTCAGTATACAGGATAAATTTTCACAGGTCAGTATACAGGATAGATCCGGACAACCACTTCAGTATACAGGATAAATTTTCACAGGTCAGTATACAGGATAGATCCGGACAACCACTTCAGTATACAGGATAAATTTTCACAGGTCAGTATACAGGATAGATCCGGACAACCACTTCAGTATACAGGATAAATTTTCACAGGTCAGTATACAGGATAGATCCGGACAACCACTTCAGTATACAGGATAAATTTTCACAGGTCAGTATACAGGATAGATCCGGACAACCACTTCAGTATACAGGATAAATTTTCACAGGTCAGTATACAGGATAGATCCGGACAACCACTTCAGTATACAGGATAAATTTTCACAGGTCAGTATACAGGATACATTTTCACAGGTCAGTATACAGGATAGATCCGGACAACCACTTCAGTATACAGGATAAATTTTCACAGGTCAGTATACAGGATAAGTTTTCACAGGTCAGTATACAGGATAGATCCGGACAACCACTTCAGTATACAGGATAAGTTTTCACAGGTCAGTATACAGGATAGATCCGGACAACCACTTCAGTATACAGGATAAGTTTTCACAGGTCAGTATACAGGATACATTTTCACAGGTCAGTATACAGGATAGATCCGGACAACCACTTCAGTATACAGGATAAGTTTTCACAGGTCAGTATACAGGATACATTTTCACAGGTCAGTTCAGTATACAGGATAAATTTTCACAGGTCAGTATACAGGATACATTTTCACAGGTCAGTATACAGGATAAATTTTCTCAGGTCAGTTCAGTATACAGGATAAATTTTCACAGGTCAGTATACAGGATAAATTTTCAAAGGTCAGTATACAGGATAAATTTTCACAGGTCAGTTCAGTATACAGGATAAATTTTCACAGGTCAGTATACAGGATAAATTTTCACAGGTCAGTATACAGGATAAATTTTCACAGGTCAGTATACAGGATACATTTTCACAGGTCAGTTGATAATTTTTCAAAGGGCAGTTCAGTACACAGGATAAATTTACAAAGGGAAGTTAGTGTATATGGTACATTTTTACAGGGAAGTTTAGTGTATACACATAATCCAGAATGAAGGTAAATTTTCCTTGTTAAGTTTACAATGAAGGTAAGTATTCACAGGTGAGTTTTGTGTTCAAGTTTGTTTCCAGGAATAAGCTTTTATATTTTAGGGTAAATAAATCATTTTAATAATTTGTTCAGCTTTAACATAATAATTTTTAAAATTGTATCCTAAAATATTTTGTCTTCTATAAATGATGTTTGTATTCATTATTCAATTAGGTAGTTTAAAAAAAAAGGTGTCACATATTTTTGGTGTATGCCTGACTAAATTTAATTAGGTAGTTTAAAAAAAAAGGTGTCACATATTTTTGGTGTATGCCTGACTAAATTTAATTAGGTAGTTTACAAAAAAAAGGTGTCACATATTTTTGGTGTACGCCTGACTAAATTTAAAAACATAAAAAAGAGGTGTCACATATTTTTGGTGTATGCCTGACTAAATTAAAAAACATAAAAAAAAGGTGTCACATGTTTTTGGTGTATGCCTGACTAAATTAAAAAACATAAAAAAAAAGGTGTCACATGTTTTTGGTGTATGCCTGACTAAATTAAAAAACATTCTTTAGCTCCACTGTCTGGAACAAGCCAGCCACGTAAAGACGTATCCGATGCTGAAGCCGTTTGTTGAATCCGGGGAGCTCCACATCCATGCCATGTGGTTTGACGTCTACACCGGCAATGTCTACATGTTCAGCCCCTCCATGCGCAAGTTTGTTGTTGTGGACGACACCAGTCTTAACGTTCTAATGAAAGACGCAGCTGAGTCAGCATAGGAAGTGTTTTACTGTTGTATAGGGGAGTCAGCATAGGAACTGTTTTACAAACTGTTGTGTAGGGGAGTCAGCATAGGAACTGTTTTACTGTTGTGTAGGGGAGTCAGAATAGGAACTGTTTTACTGTTGTGTAGGGGAGTCAGCATAGGAAGTGTTTTACTTTTCTATAGGGGAGTCAGTGTAGGAAGTGTTTTACTAATTGTTGTGCAGAGCGTATACAGTATATTTTTATCAAGTATTATTAAATGATTGTTGATTATTTTTAAATCTTGTGTGAAGTGGGTGTAGAGTGGCATTTAAACTAAAATATGTGAGAAGTTTAAGAGGAAGTTTTCGAGGATTTTTTACACTCTTTTGTTAATTAGAGTTAGAATTTTAGAATTTTTTAAAAAACAATTTAATTTTATCAATATACATTTTTGTTTTAGAGAGTATTCTACATCACTTGTATTTGAATCTTTACTGTCTAAATATATCTGACAATTGTATAATGTTTTCATGCCTGGTGATTCTGTGTTTAAATTATTTGTTTCCTATGTTCATTGATCTGACCGGTTGATGCTGAAATGTGTTAATTTTGGGTGTGACATGTGGTGTAGACCACAGCAACCACAGTAAATTTAAAACTTTGTTCCGTGGGGCAGTGGGTGTGACGTGTGGTGTAGACCACAGCAACCACAGCAACCACAGGAAAGTTCAAACTTTGTTACATGTGGCAGTGGGTGTGACGTGTGGTGTAGACCACAGCAACCACAGGACAGAAGAGTTCAAACTTTGTTACGCTGGGAAGTTGTCATTGAATTTATTTACACTTTGCTGAACATATTCTTTGGTTGCAGTGTATTGATTTGATTCGTCCCATTATTGTGTGGGACGTTGCTGAAATAGTTGAAAGCAGCACTAGTTTACTAAATGTTAGAAAATATTTGCTCAAATACTCATTTACTAGTTAAATATCTACTGTATGTTTGCAGTTTGCTGGTTGAAATATCTATTGTATGTTTGCAGTATGTTTGTTATTGTCTACTATATGCTTGTATGTTTTTCTTCTGTGTTTGAGTTTGGTAATGTCTGCTGTATGTTTATGTTTGTTAATGTATTGCTGTTTACTTCAGACCATTGAACTTATTCAGGGCATATTTTTGTTGTTACACTAAGCCTTGTTAAAAACTTTTAATTATTGTACCTGTAATTTTAAAAACTTTTAATTTTTGTTCTTGTAATAATATATTAATTTTATATTAACCAGGGCATATTTTACAAGCTTGTTATGATTTAAGAAAAAATAAAATGCTGCCTAATTTTTTTGTCCTATTATGTATGCCAATTTTTTTCTGCATTTGTTGCCAGGCCTATTCAATATTTGACCAAATTTTGTTTAGGTCTTTTTTTTTAAAATTTTTATTTAGGCATTTTCTGGAGTTTGTTCAGGCTTTTGTCAAAATTTTGTTCACTTATTTTGTTTTGTTTATTTAGACAAAATTTTGCATCGACTTTCATCCAAATTATTTTCAGATTTTTGCCTAAATCATGTTAAGTCTGTTATTTCTTGACAACCGGTGCAGAACTAAAGCCATAGTATTTTAAAAAAAAGCCTGTCTAGCATCAGTATTTATCTGTTTTCCAAATGTTTTAGTATTTCCCTTTCATTTGACTGGACTAATTACTACCTCTTGCATCCTCCCTCTTCCCCCCCTCATGTGTTGTCTATGTTAATTAAGCAGTATTTAATTATATCATGTGAATTTTAACATTTGCATTCAGTGAGAATAAAACTGATTTACAAATGCTAGTGATTTTTTGGGTGTTAACTTTCAGTGTTTAATTCCAGTATTTATTTTAACTACTTTTTGTTGCTTATTTACCTATATAAATATTACATATTAAAAATATTTAAATATATTTTTAAGTAGCTTTTGATTCCATCTTGTTGCAAAACATTAAAGAAAATAAATTTGATTTTAATTCAACTAAAACTGATGTGGGGACCCCACTTGTGGTTTTAGGCATTATTCATTTTTACCATGTTAACGAATTCCCTACAGTTCTAGTTTACACAGCAAATAACCCTAACCCACTCGGCAACTTAGTGGCTTCGATCAGAGTTAATGAACATGGTATTTTTTGTTCGGCCCTGCTGTCCTGTTATAAAACATCAGCATTTGAGGACATTCATATTTCTGTACCACTTTATTCAAAAAGTGTAGCAGGTACCTCTGCATGTTAGCTTTTTTTTGGTTAACAGCAACAATTATTGTCTTATACATCTTGGTACTGCTAATGGAAGAGTGACTCTAAAGCATCCAGTGTTTAACTAAAATTTAGTTTATGCGTGTATGCTTTTTTTGTATGTGTAGGTTTATGTGCTGTTTATTTTATGTATGTTTGTTTTTGATTGTGTGCTGTTTATGTATGTTGGGGTTTATATATATATATATATATATATATATATATATATATATATATATATATATATATATATATATATATATATATATATATATATATGCTGTTTATTCATATAAATTATCTGCTAGTTGTTTAAGTCTTTTGTTTGTTTATGCTCCTAGCTAATTAATATCTGTTTTTATGCTGCAATGCATGGGAGATTCGTTAGAGAAATTAAAAAGTTTGGTTGAAATTTTGTTTGAGAATGTCATATGTCTTACCAAGTCAGAAAGTAATATAAAAAACTAAAAAACAATGGGTTAAAAATTAAAAAATTGATTTAATTGTAGAAAAATATATGTACAAATATTTAAAATTTACATATGAGTATAAAACAAATTGTGCTTTTATCAAAATTTAAGTCATCATAAATGATATGTAATCATTAAGTAAAATGAGCACAGGGAAATAACAACTTTGGGGATTAGCAGCTAAGGGGATATAACTACATAGGAATAACAACTAGTGGGGGAAAAGTCAAGGGAAACAAAAGTTTGGACATAAAAGGTAAGGGGAAGTAATAAGGATAGGTAACAACCACGGGGAAACAACAACTGGTGGAAATAACTGCCAATGGAAATACATTTGGGGGAAGTGAATTTTTATACAACGTCATGGCTTATTAAAGTCACCATTACACTTATGGTGATCTTAGAACAGTCATAATCAGAATTATACTGGTATAGGGTGATAGCAGTTCCAATGTGGAAGCTTCGTCTAAAGTTACAATATTAAACCTATACAGCATAGAAGCAACAGCAAACAGGCGAATGTCAGGTGTGTCACAGCAGGGGAACTGCTCTTAGGTCCAGGTTCCTCTGGTTCCTCTGGTTCCCAGCTGCCGCAGGTGGGGAACCCCTTGGGAACTGGAGGGAACTCCGATGGCTCACCGACCTGGATTAGGACACCCATCCCTATCTCGACGTGATACTCAATGTGGCAGTGCAGGAACCACATACCTGGGGAACAGGGAACATTAGGTCAGTGTGGTTAGACAGGGAACATTAGGTCAGTAGAGTGGTTAGACAGGGAACATTAGGTCAGTGTGGTTAGACAGGGAACATTAGGTCAGTAGAGTGGTTAGACAGGGAACATTAGGTCAGTAGAGTGGCTAGACAGGGAACATTAGGTCAGTGTGGTTAGACAGGGAACATTAGGTCAGTAGAGTGGTTAGACAGGGAACATTAGGTCAGTAGAGTGGCTAGACAGGGAACATTAGGTCAGTGTGGTTAGACAGGGAACATTAGGTCAGTAGAGTGGTTAGACAGGGAACATTAGGTAAGTAGAGTGGTTAGACAGGGAACATTAGGTCAGTAGAGTGGTTAGACAGGGAACATTAGGTCAGTATAGTGGTTAGACGGGGAACATTAGGTCAGTAGAGTGGTTAGACAGGGAACAATTGGTCAGTAGAGTGGTTAGACAGGGAACATTAGGTCAGTAGAGTGATTAGACAGGGAACATTAGGTCAGTAAAGTGGTTAGACAGGGAACATTAGGTCAGTAGAGTGGTTAGACAGGGAACATTAGGTCAGTAGAGTGGTTAGACAGGGAACATTAGGTCAGTAGAGTGGTTAGACAAGGAACATTAGGTCAGTAGAGTGGTTAGACAGGGAACATTAGGTCAGTAGAGTGGTTAGACAGGGAGCATTAGGTCATTAGAGTGGTTAGACAGGGAACATTAGGTCAGTAGAGTGGTTAGACAGGGAACATTAGGTCAGTAGAGTGGTTAGACAGGGAACATTAGGTCAGTAGAGTGGTTAGACAGGGAACATTAGGTCAGTAGAGTGGTTAGACAGGGAACATTAGGTCAGTAGATTGGTTAGTCAGGGAACATTAGGTCAGTAGAGTGGTGGAGAATAATATGGTAACACTCACTCGCACCACAGTTTGAACAAGAAATAACTCACACCAATCACTGCCCTATTCACCGGCCTAGTAATTAGCCCACTGCCCTACTCACCCATCTAGTAATTAGCCCACTGCCCTATTCTACCACCTGGTAGACAATTAACCCACTGCCCTACTCACCCGTCTAGTAATTAGCCCACTGCCCTATTCTACCACCTGGTAGACAATTAACCCACTATTAGCCCACTGCCCTATTCCCCTACCTGGGTTGTCCGCTACAAAACGAACTAGTGTGTATCCGCCGTCAGGGATGGTAACTGTGTCTTTGATTGGGGCTTGCCGCAAGTTCCTGGTTATGTTCCCTGCTTTATCCAGATCCATTACGTACTTGGCGTAGATGGATGCATCCAGCTGGAACAAAAGGGCTAATCAAATACCACAAAGGGCTACACAAATATAAAGGGCTACACATACCCTTAGCTAAATCCGCACACAAAGGCCTACTCAGTAGGAAAGAAGGAATGTGACCACACAGTCAGCAAGATGAACTCACCCTATCCATGGCTAGTACCCTGAACCCATGACCGTGCAGGTGGGTGGGGTGACTGGCATTCCAGATGTGACCTTGGTCGATGAGGAACATCTCCACGACCTGACCCAGTTGCACCTTCAGCAGATGTAGACATTCACAGTACTCGACAGAACAGTTCTTGCCCTTGGTCACTTCACTACATAACATGTCCTGTAGGGGGGAGGGGGGTAATCGGGAAAACTTTTTCAATGTCCATTTTATAACGGTACTTCCATTCACATTTCGTGATAAAACAATTTTAAATAATAAAAAAAAAACCTAATGGCTTCCACCAACAAAGGGAGGTTATCGTTACTAAATGTTCAGAATAATCTTTTTATTCGGTTGCTTCCCTTACAATTTTCTAAAAACGGAGGTAATCGTGGCAATACAATGTGTTTATTTGTTTTTACTTGGTTGCTCCCCTTAGCATGATTTCCGAAATAACTTTCGAAATGTTATGAATGGATAAAAATACACGTTTTCAGTTTATAATTACTTTTGTGTGAGTGACGTCATTACCTGAGGCACCTGGCTGTACTGTGGGAGGGCCGGGACGGGGGGCAGCATGTTGCTGATATCGTTGATCTGGGGGGTCTGGAGTTGGCGCTTGCCTTGAGGAAACTAGAGGAGAAGGGGACGGGAGGAAGGGGGGGGGGAATAATTGACACTTTTATGGTGTGACGCTGTCACATTCATAATATCAAAGTCACAAAGTCACAATGTCACAGTCATGTGGTAACACTATCACACTGTTTTGTCACATTGTCACAACCACAGTGTCACATTCACACTGTCATATTCATCCTGTCACAGACATGCTTTTGGAATGAGGTTGGTGGGTTACACTCATTATATTAATGACCACACTCATTATGTTAATGACCACACTCATTATGATAATGACCACACTCATTATATTAATGACCACACTCATTACAATAATGACCACACTCATTATATTAATGACCACACTCATGATATTAATGACCACACTCGTGATATTAATGACAACACTCATTATATTAATGACCACACTCATTATATTAATGACCACACTAATTTTATTAATGACCACACTCATTTTATTAATGACCACACTCATTATATTAATGACCACATTCATTATATTAATGACCATCCACACACACCGAAGTCCTCCACACACCTGTCCCCCACATCTACATTTATACACACACAATCTACACTCACACCTACACCCACAGACACTTCCACACGCACTCTCGACTACTCACGTCGCGCGTGTTATAATACACAGGGTTGTGAAACCTGGGGTTGTCGATGGCCTTGAAATCCATGGCCAGAACGAAGGTGACATCCGGTGCCCGCGTCAGTGCCACGTCATCGTCCCGCATTGACCGCAGCTCGCTGACTAGGATGGTGGTGTTGGTGGGGCCTGAGTTGACCGGGTTCAACAGCTGCAAGGTCAAAACTGGTCGTCAAGGTCAAGCTGGGACAAGCTTGTTAACAGTAGGTCATAGCTAGGTCAAAGTTTGTAGGTCGTGGCTATAGGTTGTAGGACATAGTTAGTAGTAGTAGGTCATGGCCAGTAGGTCATCACTTGTAGGGTAGAGACAGTAGGTCAGAGGTTCCAGACGAAAGCTAAAGAAAGTAGGTCACAGGTAGCAGGTTGAAATACACTGTCACTGATAGAAGTTGTCTAGGCTTGCTATACGACCTAACGGGACAAACACACATACACACACATTTATAGACATACACATACACACACATGCACACTCACAGTTACACAAACACTCACATATACACGAACTCCCACACACATACACACACACTCGCTCTCTCTCACTCACACTCACACTCACACTCACACATACACAAACTCACACATTCACACAGACGACCGTCTGACTGACCTTCCCCTCCACGGGGGGTGGGTTAGCCACTGTCTTGTTATCCTCAGCCCCATCGTATATGACAATGGCCGTCTGCGTGGCGTTGTTGAATGCCGGCCCACAGTCCAGCTGTCCTTGCACGCGCAGCAAATACTGACCAACGCTCTGATTGGCTGTCAACACGAAGTCGTACCTGAAGAGATTTTTTGGTCAGAGGTTTCTGCAGAAGGCCATGGGAGACCATATGTTTGTAGGACCACAGGTCTGGAGGACCACAAGACTACATGTCGATAGGACCTTAGGAGTATTGGTCTACAGGACCACAAGACCACAGATCTATAGGACCACAAGACAAAAAGACCACAGTATACAATATGAACCGCCATTTGACTTCTGACCCACGCGCCATTTTAACCTCTGCCCCACACAACCTCTAACCTTTCAACTATCGACCTCTCCCCAACATGGCCACTGACCTTTCACCCGCGAAGATCACAAAAGCCTTAACAGCGACCGGCTTGACCGGCTGACCGTCACTGGCGATGACCTCTAACACGTGACCGTCGACTGAGACGGTGAGTGGACAGTTCAAGATGCCGTTGCTCGCAACCCTGAAGCGATACCTCTTGCCCGGGGTCACACGGAACACCTCGAGGGGTGTCTTGGTGATTGGGCCCGAGGGTGACTCCAGCCTCCCCTTCCCTGGAAGAAAATGTTGCGAGCTGAGGACACGGCAATCGTAGCATTGTTTTCTACAAAAGTTACACATATAGGCCTACATTCTTTCCAGCTTGATTTGGTTTGGAGCTAAACTATGAAGTCATTGAATAAAATAAGCTAAATGTCGTTGATTCAAATATCCCTACCAATCTTAAATGAGGGACGTGGTGGTCGGATGGTAGCGCATACGACTGACAACACGAAAGTCTCGAGTTCTGACCACACCATCCATATGCTGAGGGCGGATGGGCTTAGTGCTGACCACAACATCCCTTATGCCGAGGTCACTGATACAGATGGAACTCTCTAGAATGTCGAGCATTAGCGAGGGGAGTTAACTGACCGTTGATGAGTACAGTGGTGGGCTTGTTGGTCCCGTTGCTATGGTGATGTCTGGCAAAGCTGGGCGGGCTGTCCAGCTGCCACCAGTCCGTGACGAGGATCGCATGTTCGGGAAGGTCAAGGTCGTAGAAGCCGTTGTGCAGCTCGCGGCTGGGCGTCTGCCGGATGATCAGGTGACCGAACACGCCGTCTGCTCGCTGTAGACCCGAGTGGGCGTGCCAGAAGTGGGTGCCGGGGGTGCTGGCCTTGAACCTGGTGACGTGTACACAGTGTGGTGATGGTGTGGATGTGTACAAAGTGTGGTGATGGTGTGGATGTGTACACAGTGTGGTGATGGTGTGGATGTTTACATCGTGTGGTGATGGTGTGGATGTTTACATCGTGTGGTGATGGTGTGGATGTTTACATCGTGTGGTGATGGTGTGGATGTTTACATCGTGTGGTGATGGTGTGGATGTTTACATCGTGTGGTGATGGTGTGGATGTTTACACAGTGTGGTGATGGTGTGGATGTTTACATCGTGTGGTGATGGTGTGGATATCTACATCGTGTGGTGATGGTGTGGATGTGTACAACGTGTGGTCATGGTGTGGATGTTTACATCGTGTGGTGATGGTGTGGATGTGTACACAGTGTGGTGATGGTGTGGATGTTTACATCGTGTGGTGATGGTGTGGATGTTTACATCGTGTGGTGATGGTGTGGATGTGTACATCGTGTGGTGATGGTGTGGATGTTTACATCATGTGGTGATGGCGTGGATGTGTACATAGTGTGGTGATGGTGTGGATGTTTACATCGTGTGGTGATGGTGTGGATGTTTACACAGTGTGGTGATGGTGTGGATGTTTACATCGTGTGGTGATGGTGTGGATGTGTACACAGTGTGGTGATGGTGTGGATGTGTACACAGTGTGGTGATGGTGTGGATGTGTACACAGTGTGGTCATGGTGTGGATGTTTACATCGTATGGTGATGGTGTGGATGTGTACATCGTGTGGTGATGGTGTGGATGTGTACACAGTGTGGTGATGGTGTGGATGTGTACACAGTGTGGTCATGGTGTGGATGTTAACATCGCACGTTGATGTGGAAATGTAGAAGGTATGTATGGTGATGATAATGTTTAATGATGTTGCGCATGTTTGCAGCGTGTGGTCATGGTGTGGATATAATAAAACGCATAATAAATGGAAAAAAAAAATCACTAAATTGACGTCACTAGAACTCTCCTCAAAGACGACATCACATCACAATAATACATCAGATCATTTACTGACGTCACACGATTGATGATGTCACAAGACCAGACTCCTGTCCAATGGATCACGTGACGGAGAACTACTCACACGTATGTGAAGGAGGAGTGTGCGGGGATGGGGCACTGCGTCACCATGGCGACGCCGTCCATGTAGGGGGTGCCGTGCTGGAGGACCCCGTGCCAGTGTATGGACGTGCCCTCGGACTGCTCCATCTTGTTGTGGACTCGAACCCTGATCGTGTCGTTCTCACACACCTGGGGGGTCAAGTCAACAAGGGGGGGGGGGTTAGTTCGTTGACAGAATGGGAGAAGGATGTTGTTCATTTGGTGAAAAACAAAACAAAATTTTGGACCAATAAATAATTTTTTAAAACTAAACTCAATCGATTAACTCTCAGGATAGTGATAAAAAATTAATTTCGTGTGTGTGGGTGTGTTTACGGGTAAGTTTGTATGAGTCATTTTAGAAGTTTAAATTACCCCCCCCCCCCCCACAGAAAAAAAAATCTCAAGCCTATCAGACCGCTTGCATAACAAGTCTGACGTAACAAGTCTGACGTAACAAGTCTGACGTAACAAATGTGACGTAAAAAGTCTGACGTAACTTATGGCTGGCCATAGATTGAGAACCTTCCACCGATCACTTAGTTAGGGACCTGGTGTAAGGAAAACTTGAGCCCCGCGAACTACCTTGAGGTCAAACAAGTTTGTGATTCATCTGGCGACCCATTAACCCACCTCTCAGGTGTTTGACAAAACAACGCTAGTCATGAAACTCATTCATGCTTATCAGAATTAGCCTTCAACCATAAACATTATTTTTTTTCTTCCCAGCAGTGACGGCCATAAAGGTGGGCCCCTGTCTAACGGTGGGCCCCTGTTTAAAGGTGGGCCACAGGTGCGACCATTGGAGAATACAGATACTATGGGGTTATATATATATATATATATATATATATATATATATATATATATATATATATATATATATATATATATATATATATATATATATACATAAATATATAAATATATATATATATATATAAATTTATATATATATATATATATATATATATATATATATATATATATATATATATATATATATATATATATATATATATATATATATACATATAAATTTATATATATATATATATATATACATATAAATTTTTATATATATATATATATATATATATATATATATATATATATATATATATATATATAAATTTACATATATTTATATATATATTTATATATATTTATATAAGCATCGTGCCCTTATAGCGTCGTTTAGTTAACATCTGCTGGTTGTTGAAAGTCAGCTGTAGTTTACTATGATGAAACAGATCTACACCACCTGTCAGGTGTCAATGTCTTGCTGTCTGTTGCGCCACACTGCTCGCATAATTAATTAGTTTTTATAATCAGCACATCGGGAGAGGTTCATGTAAACTTGGGGCCGGTAATGCTTATGGTGTTGATGGTGGTGATGTTGAGAGTGGTGTTGATGGTGGTAATGTTGAAAGTGGTGTAGATGGTGGTGATGTTGAGAGTTGTGTTGTGTTGATGGTGGTGATGTTGAGAGTGGTGTTGATGGTGGTAATGTTGAAAGTGGTGTTGATGGTGGTGATGTTGAGAGTTGTGTTGTGTTGATGGTGGTGATGTTGAGAGTTGTGTTGATGGTGGTGATGTTGAGAGTGGTGTTGATGGTGGTGATGTTGAGAGTGGTGTTGTGTTGATGGTGGTGATGTTGAGAGTTGTGTTGATGGTGGTGATGTTGAGAGTGGTGTTGATGGTGGTGATGTTGAGAGTGGTGTTGATGGTGGTGATGTTGAGAGTGGTGTTGATGGTGGTGATGTTGAGAGTGGTGTTGATGGTGGTGATGTTGAGAGTGGTGTTGATGATGGTGATGTTGAGAATGGTGTTGAGGCTGATGTTGTGTTGATGGTGGTGTTGTGTTGAGGCTGGTGATGTAGAGAGTGGTGTTGTGTTGATGGTGGTGATGTTGAGAGTGGTGTTGATGGTGGTGATGTTGAGAGTGGTGTTGATGGTGGTGATGTTGAGAGCGGTGTTGAGGCTGGTGTTGTGTTGATGGTGGTGTTGTGTTGAGGCTGGTGATGTAGAGAGTGGTGTTGTGTTGATGGTGGTGATGTTGAGAGTGGTGTTGAAGGTGGTGATGTTGAGAGTGGTGTTGATGGTGGTGATGTTGAGAGTGGTGTTAATGGTGGTGATGTTGAGAGTGGTGTTGATGGTGTTGATGATGGTGATGTTGAGAGTGGTGTTGAGGCTGGTGTTGTGTTGATGGTGGTGTTGTGTTGATGGTGGTGTTGTGTTGAGGCTGGTGATGTAGAGAGTGGTGTTGATGGTGGTGATGTTGAGAGTGGTGTTGATGATGGTGATGTTGAGAGTGGTGTTGAGGCTGGTGTTGTGTTGATGGTGGTGTTGTGTTGAGGCTGGTGATGTAGAGAGTGGTGTTGTGTTGATGGTGGTGATGTTGAGAGTGGTGTTGATGGTGGTGATGTTGAGAGTGGTGTTGATGGTGGTGATGTTGAGAGTGGTGTTGATGGTGGTGATGTTGAGAGTGGTGTTGTGTTGATGGTGGTGATGTTGAGAGTGGTGCTGTATTGATGGTGGTGATGTTGAGAGTGGTGTTGTGTTGATGGTGGTGATGTTGAGAGTGGTGTTGATGGTGGTGATGTTGAGAGTGGTGTTGATGATGGTGATGTTGAGAGTGGTGTTGTGTTGATGGTGGTGATGTTGAGAGTGGTGTTGGTGGTGGTGATGTTGAGAGTGGTGTTGTGTTGATGGTGGTGATGTTGAGAGTGGTGTTGATGGTGGTGATGTTGAGAGTGGTGTTGTGTTGATGGTGGTGATGTTGAGAGTTGTGTTGATGGTGGTGATGTTGAGAGTGGTGTTGATGGTGGTGATGTTGAGAGTGGTGTTGTGTTGATGGTGGTGATGTTGAGAGTTGTGTTGATGGTGGTGATGTTGAGAGTGGTGTTGATGGTGGTGATGTTGAGAGTGGTGTTGATGGTGGTGATGTTGAGAGTGGTGTTGATGGTGGTGATGTTGAGAGTGGTGTTGAGGCTGATGTTGTGTTGATGGTGGTGTTGATGATGGTGATGTTGAGAGTGGTGTTGAGGCTGATGTTGTGTTGATGGTGGTGTTGTGTTGAGGCTGGTGATGTAGAGAGTGGTGTTGTGTTGATGGTGGTGATGTTGAGAGTGGTGTTGAGGCTGGTGTTGTGTTGATGGTGGTGTTGTGTTGAGGCTGGTGATGTAGAGAGTGGTGTTGTGTTGATGGTGGTGATGTTGAGAGTGGTGTTGATGGTGGTGATGTTGAGAGTGGTGTTGATGGTGTTGATGATGGTGATGTTGAGAGTGGTGTTGAGGCTGGTGTTGTGTTGATGGTGGTGTTGTGTTGATGGTGGTGTTGTGTTGAGGCTGGTGATGTAGAGAGTGGTGTTGTGTTGATGGTGGTGATGTTGAGAGTGGTGTTGATGGTGGTGATGTTGAGAGTGGTGTTGATGGTGTTGATGATGGTGATGTTGAGAGTGGTGTTGAGGCTGGTGTTGTGTTGATGGTGGTGTTGTGTTGATGGTGGTGTTGTGTTGAGGCTGGTGATGTAGAGAGTGGTGTTGATGGTGGTGATGTTGAGAGTGGTGTTGATGATGGTGATGTTGAGAGTGGTGTTGAGGCTGGTGTTGTGTTGATGATGGTGTTGTGTTGAGGCTGGTGATGTAGAGAGTGGTGTTGTGTTGATGGTGGTGATGTTGAGAGTGGTGTTGATGGTGGTGATGTTGAGAGTGGTGTTGTGTTGATGGTGGTGATGTTGAGAGTGGTGCTGTATTGATGGTGGTGATGTTGAGAGTGGTGTTGTGTTGATGGTGGTGATGTTGAGAGTGGTGTTGATGGTGGTGATGTTGAGAGTGGTGTTGATGATGGTGATGTTGAGAGTGGTGTTGTGTTGATGGTGGTGATGTTGAGAGTGGTGTTGATGGTGGTGATGTTGAGAGTGGTGTTGTGTTGATGGTGGTGATGTTGAGAGTGGTGTAGATGGTGGTGATGTTGAGAGTGGTGTTGTGTTGATGGTGGTGATGTTGAGAGTGGTGTTGATGGTGGTGATGTTGAGAGTGGTGTTGATGGTGGTGATGTTGAGAGTGGTGTTGATGGTGGCGATGTTGAGAGTGGTGTTAATGGTGTTGATGATGGTGATGTTGAGAGTTGTGTTGATGGTGGTGATGTTGAGAGTGGTGCTGTATTGATGGTGATGATGTTGGGAGTGGTGTTGAGAGTGGTGTTGATGATGGTGATGTTGAGAGTTGTGTTGTATTGATGGTGGTGATGTTGAAAGTGGTGTTGTGTTAATGGTGGTGATGTTGAGAGTTGTGCTGTATTGATGGTGGTGATGTTGTGAGTGGTGTTGTGTATATTTTTCATCTAAATTCCGTTGTCCTTATTGTGCACTTGTGACCAACATATTTGAATGTGAAATGTATCCCATAATCTCTGGAGTAACTTGATGCGTTTTGCTAAAGATATCCTACTACAAATATTTCCTTCCCCTGCTATAAAAGATATCCCATAATTTTCGAATAAGAGGACCAGCTTAAAGGTTAATGTGTGAGAAATAAGGAGAATGCGTTGGCTGGGTCTTGTCTTGTGAATACCAAACAAACAAACAAACAAACAAACAAACAAACAAACAAACAAACAAACAAACAAACAAAAAAACAAACAAACAAACAAACAAACAAACAAACAAACAAACAAACAGACAAACAAACAAAAATAGCACTGAGATGGAGTCTATGGAAGGCAGGTAATGTGGAGGAGAGAGATGGAAGAAGTGCTGACCACAAACAAATCTGGCATTAACCCAGGGGGACGCACAGGGCATAGGGCAGGGTTTTGTCGCTGCTGCATCTACTTTATCTACTTGTATCAACCTACCTATACTTACCTGTATCTACCTGTATCCACATGTATCTACCTATATCCACCTGTATCTACCACTATCTACTTGTATCTACCTATATCCACCTGTATCTACCTATATCCACCTGTATCTACCTGTATCTACCTGTATCTACCTGTATCTACCTGTATCTACCTGTATCTACCTGTATCCACCTTTATCTACCTGTATCTACCTGTACCTACCTATATCTACCTGTACAAACCTGTACCAACCTACCTGTATCCACCTGTATCTACCTATATCCACCTGTATCTACCTATACCAACCTACCTGTATCCACCTGTATCTACCTGTATATATCTGTACCAGTCTATCTGTATCTACCTGTATCTACCTGTATCTACCTGTATCTACCTGTACCAACCTGTACCAACCTACCTGTATCTGACTGTATCTACCTGTATCCACCTGTATCTACCTGTATCCACCTGTATCTGCCTATATTCACCTGTATCTACCTGTATCTACCTGTATCTACCTGTATCTACCTGTATCTACCTGTATAGACGGGCCTGGCATCATACGGTTGACCGTGATAATCCCGCGCTGACCGCCTGTACATACCCGTACCTACCTGTACCAACCTGTACCAACCTACCTGTATCCACCTGTATCTACCTGTATCTATTTGTATCTACCTGTATCTACCTGTACCAACCTACCTGTATCCACCTGTATCCACCTGTATCTACCTGTATCTACCTGTATTTACCTGTATCTACCTGTATCTACATGTATCTACCTGTACCAACCTACCTGTATCTACCTGTATCTACCTGTACCAACCTACCTGTATCTACCTGTACAAACCTGTACCAACCTACCTGTATCCACCTGTATCTACCTGTATCTATTTGTATCTACCTGTATCTACCTGTACCAACCTACCTGTATCCACCTGTATCCACCTGTATCTACCTGTATCTACCTGTATTTACCTGTATCTACCTGTATCTACCTGTATCTACATGTATCTACCTGTACCAACCTACCTGTATCTACATGTATCTACCTGTACCAACCTACCTGTATCTACCTGTACAAACCTGTACCAACCTACCTGTATCTACATGTATCTACCTGTACCAACCTACCTGTATCTACCTGTATCTACCTGTATCTACCTGTACCAGCCTACCTATATCTACCTATATTCACCTGTATCTACCACTATCTACCCATATCCACCTGTATCTACCTGTACTAACCTACCTGTATAGATGGGCCTGGCATCATACGGTTGACCGTGATAATCCCGCGCTGACCGCCGTCTGCATACACACAGTGGGGTCTGTAACAGTCGTCTGGTGTGATTGGGCAGCTGGAAGGACACGATAGGCATTAGGGCAGATTGGGGCATTACTACAGGTAAGTGAGCATTAGGGCAGATTGGGACATAAGGACGGGTAGGAGGGCATTAGGGCAGATTGTGGCATAAGGACAGGTTGATGGGCATTAGGGCAGATTGGGGCATAAGGACTGGTAGGTAGGCATTAGGGCAGATTGGGGTATTACTACAGGTAAGTGAGCATTAGGGCAGATTGGGGCATAAGGACAGATAGGTGGGCATTAGGGCAGATTGGGGCATAAGGACAGGTAGGTTGGCATTAGGGCAGATTGGGGCATAAGGACAGGTAGGTTGGCATTAGGGCAGATTGGGGCATAAGGACAGGTAGGTGGACACTGGGAAGGTAGATGGGCATTGGGACGAGTAGGTGGGCATTAGGATAGGTAGGTGGACATTATTTAAGTAGAGCAGATTGGTGGGAATCAGGTGGGCATTACGACAGGTAAGTGGGAATTATTGTGGCTAGGTAGTCAATACAAATGTGCAATACAAGTATCCTATACAAATGTTCCATACAAATGTTCTCTAAACATATTCCCACGATCCGGGGCTAGCGTCCTACGTAACGCGACACGCTAGAGTGGGGTGCTATAAACAACTTAGTTACGTCTCATGTGGACGATACACGCTAGAGTGCACCGATGTGCAACCCTCCCCTCCCACCACACACACACACCCAGTGCAAACTTTAGCCCGGGGGTGGATGTGGGGCGGGGCAAAAGTTGTGTACATTGTAGCAAATTGTGATGTAGATCAAGTGGTTCTCAAAAGGAATCTAATCTTTAACATGCAGGTTACCCAATTTGTTTTTGGGGAACTTCAGGGCGTGGCTTACTGGTTCCATGACCCATGGGGTGACCCTGGAACTCCATAGGTGATAAATACAGGTAAAAGAGACAGATAACAGGAATGGCTTAATACGCTAGGTTTATGGTTAAGGTGTTATAACTGAGTCAATTGTTGATGCTAGTGGGTTGTCCCCCCCCCCCCCCGTCTCCCGTCCCTCACCTGAATTGGGACAGGCCGTAAGCTGATAGGAAGGTAGGTATCCTCGTCCCACCTAGCTATGTGCGGGCTGGGGGTCAGGGTTCCTGAGGGTGAAGCTGAGAGCTATGTAAGGGCTAGGGGTCAGGCAGGGGTCAGGGTTGGGGTCAGGGTTCCTGAGGGTGAGGCCATGAGAATGAATTAGTAGAGTTGAACGTCAGCCTTGTGAGGATGTAGACGTGGTTTGTTTTGTGAAGTGTGGTAGGGCTGGACCCTAAGGCTGGCCGCTATTGATGAACAAGTTTTCCCTCTTCTTTAGACCATACTAAGACTATCATGTAGTGTTAAGTTTCACCATCCATTAAATTAAAGTTGCTGAGTTGAGATAGTGTTGGTGTCTTCTTTAGACCATACTAATGCTATCATGTAGTGTTAAGTTTCACCATCCATTAAATTAAAGTTGCTGAGTTGAGATAGTGTTGGTGTCTCCTTTAGACCATACTAAGACTATCATGTAGTGTTAAGTTTCACCATCCATTAAATTAAAGTTGCTGAGTTGAGATAGTGTTGGTGTCTTCTTTAGACCATACTAAGACTATCGTGTAGTGTTAAGTTTCACCATCCATTAAATTAAAGTTGCTGAGTTGAGATAGTGTTGGTGTCTTCTTTAGACCATACTAAGACTATCATGTAGTGTTAAGTTTCACCATCCATTAAATTAAAGTTGCTGAGTTGAGATAGTGTTGGTGTCTTCTTTAGACCATACTAAGACTATCATGTAGTGTTAAGTTTCACCATCCATTAAATTAAAGTTGCTGAGTTGAGATAGTGTTGGTGTCTTCTTTAGACCATACTAAGACTATCATGTAGTGTTAAGTTTCACCATCCATTAAATTAAAGTTGCTGAGTTGAGATAGTGTTGGTGTCTTCTTTAGACCATACTAAGACTATCATGTAGTGTTAAGTTTCACCATCCATTAAATTAAAGTTGCTGAGTTGAGATAGTGTTGGTGTCTTCTTTAGACCATACTAAGACTATCATGTAGTGTTAAGTTTCACCATCCATTAAATTAAAGTTGCTGAGTTGAGATAGTGTTGGTGTCTTCTTTAGACCATACTAAGACTATCATGTAGTGTTAAGTTTCACCATCCATTAAATTAAAGTTGCTGAGTTGAGATAGTGTTGGTGTCTTCTTTAGACCATACTAAGACTATCATGTAGTGTTAAGTTTCACCATCCATTAAATTAAAGTTGCTGAGTTGAGATAGTGTTGGTGTCTTCTTTAGACCATACTAAGACTATCATGTAGTGTTAAGTTTCACCATCCATTAAATTAAAGTTGCTGAGTTGAGATAGTGTTGGTGTCTTCTTTAGACCATACTAAGACTATCATGTAGTGTTAAGTTTCACCATCCATTAAATTAAAGTTGCTGAGTTGAGATAGTGTTGGTGTCTTCTTTAGACCATACTAAGACTATCATGTAGTGTTAAGTTTCACCATCCATTAAATTAAAGTTGCTGAGTTGAGATAGTGTTGGTGTCTTCTTTAGACCATACTAAGACTATCATGTAGTGTTAAGTTTCACCATCCATTAAATTAAAGTTGCTGAGTTGAGATAGTGTTGGTGTCTTCTTTAGACCATACTAAGACTATCATGTAGTGTTAAGTTTCACCATCCATTAAATTAAAGTTGCTGAGTTGAGATAGTGTTGGTGTCTTCTTTAGACCATACTAAGACTATCATGTAGTGTTAAGTTTCACCATCCATTAAATTAAAGTTGCTGAGTTGAGATAGTGTTGGTGTCTTCTTTAGACCATACTAAGACTATCATGTAGTGTTAAGTTTCACCATCCATTAAATTAAAGTTGCTGAATTGAGATAGTGTTGGTGTCTTCTTTAGACCATACTAAGACTATCATGTAGTGTTAAGTTTCACCATCCATTAAATTAAAGTTGCTGAGTTGAGATAGTGTTGGTGTCTTCTTTAGACCATACTAAGACTATCATGTAGTGTTAAGTTTCACCATCCATTAAATTAAAGTTGCTGAGTTGAGATAGTGTTGGTGTCTTCTTTAGACCATACTAAGACTATCATGTAGTGTTAAGTTTCACTATCCATTAAATTAAAGTTGCTGAATTGAGATAGTTTTGGTGTCTTCTTTAACAATCAAGTAATCTACTGTTGATGTGTCTAATTCACCACACAACTGTTTAACCTCTCACTGCAGTCATTAACATCTAACCATAGTACCAACTATACGAATGACTTCATTACAATAGGGTTGGGATAAGAATATGGATAGGGATAAGGATAGTGTTGGCGATGGCGATAAGGTAAGGGATAGATTTACGGGTAGGGATAGGGTCACGGATTGACCCTAAAATGTTTTTTTTTGTTACTCCTGTTTGTGAAGTTGGATTTTGTTGTAAATAACATTCTTGAATTTTGACAAGGGAGGGGAAGGTGTAAGTTTCCAACGTGGGGTGGGGGTAATCGATAGGGGTGGGGATAATTGCTGCGGGGGACGATGAAGGGTAGCTAGAAATGGCCGGGGGTAGTATCTGTGCAATGTCTTAAACGCACACATACAAACACACACATACAAACACACACACACACATGTAAACATGAAATTCAAAGTGTTGCGTCCTACATGAGCCAATGAAGGTGTATCTTAAAATAGGACAGCTGTTATTTTGGAGAGTTATTTGTTGGGGGGGGGGGAGGGGGGGAGTGGGTTAACACCCCTATCACCCCCACCCTACCCCTGGTTCCAAATTACCTTTCACGCACTTTAGCCAATGTTGGTCGAGGCTAAACCTCAGGTGTTCCCACCCTACATCGTAGCAACCACTTTAACCTGGTCTAGCTGTCAATCTGGTTTGGCTGCCAGCCATAACAGGCCTGGCTGCAGCCACCGTCAGTGACAGTCGCGGTAGGTCGCGTAAGTTAGCGGCCGCTACAACAGTGACAGTCGCGGTAGGTTGCGTAAGTTAGCGGCCGCTACAACAGTGACAGTCGCGGTAGGTTGCGTAAGTTAGCGGTCGCTACAACACCTTGAATATAGGCCGATCTACCTTTCAGAAAGTTTGAATACACTTCAGGTGACAGGACAAAAACATATCTTTGATCAAGGAATTCACTGATGCGTATCAGAGGAGCAGTGAACCAGACATAAACAAACTTCCAGCAACAAGGTAATCTAACCAAGCGTGACGCACGGTAGCCGAGGGTAGCCCAATACAGTCAAGTTTGGGTCCTGTAAGTTTCTTGATTTATATCACATTGAAGATCTAATGTCAGGCCAGGATTTTGTAAGAATTAGCACTAAAAATGTAAGCCAACTGGCTCGGGTTGATTTTAGGATAAGCTACAAGAGCAGGGGATGGAGGGGAGGGGGTGGTGATGCACAGCGCACCTCGGTTTATTATTGGATGACATAAAGAGAAAATATTTCAACACCTTGCTGGACAAAGGAAGTGGAGAAGAAGATAAACATCTAAAAAGATTATGAAATCACCGCTCCGTATCTTCGAACGTTCCCACACACAGAAGCAACGAGCGAGACGCGTTATTGATCCGACAAAAGGGCCCCTGACAAAAATAACTTTTTTTAGCCGCATAATCTCAAACAGCACCGACCAACTTTAGGCAAGGTGACTTATGTAACCTCCACCCCGTTGACCTCCAGTTTGTTGACATACTCTACTGCACTTAACGACTTTCTGAACACGTGTCACCTACCCTGGACATATACAAAAAATGCCCCCCCCCCCGGGCAAAAAAAAGACTCACTTCCAACAAGCCTTGGTCAGAGTGTGGTAATGCTCAACTAGAAAGTTGTAGTCACAGGTCATTGGTTGACCGTCGTCAGTACAGCTGCGTGTACAGGGGTGGTTCTTGTAATCTGCAGGGGAGGGGCAAGAGGAGAGTGTGGAAATTGGGAGGAGTCAGAGGAAATCGTGAAAAACATGGAAGAGTTCGAGGAAAACAATAGAAGTCATAAGTAAACGGTATGAGTTTCCTTTAGTTTCCATTAGTGTAACGCGTTATCTTAGAGAAGCAGGGAGTTGTGTGGAGTCAGATAAACAGAAAGTTGTGTGGAGTCAGATAAACAGGGAGAAGTTGTGTGGAGTCAGATAAACAGGGAGAAGTTGTGTGGAGTCAGATAAACAGAGAGTTGTGTGGAGTCAGATAAACAGAGAGTTGTGTGGAGTCAGATAAACAGAGAGTTGTGTGGAGTCAGATAAACAGAGAGTTGTGTGGTCAGATAAACAGAGAGTTGTGTGGAGTCAGATAAACAGGGAGTTGTGTGGAGTCAGATAAACAGAGAGTTGTGTGGAGTCAGATAAACAGAGAGTTGTGTGGAGTCAGATAAACAGAGAGTTGTGTGGAGTCAGATAAACAGGGAGTTGTGTGGAGTCAGATAAACAGAGAGTTGTGTGGAGTCAGATAAACAGAGAGTTGTGTGGAGTCAGATAAACAGAGAGTTGTGTGGAGTCAGATAAACAGAGAGTTGTGTGGAGTCAGATAAATAGGGAGAAGTTGTGTGGAGTCAGATAAACAGGGAGAAGTTGTGTGGAGTCAGATAAACAGGGAGAAGTTGTGTGGAGTCAGATAAACAGTGAGTTGTGTGGAGTCAGATAAATAGGGAGAAGTTGTGTGGAGTCAGATAAACAGAGAGTTTTGTGGAGTCAGATAGGGAGAAGTTGTGTGGAGTCAGATAAACAGGGAGAAGTTGTGTGGAGTCAGATAAACAGGGAGAAGTTGTGTGGAGTCAGAGAAGTTGTGTGGAGTCAGATAAACAGGGTGAAGTTGTGTGGAGTCAGATAAACAGGGAGAAGTTGTGTGGAGTCAGATAGGGAGAAGTTGTGTGGAGTCAGATAAACAGGGTGAAGTTGTGTGGAGTCAGATAAACAGGGAGAAGTTGTGTGGAGTCAGATAGGGAGAAGTTGTGTGGAGTCAGATAAATAGGGAGAAGTTGTGTGGAGTCAGATAAACAGGGAGAAGTTGTGTGGAGTCAGATAAACAGGGAGAAGTTGTGTGGAGTCAGATAAACAGGGAGAAGTTGTGTGGAGTCAGATAAACAGGGAGAAGTTGTGTGGAGTCAGATAAATAGGGAGAAGTTGTGTGGAGTCAGATAAACAGGGAGAAGTTGTGTGGAGTCAGATAAACAGGGAGAAGTTGTGTGGAGTCAGATAAACAGGGAGAAGTTGTGTGGAGTCAGATAAATAGGGAGAAGTTGTGTGGAGTCAGATAAACAGGGAGAAGTTGTGTGGAGTCAGATAAATAGGGAGAAGTTGTGTGGAGTCAGATAAACAGGGAGAAGTTGTGTGGAGTCAGATAAACAGGGAGAAGTTGTGTGGAGTCAGATAGGGAGAAGTTGTGTGGAGTCAGATAGGGAGAAGTTGTGTGGAGTCAGATAAACAGGGAGAAGTTGTGTGGAGTCAGATAAACAGAGAGAAGTTGTGTGGAGTCAGATGAAAGGATAACTATATCTAACCTAAGTGTACCAATGAAACCGTATTCAATGAGAAATGTTAAGCTGAAACACTATAGTGCCTGGGTGAATGCTAAACCATGTATAGTGTCAGAATAATTAATAGGGCTTGTAAGTAGGTCACAAACTTCTCGTACTTGCCAGCTAATATTTTTCAAACCAAAAGTGAATATTTTAATGAAATAGATAAAGATTAACTAGAAAAGTTGCTTACACTGTAGTTAAGTTATTTATAGTCGTAAACAAAAATAATGATAGACTATTAGATGTACGCTAGCTCCAAGAAAATATAGCCTACGTAAAATTGTGATTTAAAAAAATAAATAAGCTGCAGTTATTATTATATCTACTCCGTACTTCGTAACAACTTGTCCTAAACGTTGTTACAATTTTGATATCATATTAATAGTCGTCACTGGATTCTTTTATCGGTAAAAATGTTATAATAGGAAAAGTCTATGTAATAAAACTAAATATTTGAAAAAATCTTTTAAAACATACGACATGCGATAAAATTATAGTTGCATTATTTTAAATTAAAGCCGTTTGGGAACCATCGATTACACTTATTTTTATACGAGAAAAATGGCCCGTTGAGGAAGGATACACCGGGCGCTAGGTTGATAGTGCTGTCTCTTTTCTCTAAACTAAAACCAACCCACCCCCCCCCCCACACACACACCACCCCCACCCCCACCCCCACCCCCCACCCACCCCCACCCCCACCCCCCAAAAAAACATGTCTACCGTCCCATTCAGCGAAATATAATTATATACTTTTTCCAGTGTCCGCCCCCTCCCCGAAAATTCTACCCCCGCCCCCGAAAATTTCAAGTACCCCACACCTCTCCGGGGAGGAAAAAGTCTGAAAGAAACACTGGTGTCGCGCTTAGCCACTACGCGAAGAATTGCATTAAAGAAATTGCGAGAAAACCACTTTTTAGATTAGACACATTAATTAGGCGGTAATTTTATTATAGAGTATCGATGAGGAAACCACCCCACCCCACCCCCCCACCCCACCCCCCCACCCCCCACTCTCAAAAAAAAAACATGTCTACCGTCCCATTCAACGAAATATAATTATATACTTTTTCCAGTGTCCGCCCCCCTCCCCGAAAATTCTACCCCCGCCCCCGAAAATTTCAATTACCCCCACCCCTTTCCGGGGAGGAAAAAGTCTGAAAGAAACACTGGTGTCGCGCTTAGCCACTACCCGAAGAATTGCATTAAAGAAATTGCAAGAAAACCACTTTTGAGATTAGACACATTAATTAGGCGGTAATTTTATTATAGAGTATCGATGAAGAAATTTCTTTTGAGTTGGGGAGGGGGAGGGGCTCAGACGTTCTTACGCGGGGGGTGGGGCTTCGCCCCTACCCGAAGAATTGTATGCAAGAAACTCTTCACGCAAACCACTTAGATTAGACAACATTTCCTCTTAATTCAATGTTTACGCCAGAATCAATGACGTCATTATATTACTGTGAGATTATTTTCTACTCTGTGCGCTAAATGTGTCGACGTCATACTTCGTTTTTCGAATTACTATGCATGTTTTTAAATTGCTTGTCTTTTCTCTAGAGCGTTCTTGTCAGACAGATAGATAGATAGATAGATAGATAGATAGATAGATAGATAGATAGATAGATAGATAGATAGATAGATAGATAGATAGATAGATAGATAGATAGATAGATAGATAGATAGATAGATAGATAGATAGATAGATAGATAGATAGATAGATAGATAGACAGACAGCGAAACTATTATTATAGATTTTTGTACCGAATATAAGCCACTGAAAAGCCGTTTAGAATTATTTTTTCAAAAACTGCACTCAACCTCTTTTTAATGTCAACCGGAATGGCCAGTGAGAGTAGGCCTAAAACAATAAAAGTTAAAACAACTGTTTTCCATGCAGTGGCGTAGCTAGGATTTTTGGGCCCCTATTCAAAAAGTGTTAGTGGGCCCCTCAGAGGCGTAGCGACCCTTCCCGGCGACCGGGGACAAACTTTCGATTTGCATCCCCTCTCAGACTTTCGATTTGCAACCCCCCCCCTCAAACTTTCGAAAAAGGGCCCCTATTTGCCTTGGGCCCCTATGCCTGGCTTACGCTAGCTTTACGGTAGCTACGCCACTGTTTCCATGATACAAATACACATAGTGATCTATGGTGTATAGCGTAGTATTGAATTTATATTAAATAATATAACATCCCCAATCACCACAACACCATGACTCTAATTATCCAAATAAAAAAGTGATTGCTAAATTACAATAATATTACTAGCAATAATTTCTTTGACTATTTCTAGCCTTAATGAAACCGGAAGTAATTTTGTACTTATTACACAAATGTTATAAAATTTGTAATATTGGTTGAAAAATATGAAATAACTTGGAACCATTAGGAACCAGCTTTTCAAATCTATTGTTGTATTTTGGGTACTCTAGGTATTTTAAAATCCAAAAAAAAAGTAGTCGCCATATGTTTGGGTATTAGTTCAAAAATTTATAACTCGCCCAAGCTAACGAGATCTCGAATTCTTAGCGAGAGAGACCGAGAATTACAAGCCCTATTGCATACATGAACTATATATTTTACATCACAAAGATTAGAGATAACTGATTAAGAATATTGGTATCTGCGAATAGGTCATGTGATTCATGGCTATTTTAAAATGGGCTGGCAATTAAGTAAAGACACTGACCTTCAATCTGTGAATAGGTCATGTGGTTCAACAGCGGGGTCACGGTCACGGCCTGGTCAATCCACGTCACCAGCAACAGCAATGGCAGCACTCTGACCTTCATTGTAGGTCAAGGACAGTGTCACCTGCTGATATAAAGGTCAAACTGTAATAAGGGTCAGGGGTTAAATAATTTTTTAGCCAAAAAGTAACAACTGTGGATCTAAAATCCAAACGAGATGGGTCTGTTCTCGGGTCATACAAGAGACGGGTATGTCGCAAATCATTTAGAGTCGGGACAAGACATCCATTCAACACACAGTATGCTTCAATAATCGACATAATCCCCGCATAATGTGCCCTACATCTCTACTTTCATAATGTGCCCTACATCTCTACTTTCATAATGTGCCCTACATCTATACTTTTATAATGTGCCCTACATCTATACTTTTATAATGTGTCCTACATCTATACTTTCATAATGTGCCCTACATCTCTACTTTCATAATGTGCCCTACATCTATACTTTTATAATGTGCCCTACATCTATACTTTCATAATGTGCCCTACATCTATACTTTTATAATGTGCCCTACATCTATACTTTTATAATGTGTCCTACATCTTTAATTTCATAATGTGCCCTAAACCTCTACTTTCATAATGTGCCCTACATCTCTACTTTCATAATGTGCCCTACATCTTTACTTTCATAATGTGCCCTACATCTTTAATTTCATAATGTGACCTACATCTCTACTTTCATAATGTGGCCTACATCCGTATTTTACCAGGTGGGTCCCTTAGATATGTCGCGATGTGTTGTCAAGTGTATCTTGTGTGTGTGTGTGTGTGGGAGGGGGTGGGTTGGGGGGGCCAAAATATTGGATGTGGGTAGTCATTTGCTTATCTTGTAGGAGGCACTAACTGTTAGCGGCGAACATAAGGGGCGCAGGTTACCGGTGTAGGTGGGGGGCGCAGGTTAGTTGTGGGTGGGGGGGGGCGCAGGTTACCGGTGTGGGTAAGGCGTGATGTCAGCACTTTAACCCCCCCCCCCCGCCATTTACCGTGATGACGAGGCGTGAGACTAAATTAATTAATTAGATCACTCCGCTGATGACGTAACACAGCCAATCAGCAGCTTTAACCAACCGCGGCAGTTAATGACGTCACTCCACATTAACCATAAAGCGACGGTCACATTATCAACACGTGCTGTGTTCATGTTTACATAATTTATTCATAGAAACATGGCGAGTACTGTACACTTGACATTCTGCTCAGCGTGTACATTGATGAGCGACGCGCGTGCTATTAACTAAGCTAAGTAGGCGGGTTATTTATAGGGTACCTAGACTATAGACACAATTCTACTTCTAATCATTTCTATAACCGTTACGTCTCTAAACGTCTGTCCTGTTAGACCTGTTCTCTAATAAACCAAAGAGTTTCATGTATCGGCCTTAAGACTTAGCAAAACATTCTGATATTTCATTTGAAAAAAAAAGTTTTTATAATCATCTTTAAGATCTACATTTTTCAAAAGATTATTGAAGTATTTAAAAATAAAATCTTGATCTGTTACACGATTAAAATTAGAAAAAAATAGTTAATTAAAAACTGGAAACTATCTGATAACAAATTAGTCTGTAAACAATAGTCATCTAAAATGTAATCGATGGTCAAATTTTGTTATGTGAAATATCCCATAAGACACTACTAAAACTCGATGACTAGTCAATTTTGTGATGTGAAATAATACACATTACACTACTATACGTAATAGCTAGTCAATTTTGTTATGTGAAATATCCCATAAGACACCACATCTACAGATAGTTCTCCCAGTGCATTAGTTGGACCAGTTTAACTTACTCGAGTAATATCTGGCCAGGTTGTACAAGGAGATTAAAGCCATAAACTATCCAGCTAATTAAAATTACGTAAATCTAGCACGTGCCAGTGTTAATTAGCCGCTTGTCAGTGCTGTCAGGTCAGAGGTCAATGCCAAATTCGACAGTGACAAGGTGGGCGTGGCTTTGTTGTCATCTGGTAAAGTTGAGATGACATCCAGTCCACATTGGACGCGGTGCCAGAAAATAAAGGGTTCCTTTATTCATCCTTCTGGGTGGGTTCATCATAGTGCAAGATAGTCGAACGACCGATCGGCAGACCGCACACATAGCCGTACGCTCAGTGGTTAGCCGTGCAAATAGACATTCGCTCAAGCAACTAGCCGTGCAAATAGACATTGGTTCAAGTGGTTAGCCGTCCAAATAACCATTGTCTCACTCGGTTAGTCGTGCAAATAGCCATTGGCTAAAGCGGTTAGTCGTGCAAATAGCCATTTGCTAAAGCGGTTAGCCGTGCACATAGACATTGGCTAAAGTGGTTAAATAACCATTGGCTCAAGCGGTTACCCGTCCAAATAACCAGTGGCTCACACTGTTAGTCGTGAAAATAGCCATTAGCGCAAACGGTTAGTCTTCCAAATAGCAATACGCTCAAGCGGCTAACCATCCAAATAGCCATTGACTCAGACGGTTAGCCGCCCATGCAATTCGGGTTACCAAGAGTCAAGAGTCGCACATTTCGTAGCTAGAGATAAGAGTCAAGAGTCACACATATCAGCTAAAGATAAAGGCCCTCGTCACCACCCTTCCCCCCCACCCCCCGGGTAGCCCACGATTGCAGAATCTCGTGATTTAGCTGCTCAACTTTCTTGCCCTCTGAGTGTAGCCACCTTAGCCAACAAAGTACCAACATCCGGTGGTAGAAAAAATTCACGTGATGGAATAAAAAAGTGAGCTCCCTTCTCTGAGTGACGTGTTGTTTACCTTCCACCCCCCCCCCATTATTAATGTAAACATTTCAATTTTTTTTTAAAATCGAATCATCCCTTTATAAACCTCACGCTGCCAAACACAACTCCCAACTGCAAGAAATATTCAGGCATAAACAGGCAAAGATGCAGACTTTGATAGAAACCTCACCTACAATTTAATGCATTCCTATCTGCATTTCAAAGTTTTGACTCGTTATTTTTATACTCTGATAATTTAATACTCACATCAAAAGTTTTAAAAAGTACATGACAATTTATGTCGTTCTGTAGCTACTATCTTTATATGTCACCACATACAAATATTTTAAAACTTCCCACAACGCGACAGACTAAACGCCCTAAGGTGTCCCGATAGAATCAACTGTATTATGTTATGTCTGCACTTTTACATTAGCAGCGAAGATCGTGTTGTTTTTTAACTGCACGTTACTCAAGAATTAAAATTCCTTTTGAATCTCGTGAATTAATTAATTTAGAAAATTAACGTCAGCTAGTTTTGTGGACACTCGGCAATAATTAACACTCGTTAAATTTCAGGCAGCCCAAGAACATAAAGAAAAACTCGTATCAAAACAAAAATTTAAGTTATGCAACAAAGTCCCAAGACTTTGAAGCTAAACTGTAAAACTAAGACATTTTAAAAACTGAACGTTAAAACAAAATACAAATTAACACGCAGAAATAAACGACATTCCTCAATTAACGCACGAGTTTTACGCATATCAACATATGCACGTGCACACAAAAAACGTACTCACCTGTATACAGCACACAGCTGCTCACAATGGCAACTTTTTTTACCTTCTGCTTGCGTGAGTTGAGTGCGTGTCCGTGAATTCAGGCGTGAGTTGAGTGCGTGTCCGTGAATTCAGGCAACATGTAGCGCGGGGCCAGGTATTTAAAACAATTCTTGCAAGTTATAGATGTGATATAAATAGGTCAATGTCCCCGTACTGAAACACAAACTGGAATTTATTCGCACACCCATTGGCTGGGCTAGATCCGCCATGTTGTGACTACAGGCGGGGGCAGAGGGCGGGTCTAAAAAGTAATCACACGGGTCGGTGTGGTAGTTTCGTGGGTCTGTGTGGGTCTGTGTAGTAGTCACGTAGGTCTGTGTAGTAGTCTCGTAGGTCTGTGTAGTAGTCACGTAGGTGGGTCTGTGTAGTAGTCTCGTAGGTGGGTCTGTGTAGTAGTCTCGTAGGTCTGTGTAGTAGTCACGTAGGTCTGTGTAGTAGTCACGTAGGTGGGTCTGTGTAGTAGTCTCGTAGGTGGGTCTGTGTAGTAGTCACGTAGGTCTGTGTAGTAGTCACGTAGGTCTGTGTAGTAGTCTCGTAGGTCTGTGTAGTAGTCACGTAGGTCTGTGTAGTAGTCACGTAGGTGGGTCTGTGTAGTAGTCTCGTAGGTGGGTCTGTGTAGTAGTCACGTAGGTCTGTGTAGTAGTCTCGTAGGTCTGTGTAGTAGTCACGTAGGTCTGTGTAGTAGTCTCGTAGGTGGGTCTGTGTAGTAGTCTCGTAGGTCTGTGTAGTAGTCACGTAGGTCTGTGTAGTAGTCACGTAGGTCTGTGTAGTAGTCACGTAGGTCTGTGTAGTAGTCTCGTAGGTCTGTGTAGTAGTCTCGTAGGTCTGTGTAGTAGTCACGTAGGTCTGTGTAGTAGTCACGTAGGTCTGTGTAGTAGTCTCGTAGGTCTGTGTAGTAGTCTCGTAGGTCTGTGTAGTAGTCACGTAGGTCTGTGTAGTAGTCACGTAGGTCTGTGTAGTAGTCTCGTAGGTCTGTGTAGTAGTCTCGTAGGTCTGTGTAGTAGTCTCGTAGGTCTGTGTGTTAGTAAGGTGGGTCTGTGTAGCAGTCAGGTGGGTCTGTGCAGCAGTAAGGTGGGTCTTTGTGGGTCTGTGTAGCACTTCGCCGTGTCTGTGTAGTGTGTTGTTTATGTCCAACATTTATCACTACACCCATCATTTATCTTCCCAGTCAAGGTCAAGGTTCTTACCTTACAGATGTAAACCTTCAACTTCCGGTGTCCCCCCCCCCCCCCCGCCGCGGGTGAGTCTGGTGTAGGTGATGGATGGCAGGGAAAAAAATGTAAACAACTTTTTTAATGGGAGCTCGGGGTCAAAGGTCGGGGTGGGCGGTACAATTTCTCTAACCGCTAGGGTGAGATCAGTCACGCGTGACGGTCGGCTTTTGTGTCAATTAAATTAATGAACCGTGACAATGACCCGCACAATATGTTTTTTTACCTGGGCGGGGGAGGGGCTGGAGTGGAGACCTACTGTATGGAGAGAGAAAAGAGAGGGGTAGATAGTGGGGGAGGGGGGATTGCAAGGAGGTTTAGTTTTTGTAGTAGAGTAATTATATCGCCTAACAGATACACGATTTGGTCCGTGTAGTTTCCGCTGGTGGGGGGGGGGGGGGGAGATGGGGTGGGAGTGTGTAGGGAAGGTGGGGGATGGCCTGTCACCCAGCTACTAACCGGGTTGAACTGTTGGATAATTTGTTACGTGTAAATTACCCATCAAAGGGTCTGGCAGCTCTTACAAGATCTGCTTACACGTGAGACCATATTGAAGAAAAAAAACCCCACTGAAACAATCTAGGAGAACCAAATAAAGTAACAATCCCAATCTTTAAAGTACAAAATCTTATCACCTCCTGATATAAGACTACTAGCGTACCCGTCCCGCGCTTTGCTGAAGGCTGACGCAATATTTTAAGAGAAAATCATCAATGCGCTACCAATAGAGTATTCTTAAACGCGTGAGCTTGTTTTCTAAAACTGTTATTTAAATATATACAGCGCCAGCGCTAAATAAGATATTAGCTGCTGCTAGTGTGTTCACACCCCCCCCCCCTGGGCGTGTTGTATGAACGTCTTCAGTTAATCAACCTACATAATAGTGATGTAGAACACAGCTCAGTCACTGCCCATATATCATGTAGCCCATATCTCACCTCGCCTTAATCATGTAGCCATATCTCACCTCGTCTTAATTATGTAGCCCATATCTCACCTCGCCTTAATCATGTAGCCATATCTCACCTCGCCTTAATCATGTAGCCATATCTCACCTCGTCTTAATTATGTAGCCCATATCTCACCTCGCCTTAATCATGTAACCATATCTCACCTCGTCTTAATTATGTAGCCCATATCTCACCTCGCCTTAATCATGTAGCCCATATCTTACCTCGCCTTAATCATGTAACCCATATCTCACCTCGCCTTAATCATGTAGCCCATATCTCACCTCGCCTTAATCATGTAGCCCATATATCACCTCGCCTTAATCATGTAGCCCATATCTCACCTCGCCTTAATCCTGTAGCCCATATCTCACCTCGCCTTAATCATGTAGCCCATATCTCACCTCGCCTTAATCATTGATTGGCTGTACAGGAACTCCGTGATCGATAATTATTTGTTTACACAACTTTAAAAAAATTCAAAAGCAATTTGGTTTTCACGTGGTAATGGCGACATAAAAAATGACATCCTACATTTCTATAGGCTAGTATACATTTTATTATACAAAATGTAAACAAAACTGGCTGAACTAGGTCATTTGGTTTAAAACAGCATTATGTTGTTTTAAAACTTTATCTGCAAAGTTTTGTAAGCAGATCACTATCGATCACAGGGTTCCTAACAGCCAATCAATATTTGTCTTACGAAAGTAAACATCGGGTTATAACTTAGGCTTAATGAAAATAAATAGACATGTAGCCTTAAACTCAAAAAATTATTTTCAAGTTCTCTGGATTTGAAATTTTTATAACATGGATTTTAAAAATATTAAAATTTCTGAATTATTTTTAGGCTTAAGTTTATTTATTTTATTTCTTTATTTTTATGGTCGTTTGATCGCTAAAGCTAGAAAAGCACGTTTTTAATCCATGTCAACAATATGATGGAAGGACTCTCGTCAACACTATGGTCTACATGAAAAACTGATAAAAATCATTTCTATATCCCGAGTTGCCATCCCCGGCTGTGTTAGGGGAAATCACTCCCGCTTTATTTTTTCTACTAACTTATCTCCAGAGTTTCTTCCAGGCGCCCCCCCCCCCCTTTCAAATAAATTCTACCGCCCCCCGAACGATATGGAATTTATATAGAAAACATATACTTTTACCAGTTTCCGCCCCCCGTCCGCTCCCGTAAATATCAATTGCCCCCCCCCCCATGGAGAAAAAAAGAAACACTGCTAATCTCGACAACTTGACAACGTGTTGAAGGTGGTGATGGTGTGTGCGTTGTTGTGGTGTGTTCGTGGTGTGGTGGGGGAGTTAGTATCTGAGCGAGTTTGTTACACATTTTTAAAATTACTCCACATACCTCTAGGTAACTCTACTTCTTGGTGCCTCTGACTCTAACTCTTGGTGCCTCTACCTCTGCGTAATTCTACCTTTGGGTAACTTTACCTCTGTGTAACACTACCTCTTGGTGCCTCTGCCTCTACCTCAGGGTGCCTCTACCTCTGGGTGCCTCTACCTCTTCCTCTAGGTAAGTGCTCAGTGGCGTCACAAGGCCTTTCCGGGGGGGGGGGGGCGGGGGGTTGGAAGTGTGGTTCGTACCAAGGCAGTGGTTCTTAACGTGGGTTCGATCGAACCCCTGGGGTTCGGTGCGTCAGATGACACCAGGACGAAAATGTGTAAAATTTACAGTCAAAACAGTGGTTTATCCAGATAACAAAATAGTATGGAGAGAGGGGTGACACCAAACCGAAACATCATAGTTATTGAACGAGGGTTGGGGTGAAGGGGGGGGGGGGGGTTGACACCCTCATTTAACGCACCGGGTGACTCCCGATATTGTTAGCGATATTGTGAGGCCACTGACTCTGCTTCTGACTCTGGCTGACTCAAAACAGAACTTCACCTTGGAAAAAAAACTACGCCCATTCCGATCTATAACACCGTTCCTACCATTGTATCAGTTTGAAACTTCATTTGATTTGGTTTTTATTACCTCCCCTTTCGTGGTACCACCCCCAACCCCAACGCCATATAAGAAATCCCCGTATACCCCCCCCCCCCCAAAGGCCCGTCAAATCTCACCCACCTGCACCCACCCGACCACCCCTAACTCCTGACACTACTCTAACACTTTCTTACGTCCCCTGGTAAAATATGAACGATAACTCTATGGTTTGACACTTGCAGGGGATATAACTCAGCCTAACGTCTCAGAGCTATGCAGAATATGCCGCCATGTTTCTCACGTTTCAATTTTTTGGGGTTTAATTTTATATAATAATAAAGCTGGCGTGATCTCCCCAAACCTTTCTCGAATATTCGTATAGAACACGAAGGTGGATGGCAACGTGGACTTGTTTTTGTTTTTTTTAAACAAATTAGAAATATTTAAATTTTATTTTGAAAAAAGAATCGTGCAGAAAAAAGAATTGCACTCCAAATGAACAGCAAACAATGTATGTATAATAGTGCGGAAAACTAGTCTAATATTAAGATGAAATGGGCTGTGTCTCTGTTGCTGACGGAATTGTGGAATACATGCAATAGTGTAATATTTTTAGAGTGTTTATTTTAGTACTTAAGTCTAAATTGATTATTAAAATAACTCAATATTGATATTTTCAAATTTAATTTTCATTTTTACAATTTATTATTTTGATTGGCGTAACGTGAAACTTTACAAAAATTTGGAAAAAAAATTATACAAATTACATCCCTTTGAGCCAATTAAACATTTCTATTATATAATAATTTAAAAAAAATTCTTCTGCTGTTTGCATTTGTGTTTACGTTTGTATTTTGGTTTGCGTTTGTGCTTGCATTCGTGTTAACGTTTAAGTTTGCGTTTGAGATTGCTTTTTTGTTTGCGTAACGTTTGCGTTTTAGTTTATGTTTTGGTTTGTTGTAGTTAGGGCAATTTTTAAAGTTAAGTAAATACTTATGGTTTTGCGAAACAGCGTAGAATACTATTTCCGGTCACCTGAAATTACTCAAAATGTGACAGAACCTAGAGAATAAGACCTTTAATACGAAAAATTCGTCTAACTAAATGAAAGATAATAAAGTTATAGGCTTTAAAAAAAAAAAAAAAGTACAATAAGTACCATTTCCGTTTACCGAAAATCGCTAAAAATTTGATATAAAACTGATTTATAAGTAATTTCTTCAACCTAGCTGATAATCAAGATATCGTGTTCACGTACAGACATACACACCGACAGACCGCCAGAACCGACAGCCCCATGAGACGATCCTGGCTACGCCACTGACGGACGGACGAACAGACAGACGGACTGATGGGCGGGCGGGCGGAAAAGAGCTGACAAAGTTCCCGTCGTTTCAAAAGTTAATGAGAAAAGTTTTTATTTTTAGCTCGCTGCTCATCAATCATCGTAGTCAGCTCAACAATCGTTGATTTTATTTGTTATACAAAAACACAATTGATATGGAGAGTTGGGTGTGATCTAAGTGGGGCATTTTAGTTGTGGGGGGCGCATATTATATGGACATTTTATTAGTGTTGCAAGGTATAAGGACATTTTATTTGTTGGTTGAGGTAGATATATGGACATTTTATGTGTGTTGGAAGGTAGGCCTATAAACTAAAGAAGGAAAGTAAAAAAAAAAGGCATGTGCGAATGTAGAAACACATTTTTAATTATGCAGCCGGAGAAGTGTTTATGGTTGTGACAAGAAAGCAAAAAACAATGACGTTACATGTCACATGTTTGAAGTACGGAAAGTACACAAAACTAATGACGTCATCTTCCAATTTTAGAAAATGAAGAAATGAACTAATTCATTCAAATTTGATTTATAACAATAGGGCTGGTAAGTAGGTCATCAACCAGTTCTATGGCTCATGCAGGTTTTATTGAGCCGTAGAACTGGTTGGTGAACTACTTACCAGCCCTATAGGTGTACTTGTCAAGACGTACGCTATGAAATGTCTAACATTTTCTCGGTAAAACTAAAACAAATAACTTAAAAAAACAACATAATGACCATTGAACAGCCGGATTTTTAGCGGAATAATTTTAAGTCTCTTAATCAGTGTGTCCATTTAATATGGTGTTCTGTTGATTAATAATGTACATAATTTGGTTTAAATTGGTAGCCTATGTTATCTTAAATGTGTCGGATTTTTAGCTATATAGCTATTTCTTTGCTTTGTAAATAATACATTTTAAATTATTAAAAAAAAAATCATAAAAAAAAAATGTTTTGCTAGATTTTATGTAATAATGCACTAAAAAGTAGAAATAATTATTTTCTTTAAATATATAAAAATACACCTCTATTTAAATAACTTTAAACAAATGCATTGGTCTCTTCCTAAATATAAGCAAAGTATATCCACTAGATAATAAAGTGACCCACGCTTTTCTTTATAGTTATTTAAATAGAAAAGTACTTTTTCTACTTTTTAGTGCATTATTACATAAAAGCTTGTTATTAAAACATTTTTTTTCTACGAGATTCTATTGTATTTTGAAAGTTTAAGTAGTTTAAAATTGATGACCCGTAGTATTATGTAAGTATATTCGAGAAAGTAGGGAAGATCACTCCCGCTTTATTTAAATTATTATTAATTTAATAATCAGCGACAAAAAAAAAAGATAACCAAGGGAGGTAACCCAATTCTAAATATTTTGATGAATAATTACATGGATAATGTCCCTTATACCGCGAGCTGCTCAGCGGCATGTGTGCAAACATAAAGTCTATCGATGGTCTCATTTAGTCGGGATGTTTGTGTGGTTGTTGTGTATGGGTTGTGTGTGTGGTGGTTGTGTGTGGGGTGTTTGTGGGGTGTGTGGTAGTTATTTATGGGGTGTCGTGGTTGTGTGTAGTGGTTGTGTGTGTGTGGTGGTTGTGTGTGTGGTGGTTGTGGGGTGTGTGGTAGTTTATGGGGTGTGGTGGTTGTGTGTGTGTGGTGGTTGTGTGTGTGGTGATTGTGTGTGTGGTGGTTGTGTGTGTGGTGGTTGTGTGTATGGTGTGTGTGTGGTGTGTGTGGTGGTTGTGTGGGGGTGTGGTGGTTGTGTGGTGGTTGTGTGTGGGGTGTGTGGTGATTGTTTGTGGGGTGTGTGTGGTGGTTGTTTGTGGGGTGTGTGTGGTGGTTGTGTGATTGTTGTGTGTGGGTGTGTGTGGTGGTTGTGTGGGGTGTGTGTGGTGGTTGTGTGGGGGGTAAGGTGGTTGTGTGTGGTGGTTGTGTGTGTGCGGTGGTTGTGTGTTGGGTGTGTGTGGTGATTGTTTGTGTGGTGTGTGTGGTGGTTGTTTGTGGGGTGTGTGTGGTGGTTGTGTGATTTTGTGTGTGTGGGTGTGTGTGGTGGTTGTGTGTGGGGTGTGTGTGGGGTTTGTGTGGAGGTTGTGTGTGGGGTGTGTCGAGTTGACTAGGTGGGTTGAGGTATCTAGACCTTTACATTGACATGTCCACGGTAAATTTTGTTTGACTTGAGATTATTCCGTCACAGTGAATCCACCTTTAATCACACACGATCTCATTTAAAACTTTCCCACTCTCACACATCATCACCACACCCCCACACATCACCACTCCCCCACTCATCATCACCACACTCCCCCAAACATCATAACCACACTCCCCCACTCATCATCACCACACTCCCCCACACATCACCACTCCCCCACTCATCATCACCACACTCCCCCACACATCATCACCACACTCCCCCACACATCACCCCTCCCCCATACATCATCACCCCACTCCATCACACATCATCACCACACTCCCCCACACATCACCACTCCCCCACTCATCATCACCACACTCCCCCAAACATCATCACCCCACTCCCCCACACATCATCACCTTACTCCCCCACACATCAACACCCCACTCCCCCACTCATCATCACCACACTCCTCCACACATCAACACCCCACTCCCCCACTCATCATCACCACACTCCCCCACTCATCATCACCACTCCCCTACACATCATCACCACACTCCCCCACTCATCATCACCACTCCCCCACACATCATCACCACACTCCTCCACACATCAACACCCCACTCCCCCACTCATCATCACCACTCCCCCACACATCATCACCACACTCCCCCACTCATCATCACCACTCCCCCACACATCATCACCACACTCCTCCACACATCAACACCCCACTCCCCCACTCATCATCACCACACTCCCCCACACATCATTACCACACCCCTACACATCAGCACAACGAACTGACCCACCTCCAATAGATATCCGCATCCTCAAACAGCCCCCCCCCGATATCCATATTCGCACAATAGCCCCCGCACCCACCTACACCCACACAGCACTGTACCTCCCCCATACACCCCCAAATCATCAAACTGCCCCACATCAGCTGTATAAACGCCGCCCCCAATCACACCCACATTAGCACTATAGTAGCCCCCCCCCCCACACGCAGCCTATACAGAGAACCCCACGGGTCTTTCTCTGGTCACGTGTTCCAGCCATTACATAACAACTCATTAAGAAGCACGCTGCTGCATACCAATTAACGTCGCACATAAATCATAACGTTAAAGCTGCATAATTTAATTGTTGTTTTCATGCTAATTAGACATCAGCGGATTTCCCGTCTTAACCAGACAAACCACGTGACCGTTTCTCTTTCGCTATGACGTCATACACTGCGTCACTTTTCTCAATTAAGAACAATAAAAACACCAAAAGCACTTTTTGGAAAATATATAAATCTATATTTATTTACATTTTTACAAGATTTTAATGCATATGATAACGAAATATAAAGTTTCATGGTAACGAAATGTAAAGGTTCATAAATAAAAGAATGTTAAATTTGTTGAAATTAAATGACAGAGATCCCGGCTTGCAGTGGAGCGTTGGACTCGAGCGTGGCTGCTGGTACGGTCAGGATGTTCAACGTCCGCTCCGTGTCGCACTCCATGATGACGTCATCTCGTGACGTCACCCGGTGACGTCCGTTGGGCAGTCCGACGCAGCTAGGGTGATGACGTCCACACTCCCAGCAGTGGGGGCTGGAGCAGTTGTACAGCTGCAGGTATTGCAGGTATTCGCCTGCAGGTAGGACATGGTCTATGACAGTCACTACAGGCAGGACATGGTCTATGGCAGTCACTAGAGGCAGGACATGGTCATTAGAGGCAGGACATGGTCTATGGCAGTCACTAGAGCTAGGACATGGTCTATGGCAGTCAATAGAGGCAGGACATGGTCTATGACAGTCACTAGAGGCAGGACATGGTCTATGACAGTCACTAGAGGCAGGACATGGTCTATGGCAGTCACTAGAGGCAGGACATGGTCTATGGCAGTCACTAGAGGCAGGACATGGTCTATGGCAGTCACTAGAGGCAGGACATGGTCTATGGCAGTCACTAGAGGCAGGACATGGTCTATGGCAGTCACTAGAGGCAGGACATGGTCTATGGCAGTCACTAGAGGCAGGACATTGTCTAGTCACTAGAGGCAGGACATGGTCTATGGCAGTCACTAGAGGCAGGACATGGTCTATGACAGTCAATAGAGGCAGGACATGGTCTATGACAGTCAATAGAGGCAGGACATGGTCACTAGAGGCAGGACATGGTCTATGGCAGTCACTAGAGGCAGGACATGGTCTATGGCAGTCACTACAGGCAGGACATGGTCTATGACAGTCAATAGAGGCAGGACATGGTCACTAGAGGCAGGACATGGTCTATGGCAGTCACTAGAGGCAGGACATGGTCTATGGCAGTCACTAGAGGCAGGACATGGTCTATGACAGTCAATAGAGGCAGGACATGGTCTATGACAGTCAATAGAGGCAGGACATGGTCACTAGAGGCAGGACATGGTCTATGGCAGTCACTAGAGGCAGGACATGGTCTATGGCAGTCACTAGAGGCAGGACATGGTCTATGGCAGTCACTAGAGGCAGGACATGGTCTATGGCAGTCACTAGAGGCAGGACATGGTCTATGACAGTCACTAGAGGCAGGACATGGTCTATGACAGTCACTAGAGGCAGGACATGGTCTATGACAGTCACTAGAGGCAGGACATGGTCTATGACAGTCACTAGAGGCAGGACATGGTCTATGACAGTCACTACAGGCAGGACATGGTCACTAGAGGCAGGACATGGTCTATGACAGTCACTACAGGCAGGACATGGTCTATGGCAGTCACTAGAGGCAGGACATGGTCTATGGCAGTCACTAGAGGCAGGACATGGTCTATGACAGTCACTACAGGCAGGACATGGTCACTAGAGGCAGGACATGGTCTATGGCAGTCAATAGAGGCAGGACATGGTCTATGGCAGTCACTACAGGCAGGACATGGTCACTAGAGGCAGGACATGGTCTATGACAGTCACTAGAGGCAGGACATGGTCTATGACAGTCACTAGACATGGTCTATGGCAGTCACTAGACATGGTCTATGGCAGTCACTAGAGGCAGGACATGGTCTATGACAGTCACTAGAGGCAGGACATGGTCTATGGCAGTCACTAGAGGCAGGACATGGTCTATGACAGTCAATAGAGGCAGGACATGGTCACTAGAGGCAGGACATGGTCTATGGCAGTCATTAGAGGCAGGACATGGTCTATGGCAGTCACTAGAGGCAGGACATGGTCTATGGCAGTCACTAGAGGCAGGACATGGTCTATGACAGTCACTAGAGGCAGGACATGGTCTATGACAGTCAATAGAGGCAGGACATGGTCACTAGAGGCAGGACATGGTCTATGGCAGTCACTAGAGGCAGGACATGGTCTATGACAGTCACTAGAGGCAGGACATGGTCTATGACAGTCACTAGAGGCAGGACATGGTCTATGGCAGTCACTAGACGTGGTCTATGGCAGTCACTACAGGCAGGACATGGTCTATGGCAGTCACTACAGGCAGGACATGGTCTAGTCACTAGAGGCAGGACATGGTCTATGGCAGTCACTACAGGCAGGACATGGTCTAGTCACTAGAGGCAGGACATGGTCTATGGCAGTCACTACAGGCAGGACATGGTCTATGGCAGTCACTAGACGTGGTCTATGGCAGTCACTACAGGCAGGACATGGTCTATGGCAGTCACTACAGGCAGGACATGGTCTATGGCAGGACATGGTCTATGACAGTCACTAGAGGCAGGACATGGTCTATGGCAGTCACTAGAGGCAGGACATGGTCTATGGCAGTCACTACAGGCAGGACATGGTCTATGGCAGTCACTACAGGCAGGACATGGTCTATGACAGTCACTAGAGGCAGGACATGGTCTATGGCAGTCACTACAGGCAGGACATTGTCTATGACAGTCACTACAGGCAGGACATGGTCTATGGCAGTCACTAGAGGCAGGACATGGTCTATGGCAGTCACTAGAGGCAGGACATGGTCTATGGCAGTCACTACAGGCAGGACATGGTCTATGGCAGTCACTAGAGGTAGGACATGGTCTATGACAGTCACTACAGGCAGGACATGGTCTATGACAGTCACTAGAGGCAGGACATGGTCTATGACAGTCACTACAGGCAGGACATGGTCTATGGCAGTCACTAGATGCAGGACATGGTCTATGACAGTCACTACAGGCAGGACATGGTCTATGGCAGTCACTAGATGCAGGACATGGTCTATGACAGTCACTACAGGCAGGACATGGTCTATGGCAGTCACTAGAGGCAGGACATGGTCTATGGCAGTCACTACAGGCAGGACATGGTCTATGGCAGTCACTAGACGTGGTCTATGGCAGTCACTAGAGGCAGGACATGGTCTATGGCAGTCACTACAGGCAGGACATGGTCTATGGCAGTCACTAGATGCAGGACATGGTCTATGGCAGTCACTACAGGCAGGACATGGTCTATGGCAGTCACTAGAGGCAGGACATGGTCTATGGCAGTCACTAGAGGCAGGACATGGTCTATGACAGTCACTAGAGGCAGGACATGGTCTATGACAGTCACTACAGGCAGGACATGGTCTATGACAGTCACTACAGGCAGGACATGGTCTATGGCAGTCACTAGAGGCAGGACATGGTCTATGGCAGTCACTAGAGGCAGGACATGGTCTATGGCAGTCACTACAGGCAGGACATGGTCTATGGCAGTCACTACAGGCAGGACATGGTCTAGTCACTACAGGCAGGACATGGTCTATGGCAGTCACTAGAGGCAGGACATGGTCTAGTCACTAGAGGCAGGACATGGTCTATGGCAGTCACTAGAGGCAGGACATGGTCTATGGCAGTCACTACAGGCAGGACATGGTCTATGGCAGTCACTACAGGCAGGACATGGTCTATGGCAGTCACTACAGGCAGGACATGGTCTATGGCAGTCACTACAGGCAGGACATGGTCTATGGCAGTCACTAGAGGCAGGACATGGTCTATGACAGTCACTACAGGCAGGACATGGTCTATTGCAGTCACTAGAGGCAGGACATTGTCTATGACAGTCACTAGAGGCGGGACATGGTCTATGGCAGTCACTACAGGCAGGACATGGTCTATGGCAGTCACTAGAGGCAGGGCATGGTCTATGGCAGTCACTAGAGGCAGGACATGGTCTATGACAGTCAGTCATTAGAGGCAGGACATGGTCTATGGCAGTAACTACAGGCAGGACATAGTCATTCAAGCTTCGGCTACACCGTATTTATTGGACAAACTAGACCAAATTTATAAAAATTTAGCTAAAGAGCCAAAATCTCTAAAAGTTTGGCCAAGTGAATACAATATAAAATGTAAAAGGATGCATGAAAAATAGTGGTAGTTTGTTGTTGAGGTATGGAGTGGGTGTAGTGGTGGGGAGGTGCGGCATGGAGTGGGTGTAGTGGTGGTGGGGAGGTGAGGTATGGAGTGGGTACTTACATGGTGCTTTTGGCTCCTCCCTCTCTGCGCATGTCACGTAATGATAATTCTGGCAACTTCCGGTCTGCGTGGAATACAAGGAGGGGTAGGGGCACTCGAGGAGGTAGTCCATGAACTGGTGACCCCCGGGCTCCACCCCACAGTCCATGTACTGGCTGCAGCGCTCAGCGTAGGGCACGGTGGCGGTGGGGTTGTGGTGGCAGATGGCGCGGATGTAATCTGGTGGGAGAGGTGGTTGAGACGTGACCTTTGACCTAGTTGTAGCGTCAGGGGATGGTTGTGGTGGGGGTGGAGTGGAAGAACTAGTGGACGAAGGTCATGGGAGTGAAGGTCACGAGGTTAAATGTCATTAGGGTGAAGGTTGTGTGTGAGACTGAGTCCACCCAGCTCTGATGGCTACCTGACTTAATGAGTCCACCCAGCTCTGATGGGTACCTGACTCACTGAGTCCACCCAGCTCTGATGGGTACCTGACTCACGCTAGGGAAACTAAAGGCGGATATACATAGTTCTGACCACACAATCCCCCCTTATGCCGAGGAAATTGAAAGTGATGAACTCTACTTCATCTGCCCGATGTATCATGTAATAGATAAATACTGCAAAGGTTAGTAGGCTGAAGTTAATTAAGGTGAAGGTTATTAATTTAGAGGTCGTAGGTACGGAGGTCACAGAGTAGGGTCAGGAAGAAAAAGCACGTTTTCGTGTGCTGATGTGGTCATGGGTCAAGGGTCAAAGACGTGAAGGCCATGCACGAGGTTAATGATAATTAACCAAAGATAATTACAATCAAATAATTAACCTAAGATAATCAAACAGAGATAATTAACCAAAGATAATTAGCCCAGATAATTAGCCCAGATGATTAGCCAACTGACCCCAGACCTGACCGTGACACCTGCTGCTGTCCGCCACCTGTGCGGCGACACACCTGCTGTTTCTGCTGGCGTTGGCATATAGTAGACCTCTGGGACACGCCGTGGGGATGGCCTGGGGTGGGGGGGGGGTGGGGGAGAAAACGTTTCAAAAGTTTCGTAGCGAACAACCTCTAGAAACACGCCCAAACAGACACTACACACTACACACTGCATACTACACACTACACACTACACACTAGACACTACACACTACACACTACACACTACACACTACACACTACACACTACACACTACACACTACACACTACACACTACACACTACACACTACACACTACACACTACACACTACACACTACACACTACACACTACACTCTACACACTACACACTGTACACTACACACTACACACTACACACTACACACTACACACTACACACTACACACTACACACTACACACTACACACTACACACTACACACTACACACTACACACTACACACTACACACTACACACTACACACTACACACTACACACTACACACTACACACTACACACTACACACTACACACTACACACTACACACTACACACTACACACTACACACTACACACTACACACTACACACTACACACTACACACTACACACTACACACTACACACTACACACTACACACTACACACTACACACTACACACTACACACTACACACTACACACTACACACTACACACTACACACTACACACTACACACTACACACTACACACTACACACTACACACTACACACTACACACTACACACTACACACTACACACTACACACTACACACTACACACTACACACTACACACTACACACTACACACTACACACTACACACTACACACTACACACTACACACTACACACTACACACTACACACTACACACTACACACTACACACTACACACTACACACTACACACTACACACTACACACTACACACTACACACTACACACTACACACTACACACTACACACTACACACTACACACTACACACTACACTACACACTACACACTACACACTACACACTACACACTACACACTACACACTACACACTACACACTACACACTACACACTACACACTACACACTACACACTACACACTACACACTACACACTACACACTACACACTACACACTACACACTACACACTACACACTACACACTACACACTACACACTACACACTACACACTACACACTACACACTACACACTACACACTACACACTACACACTACACACTACACACTACACACTACACACTACACACTACACACTACACACTACACACTACACACTACACACTACACACTACACACTACACACTACACACTACACACTACACACTACACACTACACACTACACACTACACACTACACACTACACACTACACACTACACACTACACACTACACACTACACACTACACACTACACACTACACACTACACACTACACACTACACACTACACACTACACACTACACACTACACACTACACACTACACACTACACACTACACACTACACACTACACACTACACACTACACACTACACACTACACACTACACACTACACACTACACACTACACACTACACACTACACACTACACACTACACACTACACACTACACACTACACACTACACACTACACACTACACACTACACACTACAAACTACACACTACACACTACACACTACACACTACACTCTACACACTGTCACACTACACACTACACACTACACACTACACTCTACACACTGTACACTACACACTACACACTACACACTACACACTACACACTACACACTACACACTACACACTACACACTACACACTACACACTACACACTACACACTACACACTACACACTACACACTACACACTACACACTACACACTACACACTACACACTACACACTACACACTACACACTACACACTACACACTACACACTACACACTACACACTACACACTACACACTACACACTACACACTACACACTACACACTACACACTACACACTACACACTACACACTACACACTACACACTACACACTACACACTACACACTACACACTACACACTACACACTACACACTACACACTACACACTACACACTACACACTACACACTACACACTACACACTACACACTACACACTACACACTACACACTACACACTACACACTACACACTACACACTACACACTACACACTACACACTACACTACACACTACACGTATCACGTGACTCACCCTGCCGCTGGAACAAATGACGTAGCTGGAACAATCCCAGGGAACATCCCTCACGTAAAGGGAACCGGCTGGTGGGGAACACAGAAAGTCAAGGTCGAGGCTCGTTGCGTAATATCCGGCGGCCATGTTGGGCAGCGTGGACAGTGTAGCGACCCAGAGTAGCCATGACGTCACATCCATTTCCCGGAAGTTCAAACTTGAAACATTACTGAATGTATTGTGACTGAAAGATCAATGTTGGCCAAACAGAAAATTAACAGAAAATGTTGGCCAATTTAAAAAAAAAATATTGAGAAAACGTTAGCCAAAATAAATAAATTGAGAAAACTGTTGAGAAATTGTTGACGAAAAAAAAATACGAAAAACATTTGGCCGAACAAAAAACACGACAGAAACATTTGGCATAATAGCTAAATAGGCATACTGACCAAACTAAAAAATATATAAATATTTAAATATTTCACAACGAATTGAAGAAACATAAAAACATTAATTTTAATTGTAAGATGTAGATGTAGATGCTTTAGCTTGCAGAAAGTCTTCCATCTGTATTGTGGGAGGCCATTTTTTTTGCCGTCATGTGTGGTGTTGTCATCTCCCGTGTTTACCAAACACATGTGTACTTCTCATTAATAAAAAAAAAAATGTAAATATAAACCTACACTGACGGGTCTAGCAATGGCAGCAGGAAGGTGGTGGGGGTAGGGTGGGGGGGGGGGGGAATAAAATTTAAAAATAGCAGAGAACAAAACAGGCGCGAGCTAAATCTGGCCGCATATCATGTTTATCTGGCCACATGTCATGTTTATGCCGGATTGGGCAAGGTGCTCTGTAAAAAGAAATGTTTACTGCAGTTTGGCCGAGAATTTTATCTACTCGGGGATTTAAGAGGGTAACAAATATGACGGAAAGTCTACCAGAAATAAGCTATTAATAGCATCAAAGGTATCTTCTCAGCCCAGGCGCATTTCAAATATATTTCAAATATATTTCAAATATATTTCAAATATATTTGAAATATATTTCAAATATATTTCAAATATATTTCAAATATATTTGAAATATATTTCAAATAAATTTTCGTCTTTTGAAGCAAAATGAGGCTAACAGTCTATAACTTTCTTGTCTAAATTTTAAGATAATTTCTTCAAACGTATTTGTGGGGAAAATTCAAGTGTCGTCCTATCCAGAGTTTCTCCCAGGCAGGGGCGTGGCGAGGGGGCGGGGGGTGCGGACCGCACCGTGTGACACCATTTAGTGGGGTGACACCAAGGCAAAAAATAGCAAAATATATAGAGAAAAACTTGAGGGGGGGGGGGGTGCAAATTAAAAGTTTGAGGGGGGTGCAAATCGAAGTGCAAATCGAAAGTTTGAAGGGGGGGGGGGGTGCAAATCGAAAGTTTGAGGAAGGGGGGGGGGTGCAAATCGAAAGTCTGAGGAAGGGAAGGGGGGGGGGGGGGCAAATCGTAAAGTTTGAAAGTTTGTCCCCGGAAAGGGTTTCTACGCCTCTGGAGGGTGACACCATTAAGTGCCGCACCGGGTGACACCCGACCTCGCTACGCCACTGCTTCCAGGCATCTCTTCGGGGGGAGCGGGCTGACCGAACGAAATGGAATTTATATAGAAATATATACTTATAACATTGACCACCCTCCGGAAATTACGACCGCGGCGCTCCAAAAACAATACAATGGCTCGTATCAAAGTTCCTCAAGCATGTAAGGACGGGGGTAGGGTTGGGAGGGGGGAACAAGTTTGTGTAGACGTACGGTATCTGAGAGTGAAATAAACCATGTAAGATAACCTACAGTTGGAGCAAAGGTTTGATGAAAGCAGCGACAAAAATGGCAAGCACCGGCTTCTCGAATGTTTTCGAATGTCGTGTGTAGGGGGTGAATATCATAATAAAAGAGCTAAGTAGAACTCACATTTCGTAACTCGGCGATTACACTTACGATATGTATACCATATATGTCTAGAAAAAAAACACACCTTCGCAATAAGCGAGTAGGTCTCCCTATACATATTCTAATAAAATTAACTGGTGTTTGTTTTTCTAGACAAGTATAGTATACATGTCACAAGTGTAAACATACATGTTCTTATGAAAGTAACTTACAGTGAATTTTATTTCTAGACATGTATGGTATACATGTCGCAAGTGTAAACATACATGTTCTTATGAAAGTAACTTACAGTGAAGTTTTTTTCTAGACATGTATAGTATGCATGTCGCAAGTGTAAAGGCGACTTTAAGACCGACCGATATAAGAAAATCAACACCAGGTAGCCTTCAACACAAACAGCGTGCGGTGCTGGTAGCGGGTGTGAGGGGGTGGCTAGCCCAGGCGCCGTTTGTACGATTTAATTTAGCTTAATTAACCTTCACCCCGGGCGAGTATTTGTGCAGTTTAATTACTGCACACAACAAAATAATTTAATTTCTCGTTCATTCATTCAACTTACACCAGCCACGCTAGTCAATACGTAATTAAAAACATAAATAAAACCAAATGTCAGAAGTTAATGGCAGTAATTAAATAATCAGTTGACAATGTAAATAGAAAAAAAATTAAATGCAATATTTAATTTAATTATTAAAACTATAATTAAATTTAGGCATTAAAAATATGATAAACCACTTGAAGTAAAAATGTGTGAAAATTCCAAGAGAACTCACCCGTGACAGCAGGCGAAGGTAACTCCAACTGATCAACTTCTGAATCAAGGGCAATTAACTCTAACTGACCCACTGTTGAATCAAGGGCAGATAAATCTGAATGACTTGTACAGGGTGTCGCCATGTTGAGGCGTCCATGTTGATGTCCTTGTCAGGCTATTTTTAGAACCTGGTTTCAAGGACGTTCCTACGTTTGTGGAATGATAGATGGGGGGGGGGGGGGGGGGAGTGTGTGTGGGGGGGGGGATGTATGGGCGGAAGTGTGTGCGGGTGTCTGGGGGCAGTTACGCCATAGCGCCAGTGATGCTAGTCTTGAAATACCAGCCCCCCCCCCCCCTCTCTCCCTGCATCACGTGTCATCACATGGTTTAGCTCCTGTGTCAAATATCCTCAACACCTGTCAGCCTTAGGCCGTGTGCTCAGTGCATGAGATTATCTTGGGCCGTGTGTTCAGTGAATGAGATTATCTTGGGCCGTGTGTTCAGTGCATGAGATTATCTTGGGCCGTGTGTTCAGTGCATGAGATTATCTTGGGATTATCTTGGGCCGTGTGTTCAGTGCATGAGATTATCTTGGGCCGTGTGTTCAGTGAATGAGATTATCTTGGGCCGTGTGTTCAGTGCATGAGATTATCTTGGGCCGTGTGTTCAGTGCATGAGATTATCTTGGGATTATCTTGGGCCGTGTGTTCAGTGCATGAGATTATCTTGGGATTATCTTGGGCCGTGTGTTCAGTGCATGAGATTATCTTGGGCCGTGTGTTCAGTGCATGAGATTATCTTGGGCCGTGTGTTCAGTGCATGAGATTATCTTGGGATTATCTTGGGCCGTGTGTTCAGTGCATGAGATTATCTTGGGATTATCTTGGGCCGTGTGTTCAGTGCATGAGATTATCTTGGGCCGTGTGTTCAGTGCATGAGATTATCTTGGGCCGTGTGTTCAGTGCATGAGATTATCTTGGGATTATCTTGGGCCGTGTGTTCAGTGCATGAGATTATCTTGGGCCGTGTGTTCAGTGCATGAGATTATCTTGGGCCGTGTATTCAGTGTATGAGATTATCTTGGGCCGTGTATTCAGTGTATGAGATTATCTTAGGCCGTGTGTTCAGTGCATGAGATTATCTTGGGCCGTGTGTTCAGTGTATGAGATTATCTTGGGCCGTCTGCTAAGTGCATGAGATTATCTTGGGCCGTCTGCTAAGTGCATGAGATTATATAAGGCCTAGGTTATGGATTTATAGCGGCCCCACAACAAAAGGGGATCAACAACCCCCACAACCACTGTGGATCAACAGTCCCAACTCTCTCTAGATCAGGTGGGGATTAGCAATTCCGTTAACAGGCTCCTCCTTGCTAAATGTTAGCTTTGCAGTCCGTTTGTTATAATGGTGGAGAATAAATATACAAGATTTTTAAACGTATGTTAATGTATTGTGTATAACGTTTACTCTAAATATTTTAAACCGATGATGATGCAGACATTTTGCCAAAATAATCCTTGACAATACTGACTTTTTACAAATAACCTTGTTATATAAAAAAAAAAAACGCCTTCCTATAGCATTTACAAATGACAGCTTTTCATCACCGCTACCCAATGGGATGAAGTAAGAGAGACAACCGAACATTTATTCCTAGCACGAATATTGACACGGTTACTGTCCCTGATAAGGGAACTGGGTTCGTGTGTGGTGTGGGCGGTGAGAACTAATCAGGCTGGTGATTAGTGCAGACGGCTAATTGTCAAGCAGACGACTTACAGAGTATATTTAAACGATCCCGCCCTAGGGCATGCTGACAAGCACATATTTGCAAGCAGCTAGAAAACTCGTTAATAAGCTTTCATAATTATTGTAGATAGACCGGCATTTGGATTGAGCAAGATTAGTGACACCCATCGTATTGACTCCCAGCGGACTGACGACACATTTCGCTTTAATGACTCCACAACAAGCTGGAATAGAGAAATGGTGGTAGGGAGTGGTGAGAGTAGAGGTGAAAGGGTGGGTGGGGTGTGTTATCCAGGTGGGTGGGCGTGTCATCTAGGTATCTGCCCCACTCACAACCTGTCTGCCCCACCCACACAACCTGCCTGCCCCACCCAAAACCTGCCTGCCCCACCCACACAACCTGTCTGCCCCACCCACAACCTGCCTGCCCCACCCACAACCTGCCTGCCCCACCCACAACCTGTCTGCCCCACCCACAACCTGTCTGCCCCACCCACAACCTGTCTGCCCCACCCACAACCTGTCTGCCCCACCCACAACCTGTCTACACCACCCACAACCTGTCTACACCACCCACAACCTGTCTACACCACCCACAACCTGTCTACACCACCCACAACCTGTCTGCCCCACCCACAGAACTTACCATCTTGAGAGCCACTCTGATCTTACTTCTGTCAATCACATCTTGATGTCACATTTGTCATCTTGATGTCACTTGTCAAATTGACATCTTAATGTCACTACTTCCAGCATGTCTTTCTTACACTATCGAGTATTCCATCTTGAGATATCTGCATGAACTTCCGCTCAGGATTCGGGTATTCGTTGAGAAACTTTTGTTCCATAAATGTGGTATCGATTAGTGATTGTTCTCGATACCTTTGTTTCATCGCTAAATGATATTTCTTGTTTTAGAAATCCGATTGAAAGTCGACCCATATGTGTTTATTAATAGAATCTTTGTTCATTAACTTAAACTACTTAATCGGTCCCAAACGCAGGCCTAGTTTGACATGACTTCCAGGAAAAAGATTACAAAATCTTGACATCGTATTAAAAACTCAGGATTATGTGCCCCTGTAGTGACCACTACTTGGTTCTATTGGACAAAATCATCTGGCTACGCTATCGTATATTACAGGTACTCACAAACTCTCGCCTATCTGTGCTAGGGGTACCCATTAACTCTATCGGTGTTGCAGGTACCCACTAACTCTCGGCTATATATGCCGGAGGTACCCATTAATTCTATCTGTGCTGGATGTACCGTTTAACTCTATCTGTTGCAGGTACCCACTAACTCTCGTCTATCTGTTGTCGAGGTACCCACTAACTCTATCTGTGTTGGAGGTACCCATTTATCTGTGTTGGAGGTACCCATTTATCTGTGCTGGAGGTACCCATTTATCTGTATTGGAGGTACCCATTTATCTGTGTTGAAGGTACCCATTTATCTGTCTTGGAGGTACCCATTTATCTGTCTTGGAGGTACCCATTTATCTGTATTGGAGGTACCCATTTATCTGTGTTGGAGGTACCCATTTATCTGTGCTGGAGGTACCCATTTATCTGTGTTGTAGGTACCCATTTATCTGTGTTGTAGGTACCCATTTATCTGTGTTGGAGGTACCCATTTATCTGTATTGGAGGTACCCATTTATCTGTATTGGAGGTACCCATTTATCTGTCTTGGAGGTACCCACTAACTCTATCTGTGTTGGAGGTACCCATTTATCTGTGTTGGAGGTACCCATTTATCTGTATTGGAGGTACCCATTTATCTGTGTTGGAGGTACCCATTTATCTGTATTGGAGGTACCCATTTATCTGTGTTGGAGGTACCCATTTATCTGTATTGGAGGTACCCATTTATCTGTATTGGAGGTACCCACTAACTCTATCTGTGTTGGAGGTACCCATTTATCTGTGTTGGAGGTACCCATTTATCTGTATTGGAGGTACCCATTTATCTGTGTTGGAGGTACCCATTTATCTGTATTGGAGGTACCCATTTATCTGTGTTGGAGGTACCCATTTATCTGTATTGGAGGTACCCACTAACTCTATCTGTGTCTCGATGTTCCCAGACGAGCCTTACAAAGAAAAAAAGAATTAATTCCACAAAAGGAAAACAAAACGAAGGTTTCGACCACCGGTCTTCATCAAACAGAACAACCGCACATTTTATTCGACTCAGGACGACAAACACTGGCACCATTGAAGCGTGCCTAATTTAATGTCGCTGATGAAGTCATCGAAAACAGGTCTGTCGCCTGACCGTCCTCTGGAACTGACGACCTTCTTAATGCCGTCTGCTTTTAAGTCACCTAGACCGGAAGTGACGATTTGACCGGTGAAGACAGAATTAGCTCCCCGCGGATAATCACCAACATCGTCCGTCAGCGGCCGCAATTTACCGCCAGCGGTACCCTAACGACGTCCCGCGGGCCCGGGGAGTGACCGGGGTAATTTAATCTGGGGGTCAGACCCCAGGGAGCGGCTCCAATTGAGCTGCAGTGTCGGGGACCCGTGCAGATTTATGGCCGTCATCACCCCCAGACCGCGCCCGCCGGTAAAAATTTTTGTTTCACGACAGGCTTGTTGGTGACTGTGGACCGGCTCTTGAGACCGGCACTTTGGACCGGCTCTTGAGACCGGCACTGTGGACCGGCTCTTGAGACCGGCACTGTGGACCGGCTCTTGAGACCGGCACTGTGGACCGGCTCTTGAGACCGGCACTGTGGACCGGCTCTTGAGACCGGCACTGTGGACCGGCTCTTGAGACCGGCACTGTGGACCGCCTCTAGAGAGCGGCACTGTGGACCGGCTCTTGAGACCGGCACTGTGGACCGGCTCTTGAGACCGGCACTGTGGACCGGCTCTTGAGACCGGCAGAGTGGACCGGTTCTTGAGACCGGCATTGTGGACCGGCTCTTGAGACCGGCACTGTGGACCGGCTCTTGAGACCGGCAGAGTGGACCGGCTCTTGAGACCGGCACTGTGGACCGGCTCTTGAGACCGGCAGAGTGGACCGGTTCTTGAGACCGGCACTGTGGACCGGCTCTAGAGACCGGCACTGTGGACCGGCTCTTGAGACCGGCACTGTGGACCGGCTCTAGAGACCGGCACTGTGGACCGGCTCTTGAGACCGGCACTGTGGACCGGCTCTTGAGACCGGCACTGTGGACCGGCTCTTGAGACCGGCAGAGTGGACCGGTTCTTGAGACCGGCACTGTGGACCGGCTCTAGAGACCGGCACTGTGGACCGGCTCTTGAGACCGGCACTGTGGACCGGCTCTTGAGACCGGCACTGTGGACCGGCTCTAGAGACCGGCACTGTGGACCGGCTCTAGAGACCGGCACTGTGGACCGGCTCGTGAGATCGGCACTGTGGACCGGCTCGTGAGACCGGCACTGTGGACCGGCTCTTGAGACCGGCAGAGTGGACCGCCTCTTGAGACCGGCACTGTGGACCGGCTCTTGAGACCGGCAGAGTGGACCGCCTCTTGAGACCGGCACTGTGGACCGGCTCTTGAGACCGGCACTGTGGACCGGCTCTTGAGACCGGCACTGTGGACCGGCTCTAGAGACCGGCACTGTGGACCGGCTCTAGAGACCGGCACTGTGGACCGGCTCGTGAGATCGGCACTGTGGACCGGCTCGTGAGACCGGCACTGTGGACCGGCTCTTGAGACCGGCAGAGTGGACCGCCTCTTGAGACCGGCACTGTGGACCGGCTCTTGAGACCGGCACTGTGGACCGGCTCTAGAGACCGGCACTGTGGACCGGCTCTAGAGACCGGCACTGTGGACCGGCTCTTGAGACCGGCACTGTGGACCGGCTCTAGAGACCGGCACTGTGGACCGGCTCTTGAGACCGGCACTGTGGACCGGCTCTTGAGACCGGCACTGTGGACCGGCTCTTGAGACCGGCACTGTGGACCGGCTCTAGAGACCGGCAGAGTGGACCGGCTCTTGAGACCGGCACTGTGGACCGGCTCTAGAGACCGGCACTGTGGACCGGCTCTTGAGACCGGCACTGTGGACCGGCTCTTGAGACCGGCACTGTGGACCGGCACTGTGGACCGGCATTGTTGACAGTTGACGTGACCTAAATTCTTGCCTTCTCTCGAGAACACACATACGTACACACTCCTGAATGAATGTTATGTAATAGCTATATAGAGTTAACCATAGCCCCCCCCCCCCCCCCCTTAACCCCCCCCCCCACTCCCCACCCCCCTCCTCCAAATTCCCATATTACCACTCTAAAGATGTATATTATGGGTGGGATATGTTTTTTCCATCTTTATCTCTTTTGAATTTCTTGGATTTCACTATCTAACGTTTTTTGGGTGTTGTGGTCAACATCCGGTGTGTTTGTGGTGATGTGGTCAATATCCGGTGTGTTTGTGGTGATGTGGTCAACATCCGGTTTGTTTGTGGTGATGTGGTCAACATCCGGTGTGTTTGTGGTGATGTGGTCAACACTTGTGGTGATGTGGTCAACATCCGGTGTGTTTGTAGTAAGGTCTCTATTAAGTCTATAGTTTTGATTAACATGGTATTTTTTGTTCGTTTTCCGCTGTATATTTTAAAATCTCTTCTGATCAAATGTCAATTTTTGTGTGGGATCGTTGACACAGCTATACCACCATCTCCAATCAAACGTCTTTGTGTGTTTTCGTTATTAAAAATCTACCACTATGTTGTGGAATAGCACTAGTTTTGTGAATATCTCACGAGCTGTGGTTGTTCTGTTGATGGTGTGAACATTTTGGCGGTGATCGGGGCACTCGAAAATAACTGTTCTTGATTGAAAATGACTACATTATAATATTAAACCGATTTATATCTTGTAATGAAATTTAACGTAACTTATGTTTTAGAAGAACTCTCTTTTACCTGTACTCAGTGGCGGAACTAGAAAAAAAGGGCCACCCCGCAAAAAATTGTTTAGGCCCCCCTCATATATATATATATATATATATATATATATATATATATATATATATATATATATATATATATATATATATATATATATATATATATATATATATATATATATATATATATACAAACACAAAATACGAACAAAGGATACTTATTGCTGGCCTGTTCGGGTTTTGAAAGAAAAATGGTTTTTGTTCAATTAAAACAAATTACAACATCTTGTCGTGTGTAAGTGCATTAGTGTGCTTTGTGAAAATCAGTCTTACTTTATCTCTGTATAAGACCTCTTAACTTCGAGACGGTCAAAAGAATATAAACCATGAAAGCTTTGTATAAATAATGGTGTTTCGTGTTATGTTTATTTTTATGTTTTTTTGTATTTATATTATTAGTTTTAAATACATTTCCTTTTTATACAATGTCATTCTTTAGTAAGTACTTTTTAAAAAAAATTAAGAGAAGTAATTGTTTTGTTAATTTGTGTAGTACAAATCTTTTAAAAGGAGCTTATGAGCACCCCTATTTGACTATTTAAAAGGGGAAATAAGTCGTGGAGGTGGTTTGAACGTTGGTTCATCTTTGCTAAGTTTAATTGTAGGAGAAAGAGGAGTCGGCTTTCACGGTGGTTTAAAAACAAAGGGAAAAAGAATATTTAAGAATGGGGTGGTGTCTATAGAATAAAGATAATCCAACCGCAGCTACGGTAATCTTTTTACAAAACAACCATCAAGTCAAAAATGCAAGAACATTTTTAAAATTTTAACTATTAAAAATAATTATTATGGTCGGCTGTGGGCCCCTAAATGGCGTGGGCCCCCCCGCATTGCGGGGTCTGGCGGCACTGTAGTTCCGCCCCTGCCTGTACTGTATATTTTTGTCTTTGTGAGATGAAAATATTTACAAATATTAAATTGAAACAGATTATTAACTAAAACTTACAACATAAAAAAAAAACAAAAAAAAAAACGTGAAAGACTTGTGTTATTACAATCTTTGTGACTTTATTTCGTAACGAAACAATAAATTAGAACTGGGTGCCGGGTAAATTTTTTAGTCAGGAATGTGACAGACGTGGAATCAGAAGGGGGGTGGGGGTGCCTGTACAGAAACAAAACAAAATTTAAAAAAAAGTTTTGGTGTCGTCGGTCTCTCTTCGTGAGAGGCGACTCCAAAGTGGGTCACTGACATTTTTTACTGCTGACTGCTGGAATAAAACTGTTCCCCGTGGTTTAGTAAGTTCTTGTGTTTTCAAAGTTTAAAAATCGTGTAACTAACACGCATGACGTTTAAGGCTTAAACTCCATCTAACGCTGTAAGCTTGACACGTTTCCCTAACTCCTCACTGGCTCGTACGGTTCGCCTGGGTAGCTTTCCATTGGGTAGCCCGGCATGACGTCATCCTGACCTTGACCGCTCTCCAGCATGTTCTCTTCCTCTTCTCTGGCGTCCAGCAGATCCATCAGCCGGACGACGTCATCGTATGTGACGTCACCGGCCGTCGTCTGGTGCTGGTACAGGCTGTTGATGATCTGATTGAGTGGGATTCGATCCAGTAATCGAAACTGCGCGCTTCTTTTCTTCCTCAGCTCATGCTCGGTATCGTCGAAATTCACGGCTTGAAATGGCCGACTGGTTTCGTTCTCAGAATCGTAATCGTAGTAGTTTCCGTGTCGTTTGATAAAACTGCTGCCGATCGAGTCGATTGGTCTTTTAATGAAACCACTTCCAATAGAATCGATACTCTTTTTAATAAATCCGCTTCCTATCGAATCGATAGGCCTTTTGATGAAACCACTTCCTATGGAATCGATATTTTTCTTGATGAAACTACTACCTATGGAATCGATAGGCCTTTTGATGAAGCCACTTCCTATGGAATCGATATTTTTCTTGATGAAACTACTTCCTATGGAATCGATAGGCCTTTTGATAAAACCACTTCCTATGGAATCGATATTTTTCTTGATGAAACTGCTTCCAATGGAATCAATAGGCCTTTTAATGAAACCACTTCCTATGGAATCGATTTGCCTTTTAATAAAACCACTACCAATAGAATCGATTGGTCTTTTAATGAATCCACTTCCAATGGAATCGATATTTTTCTTGATGAAACTGCTTCCTATGGAATCAATAGGCCTTTTGATAAAACCACTTCCTATGGAATCAATTTGCCTTTTAATAAACCCACTACCAATAGAATCGATAGGTCTTTTAATGAATCCACTTCCAATGGAATCGATATTTTTCTTGATAAAACTGCTTCCAATGGAATCGATAGGCCTTTTGATGAATCCACTTCCAATGGAATCGATATTTTTCTTGATGAAACTACTACCTATGGAATCGATAGGCCTTTTAATGAACCCACTTCCAATGGAATCGATATTCTTTTTAATAAATCCACTCCCAATGGAATCAATAGGCCTTTTGATAAAACCACTTCCTATGGAATCGATTTGCCTTTTAATAAATCCACTTCCAATAGAATCGATAGGCCTTTTGATGAATCCACTTCCAATGGAATCGATATTTTTCTTGATGAAACTGCTTCCAATGGAATCAATAGGCCTTTTGATAAAACCACTTCCTATGGAATCGATATTTTTCTTGATGAAACTGCTTCCAATGGAATCGATAGGCCTTTTGATGAAACCACTTCCTATGGAATCGATTTGCCTTTTAATAAACCCACTACCAATAGAATCAATTGGTCGCTTAATGAATCCACTTCCAATGGAATCGATATTTTTCTTGATGAAACTGCTTCCTATGGAATCGATAGGCCTTTTAATGAAACCACTTCCTATGGAATCGATTTGCCTTCTTTCAAGGTCAATGTCATTGGTCATGTGACTTGCGGATTTCTTTTTGATCTCCCCGTCTGGCACTTCACTTCTGCAATAAAAAAAAATTATCAGTTGTTAGACTTTTTAAAAATATTTTTTTTTTTTTAAATTGTTAGGTTTTATCTCATAAGGCAAGACAACAGCTTTTTAACTTACAAGAATTCTACAAGTGTAACGACATAGTAGACAAAGCGTAAGGTTATTTTTAGCAAAGCGTAAGAATAATATATTGGAAATTAAAGGACTTTTTTGGGTAATTGTAAGGTTATTTTGGGAAATTTTAGGATATTTTAGACAATTAGGCTTATAGAAACATTTGGTAAATTTTAGGGTTTATTTTTTACAATCTAATATATAAAGCTCAATTCTGTATGTAATAAGTTTGTTTGTCGTTGACATACTTCTATGGATTTAAGTGTTAGACTATTACCGTGCTCATAGTCTAAATTTATGAGTTAAAAAATTACTATTGAAAGTGTTGGGAAATAAATTTCATTTTTCAAACTGATAGTAATAATTGTCGGCATGTTCATTAAACTCAATTTAAAAAAAATAACAAAAATTCTAATTATGTCTGAAAATTATTTATATTTAGTCCTTTAGCACTTACTTCCCTTTGATAAATTAGGAAAACACAATTACTTCCCTTTATAAAACATTGCATTAGTGGAAAAGAATTTACTTTTTATTACTTTGCTTTGGTGTTGGGAAAAAAATAATTACATAATTAGCGGGGATTGATCAAGTGCAAATGTTGTAGGTATTTTACGAATAAGCTTGGAGTATTATAATTGTTCATTTGGTTTGGTTTGGCACCTACGTTCGTTTAAGTGAGTGCAAAAGACTATGCATAAGTTGGGGTACAGTAGTCGATTATTAAGCTGAAACAGGCGATTCTGCCCCGGGCTAGACTGTGAGCACTTGGCGTTTATGTTCGCGTTAGTGTTTTCTTTGTGTTTAGGTTGGGTTTGCGTTAGTGTTTGCGTTTTGATTTGGTTCGTTTTTGTTCTTTCTTTTTTCGTTTTCGTTTGTGTTTTTTTCTTTGGGTTTGTGTTTGTGGTTGGTTTTGCGTTTGGATTTGGTTTGTTTTCGTTTGCTTTTTCGTTTTTTTTTCTTTGTGTTCGTATTGGTGTTTGTGGTTGTGGTTGGGTTTGTTGTTAGGTTTTTGTTTTCGTTTGTATTTGTAATTGTGTTAGCGTTATGTTTGCGTTTTGTTGTTTTGGTTGGTTGTGGTTTGGGTGGGCAATCCCGGGTTTATGATGATTACTAAACACATAGGTAATGGTCTTTAACAGAAAGGTTTTTCACAGAAGCCAGAGCAGGGCCTGGCCGGGACGGCTAGTTATGAAATATTTTGGGCGATCGTTGAACATATGGGCAAACGTAGAATATTTTGGATAAGTGAAAGGAAATGTTAGTGTGTGGATATGAATATGTGAATGTTATTGTGTAGATATGTTGTCGGACTCTCTCAGAGTGTCAGATGGCAGTGTGTGTATGTATGTGTGTGCAAGTACTAGTGTGTAAGTATGTGTGAGTGTGTGGGTAGTGTGGTTGTGTGTAACTAACATAATCTAAGAAAAGCTCTTGAAACACCAAAGACTGAAAGTAGACTGAAACCGGAAGTAAAGAACGTTCTAGTAAATTCCATCCGGCCCCTGAGAAATTAACTTAATACCCGGCGTTTGCCCATTGGGCAAAACGGAATCACGTGCTTTATGGGGATTTACCATTTTGCTGACATTTTTTTTCTGGGACTAAAAAAAACTTTGAAACAAAAAATGTGAAGTACTGAGAAGTATTTTAGATATTTTAGTTGTTGATTTGTGTGGGAGGTGGGTGGGGGGGGGGAGGTGGGGTGGGAGGGTAGAGAGCGCGCTAGCCCACACACTAACACGCCTACATCACTATAAATACACCTCTTCACATTCACACACACACACACATTCTCTTCTTACACCCTCACAACCCCCACTTCCCTCACCAATCAGCTTAATTAGTCAAAAGATGGGAATTTAAAAAATGTGATTCAGATTTGGGAACACGCCATTTTCTTTAGGGCTGTAGTTTTCAATTAAGTTTAGTTTTTGTTTAACTTATCGGTGACAATTCTTGTTAGTTTTAGTTCCACTCGATATTAAACAAAACCATTTGAATGTATATCGGTGACTATTCTCGCTGATTTTAATTCTCTTCGACATGAGACAAAACTATTTGAATGTATATCGTTGACCATTCTCTCTAAGTTTTACCCGAGTTCCCTCGACATGACACAAAACTATTTGAATGTATATCGTTGACCATTATCGCTAGAGATTTACCCAAGTTCACCTCGACATGAGACAAAACTATTTGAATGTATATCGTTGACCATTCTAAGTTTTACCCGAGTTCCCCTCAACATGATAGAAAACTATTTGAATGTATATCGTTGACCATTATCGCTAGATTTACCCGAGTACCCTCGACATGAGACCAAATAGAAAAGTTTCCTGCGACATGAGCCCGGACTATGCCCTGGGTGTCCGCAGATAAAGGCGTGTTTACGTCATAATATAGCACAGTGATTACGTCACAAGGTTATTACTGCCGGCTGCTATTGCGTCGGATAAATGCTGACGTCAGCCTGTTAATGCTGTCATATTTACTGACCAGATTACTCCAAACTTTTCAGGGCATACGCCGGGCAAGATAAATTGGATAACAGCACAATCAAGGGGCGCTACTCACGCACCAAAACGAGGGTTGAATCAAGTCGATTGTCTCCCCTGCCACTCTATCTCCACCTGGCCACGTCGGCCGGTGTTGACACAGTCTACACGAGCGTCCCGCGATTTGATTGGCTGCGACTTTTCGCTGATCGTCTGCTAGATTTGTGTCATAGCGAAGACGAAATAAAACAGCCTTTAGTCGTGGACGATTCTCTTTTCATTGTACAAGTGGGTTATCTCCCCGAGGTGGAGCTGCGCAAGACTTGTCGTCCCTGAATAGCGAGAGATGCGTCTGAGGTGGTTATGAGTGGTATGGCGGGATGTCAATATGAATTTAGGCTCTCCCTGCAACTGAATGGAGGGGAGGGCAAGGGTGGTGGGGGGGGGGGGGGGTGGCGGTCGTCCAGAGATAGACTAGATAGGAGGGGGGGGGGGTTGGGTTCGGAGTGAGTACTCGGTGCACAAGAGCTATACTTGGGTCTCTTGACTTCGATACTGCCCGCAGGGCACGGTCGAAATTTCGAGTATCGCTCCGAGTCCGGATGGGTTTCTCTGATTAAGGATCGATACGGCTTAAAACTGTTGTTATACTACATCTAACGATACTATATCTCACGATACTGAACCAACATATACTACACCGATCGTGTTATTATACTAGTAAAATATAATACGAGGGGTAAAAAAAATCAACGTCTGTTACTATGGTTACCATGTTTTCATACATTACAAAACTCTATTCGAATTTTCCCACCCTGTCCAAAAAGTAAAGCACGCCAAGTGGTTGGGCTCATGCAAGCCACAACAGCCCAATCACTGATTAACATCCTTATCCTAAATACTGACCATCATCATTATCCCACTAAATGACCAACATTATCCCAATAACTGACCATTTTCATTATCCCGCTAGATGACCAATATCCTTATCCCACTAAATGACCAACATCCTTATTCCACTAAATGACCAACATCCTTATTCCACTAAATGACCAACATCCTTATCCCACTAAATGACCAACATCCTTATCCCACTAAATGACTAACACCTTTATCCCACTAAATGACCAACACCTTTATCCCACTAAATGACCAACACCTTTATCCCACTAAATGACCAACATCTTTATCCCACTAAATGACCAACACCTTTATCCCACTAAATGACCAACATCCTTATCCCACTAAATGACCAACACCTTTATCCCACTAAATGACCAACATCCTTATCCCACTAAATGACCAACACCTTTATCCCACTAAATGACTACCACCTTTATCCCACTAAATGACCAACATCCTTATCCCACTAAATGACCAACACCTTTATCCCACTAAATGACCAACATCCTTATCCCACTAAATGACCAACACCTTTATCCCACTAAATGACCAACATCCTTATCCCACTAAATGACCAACACCTTTATCCCACTAAATGACCAACATCTTTATCCCACTAAATGACCAACACCTTTATCCCACTAAATGACCAACATCCTTATCCCACTAAATGACCAACATCCTTATCCCACTAAATGACCAACACCTTTATCCCACTAAATGACCAACATCCTTATCCCACTAAATGACCAACACCTTTATCCCACTAAATGACCAACATCTTTATCCCACTAAATGACCAACACCTTTATCCCACTAAATGACCAACATCCTTATCCCACTAAATGACCAACACCTTTATCCCACTAAATGACCAACATCTTTATCCCACTAAATGACCAACATCTTTATCCCACTAAATGACCATTATCCTTATCCCACTAAATGACCAACATCTTTATCCCACTAAATGACCAACATCTTTATCCCACTAAATGACCAATATCCCTATCCCACTAAATGACCATTATCCTTATCCCACTAAATGACCAACATCCTTATCCCACTAAATGACCAACATCCTTATCCCACTAAATGACCAATATCCCTATCCCACTAAATGACCATTATCTTTACTTGAGCTATCAGCCTGACCCTGGGGGCCGGCTAGCAACAAAAATCAGCCAATCAAAACGTCTTTACAGTTTCTGCAGTCAGCGGAAGTGATAATGCACCGGAAATGAAACCAGTCGTGCCGTAAACCTGCGCGTGACGTGTCTGCCTTTAAAAGAAACTTCTAGACGTATGTGGTAGACCACACTGCCACATTCACGTGGTATAAACCACAGCCACATTTAGATAGGCCGAATCATGCAGCTTTTAAAGATTCACCCTACCATTAGAAGAGACGCCAGTAACTAACCATATCTTCAATATTTCCTAAAGATTTTATATGAAAAAAATAAACCGGGAGTAATCTCCCCTAAACTTTCTC